TAATGAAGTTAACAAAATTTCCTGCATCTCATTCAAAGAGGGCAAAAGGGAATTTCCATGCCTGTAATTCTTGCACTGAACTTGAGTGGACATTTCCCACTTCACGTGATCTCACTGTGACCATGAGCAATCACTCCCCCATAACCATATTCACACATTTACACCACTATTCAAAGAAGGAACATTCACTCTGAAAGCATTTTGCTGCCTGTTTCACTAAAGGACATTGGGGGGACCAGAATCAAAAGAAAACAAAAGACACTTCCGAGTTCACACACTTGGGGAGTGGTTCTTCAGATAGGGAGCAGACAGTCACAAAAGGGACTGAAGACGTTAATGGTACTAATATGGAGCACCGACCTTAATGGAGCTCGGATCTTAAAGGGATAGTTCAGCCAAAAATAAAATATCGGTCATCATTTACTCACCCTCAAGTTGCTCCAAACTTGTGTGTTTCTTTCTTCTGTTGAACACAAAATAAGATATTTTGAAGAATGTGGGTAATCAGACAGGTTGCGGTAGCCATTGACTTCCATGGAAGAAAATACAAAGTCAGTGGCTACCATCAACTGTCTGGTTACCAACATTCTTCAAAATATTTTCTTTTAAATAGGAGAGGGAAACTCATACAGGTTTGGAACAACAAAATTACTATCCCTTTAAGAGATTTTCTATTATTTTATCAAAAAAATTGTCTCAAAATCCCTTTGCAAAACCATTTAGAGTATATGCGATAATTTGGTTGATGTGAAAAGTTACTTTAAAATGTAACTTTACATTAAGCTCTTAAAAGTTAGGCTATATTAAAGTTGTAAGCTTTAATGTGATTTAAAAAAGAAAAACATTTGAAATGAAACGGAGGTTATTGTCTCCAAAAGAAAAGACTGTGAAACTTATATTTTATCATCAAGCTAGTTTTTCAGAGGCCAAATTCAGAGGGTTCTCACCCGAGGCATTATATCTGTTCCCCCCCATCACCCTCATGCTCTATTCTCCATCCCTAACACTCATTCTTCTATACAAACTTGAAAGTTTGAATATGTGAGGACTGTTAACATGCAGAGAGGAGCAGCATTAGTATTCAGCTCAGCCTCTGCGGTAATGAGTAAACCCTCTTTCACAGCTGGTCTCCATGTTAGCAGAACTCATAATAATATGCTAACAAAAACTCTTCGTCTGATCCAAAAATGAGATTCTGAGAGGAAGATGCGAGAAATGCGACAACGCAAAAAGTGCTGTCTGTTTAGTTTTGGTGTTGTCATGGTGATGCCACTTGCAATGTGGGATCCATAGACAGTGGTGGGATCAGATGGGTAAAGTTAAGGAGAGACACAGGACGGTTTAGGGAAAAGTCTCCAACTAACAGGAATTCCTGTGCAGAGAGTTTTGAAGTGAATGTCAGAAACTCAGAAAGAATAAAACATGAACTGATTGAAGAGGAAAGCAGCAAACTAGAGAGTGAGACTTCTCTCTTCCCCGGGGTTTGAGCACTTTTCATCTGGAAGACCAGCCTAAATCAGCGAGCTAAGACCAGAAAATGGCTTGAGCAGGGAGAGAGAAGTCTCACTCTCCAGTGTGCTGCTTTCCTCTTACTAGATTGGGGAAAGAGCTATTATTATTTTTTTAGCTTAAACTAGAACATAACAAAATCATCAGCCTACTTGAAATAAATTAAACATTAACTGAAATAAAATGTAATTTTTTTAAATTATTTTATTTAATCTAGTTGCCAAAGGCAACATTTCTCATTTTAGTTTAGTTTAAGTTGAAGTACTCAAATGACTCGAATTAAACTACAAATAAAATATAAAACTTAATAAAAACGAAATAAGCATAAAAAATAAAATTACAAAAACAAAAAAAATACAAAAACTTAAAAAATAAGAAATTAAAATGAAAACAGAAAAAATAAAAACTAACAGTTTTTCTGAAAATACACTGTGTAAAAATATCAATATAAAAAAATATCAATACCAACATATGGTGACACTTGTGTTGTGATGTAACTTTTTTTTTTTGCTAAACATCTATTTGTTTAGCTAAACTAATTTAGCTAATACAATTTCATTTTGTTGGAAATAACATACAGCACAAATTAGTAATAAACTACGTACAGACCGAAGTCTAAAATAAATGTCTGTTTTCTTCTATTTCCACAAATTTGACGCCACCATGTGGTCACAATGAGAATAGTGTCAGATTGACCTCAGCGGTTCAAATTCAACATCGAGTTAAAGGGATAAGTTCACCCAAAAATGAAAATTCCATTATCATTTACTCACCCGGCCTCATGTTGTTCCAAACCTGTATGGGTTTATTTCTTCTGCGGAACACAATTAAGTTACTGTTGTTAATCAAACAATTGACGGTAGCCACTGATTTCCATATTATAATTTTTTCTACTATGGAAGTCAACGGCTACTACTGACAACAGTTTGCTGGTTACATTCTTTTTTTATTATTATTATTCAACAGAAGAAAGAAACTCATACAGGTTTGGACTCAATTTGAGGATGAGTAAATGATGACAAAACTTTCATTTTTGGCTGAACGATCCCTTTGTTCCCCTCTCTTCCTCTTGGTCTATTGTTGATATCTAGAAGAAACTGGAAAAAGATAATAGCGACGGGTAAAATATAAAGCTATAACAAAGTGGCTAGCTATTAGTTAGTATTAACCCTTTTGATGTCAAAAGTACATCAGCCTGCCACGAGGTCACGTCTTTTAGCTCTAATAAATAGAAAAGGTATCGAATCTCGGCCCATATAAAAGCATTACACCTTCATTAAACAGGTTTCATTTCATTTTTATTATGACAAATGTACAAGATAGTAAATCATATGAAAGAAATTACAATACAGTTAACAAAAACATCAAAAAGAACAGACGAACACAAAGGACGTTTCTAAAAGCTAAAACCAGACGGCATCTGTCCATCTGCTGTCAAACTACATCAGCCAATTTTCTTCAAACACTGGTGTCGACATCCCTCATTACAGAATATCAGATTTTTTTTAATGTGAAATACAAATATATACTGTTTCATTATAGGCTGGGCCTCAATTTTAAATCGATGTCTGTACCATTGATTTTTATATTACACAAGAAATGAACATTGGCCCAAAATGCACTGTGGTCTAGTACCTAATGATGCTCTTGATCTCAGCATGTCAAATTATATTTGTAAAAAATAAGGGAAGTTTTATTCTCAAAATCTGATGCCCTAATGCTGCAAGAGCAAATGAATCAGACTAGAAGATATGTGCATGCCAAGCAAAAAACATTAATGTACAAGACATTTTTACACCGCTTCTGTCCATCAATGCTGACATCAAAACAACTATACTGTCTGTTGGGCTTTTTTTATCGAATGCTTTTCCCTCTGAGAACAGATCATTCTTGTAAATGTTTTAGCAATCAGTGGGAATGGGACAAAGAGACTGAAAACCCTCAAAGAAAAGACACAAACAAAAAGAATGCACTGATGAAAATGAGACAGACGCACCCACTTTGAAGTGGTACAAATGTACCTACAAAACAAATTATAAACAGATGCAATCATAAAAGGACTGCTATGTATACTTTAAATGATTTAAAAATGCTTCTAATATGTTACAGCAAAAACTACAGATATTCACACCAGGATAATGCGAGACTATACCATGTTTCTCAGACGTGTTCATACATCTCAGAGGGGCGTCTCACATCACGCTGCTCTCGGAAGGGTCGGAAATCATTTTAATGTCATTGAATTTTGATCTTTAAAAATAGACGAAACCAGGAGATGATGAATCTCTTCCTGTGTGTCTTGTAAGAAAAATGTATTGCTTGTAATTGATGAAAAACAAAAAACATTAATGTCATACATCATTAGTATGTTTTTAAAAAAGGAAAACATTACAATGAGTATATTCATATATTTATATAAAGAAAATGAATATAGTGCACCGAAACACAGACATAAGCAGGACATGATGGGCAAAATAGAATCCCTTTGATGGAATATCTGCACTAAAACGAGATGAACAGCACTAAACGTCAAGGAATCCCTCAGAGAAACACATCGGTGCGGGTGAGAGTCCTCAGCATTTGATCAACTTTGAGAGGAAGATTTGGCATTTGACGCATTGAAAAGCTGCCAGAGTAAATAGTGTTTGACTTCAAATTAAAACATGGTGCTAAAACAGTCCAAAGCAACAGGATTTGATGCGGTGTTAGTATGTTGGCATAAGAAAATGAGCAATTTTTCACTATTAGACATTTCTTAGAAACTTCCAGGAATCTTTTGCTCTAATGGTGCGAGCAGCTCTACGACCAAGCGATAATTTCAGGTACAAATTACAATTTCCGTAATAAATAGTATAACAAAACAAAGCTTATAATGACATCACTTAATAAAAACATTTCCCCACCAAATGACACTATGAAACCAATCGCTAGAAATTCAACTTCCACTCCAATTAGATTATAAAATATGAACGTTTAAAAATGGCATCTGAGTGGAGCCGAACGCTAAGATATTTAGCAATGTGTGGAATTTCATTGAAATCTGGTTTGTCTCTGGCCCCTCCTCTTTTGTACTGACTCCACCCACTTCCGGTTCTCTCTGAAATGTGCAACTGACAGCAGTGGAGAAAAACGCATGTAAACTGGACAAATGTCTCTATGTCAGACGGGTGAGCGTGAGCATGGCTGTGTGATTAGTGTAAAAAGAGGTTTTAGAGGTTGTTTCCAGAGAGGGTTTGTTTGAGAGCGATCACTCTTAACGAACAAAAACAATACTTTAAAAGCAATATCTCGGGGAGTCTCTCGGAAGGATTGCGTTTTCCTTCCCTTGATACTTCTTGCTCAGTAAAATATTTACAGCTATTATTAATGTGCCACCGATGCCGAGCTGTCCCTGATCTGCTCCGCTGGCACATTTAACAGGGACTGTTGACATGATCCGTGCTGAAAACAGGATGAGGGTCGGGAAAAAAAGGAGAACATTTTTTAAAAATAAAGAAAAAGAATACCAAGTTATAGCTGTTCACTGTTGCAGACATAGTCTACGAGGTCTGTGACGCCCAAAAGGTCGTCTTCATCTTCGTCCTGCGCAGGGATCTCCAGGCCATTCGGCGCTGAGGATACAGCCGATGGGGCGTTGCCATTTTTAGGTGTCACTCCCACCTCGGGTCGTGGCATGAGGCCCTCTAAACCCTTCATTGGGCTTTGTCCGTTAGTGGGAGGAAGCTCCACCAAGTTGTAGTCTAGTGGACTGGGCCCTTTGACAACGGTCTCCTCTGACTCTTTCTCCTGTGGGCTCTTCTTCACCTCCTTCTCTTCTTCACTTTCGCTGTCGTCAGAGTCGATGCGGTTCACACGTTTTCGGACGGGCCTTTCCTCTTCTTCGGATTCGTCTGAATCGTCGTCGTCTTCGTCATCATCCTCTGACTCCCTCCGACGTTTAAGGGACAAGCGTCTGCGCCGTTTCCTGGATTCTTCCTCGGACGAGTCCGCCCTTAGCTTCTTGGGCTTCCTGTCTTCTTCATCAGTTTCAGCTGACTGGTAACTAACTGGAAAAGCAAGTTAACACACGGAGGAGACAGTTAGTTAAACTCACAATTAAATCACAGCATTTTTGGCTACAGTTTGATATATCGACCAGGCCGATTAGTTGACCTATATTTTGTATATTATTTTATATTTGTATATGTACTGAACATATAATAATAATATACTATGTGTATGTAGTTTAGTTAAGTTTTATCAATGTTGAAAACAGTTCATATTTTTGAGGACACCGATTCATTTTTTAAGAAAGTTCAAAAGAAAAGCATTTATTTTCTGTTGTAACATTATAAATGTCTTTACAGACACAATTTAATGCATCCTTGTTAAAGGGGTGGTTGATTATGATTTCACTTTTCTAACTTTAGTTAGTGTGTAATGTTGCTGGTTGAGCATAAACAACATCTGCAAAGTTACGATGCTCAAAGTTCGAAGCAAATAAAAGGGAGATATTTTCTTTTAAAGAAATCGCTTTTTAAGGACTAAAACAAACGGCTCGTATGGACTAAACGACATTCCTCCCGGGTTAGAGACATCGCCAACCCTAAAATTAACATAAACCCCACCCCCGGGAACGCGATTTATAGATTATCATGACTACACATAAGCTACCTAAATTCATCAACTAACCATTCAGAAATGCCCTGTTGCATTCTACATGTTGTCACTTCTTATTGAGTCTCTCCATCATTGTCTGACTCCGGTTTGAACATAAAAGGCTAAATGTTTTTGAAATTTTCAGTGCATGCTGTTGAGGCTCCGCCCTCTGTGCCGGGCTATTTGCATTTAAGGGGACATACACAAAAACAGTGCGTTTTTGCTCACCCTCAAAAAGTGACAAAAAGTGACATGCTATATAAAAATATCTGTGGGGTATTTTGAGCTAAACATTCAAATACACACTCTGGGGACATCAGAGACTTATTTTACATCTTGTGAAAACTGAAAATGCCATTATACCAGCACTTTAAATTAAAGTAATAATTTCTTTAAAAATAAAACCCATCTGATCCCAAACTTTTGAACACACACACACACACACAATCTTTGTGCTTATATCACTCAACCCTGAATAATTCTATCAATATAAGAATATAGTGGCATTACAGTTATACTGTATAGAGGTCAAAGTTATAATTATTCAGGCTTATGCTGTGAATATGCATAGGTGTAAATGGCACTGACCTTCACTGTCAGAGCTGGAAAGACGTCTGCGTTTCTTCTTTTTGTCTTTGTTGGTGCTGGCCTGTGAGCCATCAGAATCTGAACTTTCACAGTAGTTCACCTGCTGCTTACGGCTCCGATGGGACCGTCGAAAGCGGATGTCCAGATCGCTGTCACTGTATTCACTAGAGCCTTCTGTCACTGCATGCAAACAACCACACACAATGGGAAGTCAAACAGAGAAATATATCAGTGAATAGAGTGTAAACCACAAGTATGGTACAAATTATGGCTTAAAACTCACATTTTTGATCTTTTTCAACAAAAAAGTTTTTTTTTGTCTACCTCAGCAGGTCTAGGTCTTTTTCTAGCAATTAAATAAACATAAGAAATAAACATTAAATGAAAAATAACATTTCGATAATATAAATAAAAGTTGGCAGAACACATAACAGAATACCTCAATTGGCTTGTAGATATTGATAAACTAAACATTTCTTATGTTTATTTAACCATTTTTCTTGAGCTTGACCAATGCAGTCAATACTAAGAAACTTAATGCCTCACCCATCTCTTCCTCCTCCTCTTCATCACTTTCCTCCTCCTCTTCGTCAGAGTATCCTCTGGGTCTGCGTCTCCTGCGTGGTGGCTGCCTTCTGTTTCGACACCGGCTTGCTGCCTTTCTGTTTGAAGGTCTTATCCGCGGGCCGCCCGCATCGCTCCCGAAGTCACTGTCCTCCAAGGACCGGGCTTCGGCTTCACTCTCTGCCTCGTTATCAGAAGCCACAAACTCCTCTTCTGAACTGCAGACCAATCAGAGCAGAGTGAGTGTCATTTCACCACAGGATTCTGTGATACTTTAGAATGAAATGCTGTTGAACAGAACCTGTCGCTGAGACGGAACTCGTCTTCGCTCTCTTCCTCGTCCACAGTGCTGTCGCTGTCCAGATCGTTGAGACGCCGCCGCTTCTTCTTCTGAGCTGCACTGGGTCTCTGCGGCCGGCCGTTCTCCTTCCCTTCCTCCTGTAGAATGGTGGATATGTCCTTCCCTCTGTGGCCTGTGATGTTCGCCATGTCCTTCCCCCGGCCTGCACCTATTGGTCACATTTCAGTCTAAACTCATACGTTCAAGTTCAAATATCAACATGATAAACCCTAGCGAGATGTAATGACAACTGCAGCACAAGCACTTGAAGGAAATGCCCCCCCACCTCCTCCTTCTGCCTCTTTGATGTCTTCCTCAATTGCCTCTTCGATCGCTTCATCAAACTCATCAAATCTGACAAAAATGTAACAATAAACAATGAATAAAGATAATGTAAAAACAGCATAAGATAATGAAAAAGTTCAAATCTTACATACATAAGATTATGTAAACCCAGGAGACAGATTGACATACCTGTAGCTTATGTATTTCTTCGCCCTGGTTGATCTACGTCCCCAACTTTTGCTCTTCTTCGTCTCCTTCTCTTTCACCACCACCTCTTCCTTTTCTTCTTCCACTTCAACCTTCAAAAAAACATTTTTTTTTTTTTACTTTAACAACAGAGTACTCCACTGTTCAAAAGTTTGGGGTCAGTGAGTTTTTCTTTCTTTTTTATTTCAGCAAGGACACATTCAATTGATTAAAAGTGACAGTAAAGACATTTATAAATTTACAAATTATTTATTTCTATTTCAAATAAATGGTGTTCTTTTGAACTTTCTATTCATCAAAAAATCCTGAAAAAATGTATTACAGTTTCCACAAAAAACTTCTTGATTCAGCTTTTTCATCATAGGAATAATTTAAGCTTTAAAATGTATAACAACAGAAAACAGTTATTTTAAATTGTACTAATTTCCCCCAATATTACAGTTTTTAATCAAATAAATGCAGCCTTGGGTGATAATAAGAGACTTCTTTAAAAATTAAAAATAAACTTTAAAATCATCCCAACCTCAAACTTTTGAACAGCAGTGTAAATTATGTTTACAAATTATTAACAATTATGATGAGACTCCTCATTTGTAAGTCGCTTAGGATAAAAGCGTCTGCTAAATGATTAAATGTAAAAGTTAAATGTGATGACAATTTAAAAAAAAACCTCCAAATATTACTTCTCCAGAATTCAAATGGTAATTAAGCTTAAAAGGAAAAAAATAACTTCTTATGTGATTAATAATTTTTTCAAGTCTATTCTACAATCTTTAAAAAAATTGTTCAGCTTTATGAGAGCAGATTAGATTATTTTTCACACTATTAAGCAGGTTTTTTTCATGCCACCTGATCTGGTGTAAAAATCGGATCAAGTTTTGGGATCTAAAAGCATTTTTTCATTCACTTGTTTAATATGGTTCTTCTGGAATATTAAGATTTTAAAATTAAATATCCATATTAAGGATTCACAAATTTCAACAAACACTGCAGGCCAGAGGTATAAAGAGTACCTGAAAACCATACTTGAGTAAAAGTACAGATACCTTACAGCAAAAATGACTCCATTACAAGTTACAAGTCACCAATTCCAATACGACTTGAGTAAAAATATTTTACTAGTACTGACTGTAGGCTCAAAGATGCACCAGTCCTCAACACCTGAGAGACATGCCAGTGAAAAACATGAAACAGTTGATTTGTGAAGAGAGCGATCACTTTAATTTTCTAAAATCAAAATAAAACTGAACACCACAAAATTGCAAAAATCAAGGTCAACACAACAGCCTCTTAAACATCCACAAACAGTCAAGCTCAAGTGCTCAAAAAGAGCATAAGTAAACCAACATCCTTCAGGTCCCTTCTATATAATGATCAATAAAATAATGTTAAAGCTGCCGTCGGCAACATTTTTTTGATCATATTCAGTGAAATCGACACTATAATCTGACAGAACAACATAAATAAAGTGGTTTTAGAAAAAACCCCGAGCTTCTAACTCCACCTGGAGCTTGTTATTTGTTTTGCAAAAATCCACAGCTCCCGGTTCATCATGTCCAATCAGCGCAGGGGGGTGTGAGATCTGACTGTCAATCACAGATCGGGCACACGCCACCCCTCGCGCACGTTACAATCACATGCACACGCCTGAAGTTCGCGGAAGTTCGCGCAGTAACGAAGAGTGATGACGGAAAATCAAGTAAGCTCATTTAGAGTATAAATGACGTTAGCAATTGCAATCTATCGGTACATTAGCCAGGACAGCATACCTCCAAATACTCCATGGTGTTGATGGATGCTGATGAGACGGGCGCGTTCCAGGGCTCTCAAGTTTTGAAGACAGGTAAGAGTGACACCCAGCCGACGGGGGGTTGGATAAATTTTTTTCATTGGTTGTTGCGTTAAATCTTACCCAGATACAATAGTGCTATTTTCTGATTGGCTATTGTGTAGCTCGACGAACAACACCAGAGGAAACGCGCTTGATTCATGCCGGTTCTACAGTGAGAGCGGCGCGGCCAGAGTTTTGGGCGCTGCGGCATATTAAATATATTACAAATAGTTTTTCAGCGTGAGAAATACAATGTGTGGCGGGAGAGCGTGACAAAAGACCGAAATGAGTGACTGTCACGCTCAATGCGTAACACTTGAGAGCCCTGGCGTTCACTGAAAATCTGGTGCACACGCACTGACGAGCATGAACTGGGTGGGAGGGTATCCGTTGATAGTGGGGGAGGGGCATGAGAGTTGTAAACATTCAAAATTTTCCTAAATCCACTCAATCTGCCAGACTTGCCGACTGGAGCTTTAAGTAAAAATAAATAGTCAAAGGCTACTTGCACTGGACGTGCTGGTTTCAGCCTCATCACATGTCCTCATCTATAAAACACCTGCTATTACAACTACCTGCTAATGCGCTCGCATTCACGTAAAGTAGCTATGTTGACAAGTTTGAGTGAGTAAGGGCAAATCACACATGATATAGTACCTTTAATGCCCTGTAGATGCCGATATCGCTTCTTTTGTAGCAGAAATAAACTGCTGCAGAAAAAGTTAGGTGCCAAGCAAAATGTAATGAGTGTGTGAATTGTATTACTCATCACAAATGTATTGGAGTAAAGAGTATATATACTTTTTCAAAAATGTAGTTGAGTAGAGAGTAAAAGTTGTTAATGTCTGTGATACTCCGTAAAACTACAAAGTAGCCAAAAAGATACTGAAGTACAGAAACCAATTACATTTACTCAAATACTTTACAGAACTATTGCAGGCACTTACAGAGGGTGTGATGATGTTCTCCAAACTGATGCCAACATACACCAGTCGCTCTTTTCTGTGAGGAAAAAAACAAAAATGACAATGTTTCAGGCCTGAAAATAATTCCTCATATGGACTGAACCTACAGGCAGACATCATGCAGCAGCATAAATAGTGCAACTTGATATTGTGGAATAGTCAGGAACTTTACTGCAACAGCTTCAAACAAATTCACTCGAGCTGGTCTAAATTTCTCTTCATTCACCTTCGTTCTGCACGTTCTTTCTTTTTGAGGGCGGCATCCAAATTCAGCAACTGCTCTTCGAGCCTGTCGCAAAGTTGTTTCTGCAAGAGAATTAAAGAGGATCAGCATCTGAATAGCCAGGACTGTGTATTTCTGTAAAGAGACTCATGAAATCTGAATTGACTCACATGCTGGCAGGGGGGACAGAACCATTCCCCATCTGGAATGATCATGAGCGGAGGACGCAGACAGGCAGTGTGGTAGCCGCTGTCACAGGAATCACACAGGAGTATCTAGGTGAACAGAAATGAGAGGTTAAATGCAGAACTTTTGACTGTGAGTTGAAGATGAAGATGCTTTGCAGAAAAGAGTCGCACCAGCTCGGGATGATTGGGAAGGCCACAGTGTTTGCAGGGGTCGTCATTGGGTACATCATCGTCTGATGAAGAGGTAGAGGAGTCCGAGCTGTTCCGCTCTCGGTTTCGGTTTCTCCTTCTCTTCTTGGACTTCTCCACCTTATAGTCTTCATCGCTGTCATCCTCCTCCGTCTCCTCGAACTCACTCTCGCTCTCCTCCTCATCATCGTCATCTTCAGAACATTTCTTTTTACGTCTCGTGCGAGACCATGGTTGTCGTTTTCGACGTCTCCCAACCTGTCGAAAGATTAGTTACACTGTAAATGACTTTCACTATCGTTCAAAAGTTTGGGGTCAGTAAGATTTTTGATTTCATGCAAGCAGACACTTTAAATTAAGCAAACAGTAAAGACATTTATAATGGTACAAAATATTTTTATTTGAAATAAATACTGTTCTTTTGAACTTTCATCAAAGAATGCATCAGTTTCCACAAAAACAAAGCGGCAACTGAGCTATTTTCAGCATTGATAAGAAGAGAAATGTTTCAAGGATCATGTGACACTGAAGACTGGAGTAATGGCTGCTGAAAATTCAGCTTTACCATCACAGGAATAAATTACATTTTAAAATGATTGGCACCCCTACAAATTTTAACTTAAGTATATTCCCATTCATATTGTATGTTTTTAAATCCCCCTTAGTGATCAGGAACACTCAAGTGATAAGTCAAGACTTCCTGTTTCACTGGGCTCTAAATATAAAGTGACAGACAGGCCAAATTCCTATAGTCAACCATCACTATGGGAAAGACCTGACAATACAGTAATGATGTGTGACAAAAGGTTGTTGAGCTGAACAAATCATAAAATGGCTAGAAGATAATACTTTACTTCACTATTTGGGCAATAATTAAGTTTAAATCAATTGGAGATGGTAATAATCTACCTGGAAGAGGATGAGTGTCTATATTGGCCCCACATGTCATGCACTGAGAAGGATGGTTTGAGTTGCCAAAGAAACTGTAAGGATCAAAGTTGGAGAACTGCAGATGCTAAGGTGGGTTTTACATAGACAGAAAAATAGACATGCAGAAAAGAACTACATCCCCACTGTGAAGTATGGTGGTGTATATTTAATCTTCCAAAGAACCTGGACAACTTGTTAGGATAAACCTGTCAAGAAGGTTAAACCGGGCTGTGGTTGGATCTTCCGGCATGCAATGATCCAAAGCACATCTCAAAATAAACAACAGAATAGTTCACTGACCACAGATTGAATGTTTTGCCATGGACATAGCAGTCCCCTGACCCAAACCCCATAAAAAACCTGTGGGATGAGCTGAAGAAAAGAGTACACAAGCATGGACCTCTGAATCTGACGGATCTGAAGAGATTCTGTATGGAGGAATGGTCTCAGATATCTTGCCATATGTTCATCAACCTTAATACACATTATAGGAGAAGATCCAGAGATGTTATCTTGGTAAAGGGAGGTTGCACAAACTATTAAATGAAGAGGTGCTAATAATTGTGGAATACATACATTTCAGAAAGAAAGAAAAACGTTTTATGATAAGATTTTTTTTCTTTCAACTATTCGACTTCAAATGTTAGATGTATGTGAATATTTTGAATGAAAGACTTAGACTAACAAATTTTCAGTCATATATACCAAGGGTGCCAATATTTGTGGAGACCACTGTAAATATCATGACTGAAACCACTAAATTAAATAATAAACATATATAGTTTAATGTATTTTAATGTTGACAGGTACCTTTGGTTTCGTTTGGCCATCTGGCTCAGCTTTCTTCGGTTTCCTCTGTACAGATTCCTCATCCTCTTTTTCCACATCCTCTTTTTCCTCATCGTCATCCTTTTCTTTTTCCTCATCGTCATCCTTTTCTTTCTCCGAAACTGGAGTCCCCTGCTTCCGTTCCGCCCTCCTATCTTGGATCTCCACAGCTTTAGCAGTGGGCCTGCAGATTCTTGGAGATCTCCTCAAGCATCTGCCCTCAGTCGTCTCAGACTCTGAATCTCCCTTGACCTCTTCTTTCCGGAGTTTGGCCTTCCGTCTGTGAGCTGGGATTTTGATCTTCAGACGAATTCCTTCCTGTCGCAAGTTTGTCTTTTCTTCTTGTTCTTCTCCCGTTTTATCCTCATCCTGACTCTCCTGAGACTTCCTTGGAGGCCGTCCTAGTCTTTTACTGCTTTTCACAGCTGCGTCGCTCTTTTCTTGAACATCACCGGAAGGCTCACGTTTTTCAGAAGTTGCGTCTTGCTCAGATTGTTTGCTTGAGGTGGTGCTTTGATCCACGGGAACATCAGTTTCCTTCTTACTTGATCTTGAAGTCTCACATACCTCCTCAACAGCCGACTGTGCTTCATCAGCTTTAGTGATCTCTGAATCAACTTCCATTTGCTTCTCTTTGTTCCCTTCCTCTGAATCTGGTTCCTTTTCATGTTCTCTTTCAGAAGGAGGTTTCTCAGAACTGTTGGATTCATTGGGTTGTTCTGTAGCTTTAACTTCTTCAACCAATTTTTTCTCTGAAGATTCTTCAGAGCTGTTTGCAGCTTCACCCTTTACATCATTTTCTTTGGTCGTTTCTGAATTCTCATTTTTATCCGTTTCAGCTGTGTCACATTTGTCCTCACCATCAACTTTCTCTGTGGTTTTTGGCATACTTGGCTTCTTTGTTGAATCAGAAACAGATGATTTTTCAAGATCCCTTGATGCCGACTTCGGGGAGACCGACTGCTCTTGTGCTTTGGCTTGAGGGCCATCTGTATCTTCAGAAGGTTTAGAGGAAATAGACTGCCTTTCTCCATTGGTTGAGAATTTGTCTGCTTCAGACATATACTGTTTTTCAGTTTTTGAGACAGGAGCAGCATACTCTTTTTCTATGGTGGTGTCTGCAGAGCTGTGATGAGTTTTTGTTTCGTCAGCATTCTCTGGCTTTTCTGTGACAGAATGCAGTTTGATTACTTCACGGGAAGAGGACTCCTCCATTTTAGAAGACTGGAATGGTTCTGTTTCCATTGCCGTGGAAGCAGTTGGATCTTTTTCTTCCAGGTCTTTTTTGGAGTTGTCCGAGTCTTTGGGATATTTTTGACTTTCTTCTGAAAGAACTTTCTGTGACTCTTCTTCTGCGAGATCTTTTTTTGATTCTTCATTTTGGAGATTATTTATTGTCTCTTCTTTTGATGACCCTTCTTTTGTGAGATCTTTCATTGACTGTTCTTTCGCCAGATCTTTTGGAAGATTTTCCATTGACTCTTCTCTTGCCAGATCTTTTGATGATTCTTTGTTAGGGAGATCTTTCACTGCTTGTTGTTTTGACAGACCTTTCGTTGCTTCTTTTAAGTGATCTTTCTTTGCTTCTTCTTTTGAGAGATCCTTTGTTGCTTCCTTTTTTGAGAGGTCTTGCATTGACTCTTTGTTTGGGAGATCTTTCACTGATTCTTTTTTTGAGAGATCTTTTGTTGACTCTTCAGGCAGTGTTGATGTATTTGCTTCTGTAGTTTCCATATTTTCACAAGTGGGGGATTTTTTATTTTCAGGTACTTCTTCAGAACCAGGTGTCTTTTCTGACTGCTCACTTACTGTTGAGATTTTTTCTTCCGCAGGAATCTTTTCGTGAGGTTGAGGAGTTTCAGATTTAGCTTTGTTCTCCTCTGCGGTGGCATCACAAGATTTCCCTGGCTTCTCCACTTCCATCTGCTCTTCAGCACACAATCTGGTTTCATTCGTGTCCATCTTATCTTCTGTCTGGTCATTCTTAGTATGCTTTTTTCTCTCATTGGACTCATCTGAGACACATGGGGTATTTTCTGAATCATTCTCTGTTCTTTCATTTTGAAAACTCTCTGAACCTTTTTGCGTTTCACTTTCAGATGGTTTAAGGTGAGGGACATGGCCGTTGATCTTTTCAGCACTCAATCTGTTGTCATCAAAACATGTCCGTGATTCTTTCACCGAAGCGACAGGTGCATTTCGTACTCCTGCACTGTTGCTGTCGAAGTCTTCGGTTAGTTTCATCTCTCGCTTTTTTAGAGGGATTTTAGCCTGATGGTCATTTTTCAAAGTTCTCTGAGTCTCTTCTAAGGTTTTTCTCTTCACCTCATCCATCTGTTCTGCATTATGTGAAGGTGTTGACAAGTCCCTGATTTTCTCCTCCTCATCCTGTGGCTCTTCTTTGATTGATCCAGCAATAACACCAGTGCAATTTGACGTCTCCGAATGTTTCTGCAACTCTTCCTTCACCTTCAAGGCCTTTTCCGATAAAGCATCTGTGGCCTCTGGATCTTCTTGCTTTGCATTTTCTTTCTCCAAGATGTTTTCCTTATTTTCAGAAGTGGATAAGTCGTCTTTTGACTTCTCATCTCTGATCTCCTCTAGAAGCCAAAAGACACAGGAAAAACAATGAAAACCAGTCAAAAAACATTAATACATAATTTAATCGGTGTTCAGTCAATACAAGGGCTGAGTTGCTCAACTTGACAACTGCTCCACTGCGGTGGCCGAGTAGCACCGGCAGTGGTTCACCAAAACATTTTTGGTATGTAAATGCTGTTTACGTGAATATTATGGCACAAGTGAAGCACAAAGCTTTGTTTACAAAATAAATAATAGGTTAGCAATTAAATGTCACATCGAACCATGGAAACATTTGGATTCATGCCAAATGAAAAAGGTAGATGAGCCCATACATTTAACCCATTTGTCAGCTTTGTATACTGTTTTGCGATCTGGTCACCCTTGTAATCCATTAATATTTTGGACATGGAATGTCTTGTTTCTTTTCCCAGATCTTCACTCCAGTCCTGACTCACCCATTTTCACATGGAATTATTAAAGTTTCTTCCTTTCATTCACTTTTAATTTTTATATTCACATTCTTTACAGTGGTTCAGTAAAAAAAAAGTAAAAAAAAACGCAGTAGGACAGATACCTTTTTACTTGCAGATCAAATTTTATTTAACACAGTTTGTGCTTGTTAGACTTGATAAGGGACATCAAGTTTAAATAGCGCATTTCACACGGTGGTCATTTTGTTTCATTTCCTCTAGCAGCGCAACATCAAATATAGCCTAAATGTCTTTCCCCTACGAAAACTTTTATTTGCTCTTCAGACCTGCTCTTCAACAAGTGTCAGTCACTTTGGAACATCAGGAGAAGACATGAAGATATTAGACAAGATGGTATCAGTCGTCAGCGCCAATAGCCTCGTGGGAAGTGCACCGACATATAGCGTAGTTGTACTTAAGGGTGTTCGGAGGTGTTCGGAGTCCCGGCTCGGGGACCTTTCCCTATACCGTCCCCCTCTCTCTCCAACTTCGTTTCCTGTCAACTAACTGTCCTGTCATAATAAAGGCAAAAATGCCACAAAAAAAAAGATGGTCTCTGGACATTAACAGGTGTCTAAATCTCTGGGTTTTCTAAAGTAGCACTGTCCAACATCGACAGCAGTAAAGTCGCCCGTCGGTGTATGAATGAGTGAGTGAATGGGTGAATGTGAGGCAAATTGTAAAGCGCTTTGGTGGCCATTGGGTCTGTGAAAGCGCTATATAAATGCAGTCCATTTACCATTTACCATTTAAAGTCACAGCGGGAGTCCGTGTCTCTCTTGACTCCGCTAAGCACATTGAGTTTTAACAGACCCCCAAAAGCATGCGATGGGTTTGGTGGGGGTAATTCAGAGTGAATGGGTGAAAGTCACATAAAAGGAGGCAATGCCTCCATGGCGCTATGACTGGATTGGATATGATTGGTTCATGTGATAAATCCCGCCTCTTGTTTTCACGAGTTTCCTGTTCACAAATCAGTCTGAATGAAGAAAATGATGCTGTTAATGGGAAGAGTAATTAAAAAGTAATTTGTTTTGATATCACCTCTTTATGTCAAGTCAAAATCAAATTTGAAATGCTCTGAAAACATGATGACTGTGGGGGGGGGGGGTTAGTGAGCTTAGACCAGCTTGGTGAAATTTAAGTGTTTGTGACCAGTGTTTTACCAGTGATTGATGAATGATGATCCGAAAATAAGTTGATTATTAAAAAGAACAATTGAATATATTGTTATTATATATATGTTTAAATGATTACTGCATTTAGTTATTATTTTGTAATAAATGTAAAAATGCTTTAAAACACTAACTTGATTATATTTATCCTTGGTTTAATAAATAGAATATTAATAAAATAAAATCAGAAATATTTGGCAACATTAAGTGTAACTGGGACATGAATTTACATTTGATTTATTTATATAAATATAATATAAACCTGTGAGGACTTCAGAACACCACTGCACGGCACTGATCCCCCCCCCCCCCCCCAAACACACACACACACACTCAACCACCGGCGGTAGTTGGTCCATTATACGACCGCGGTAGTAAAAAAAAATGCCACCATCACAGCCCTAGTCAATACTCATTATTTACATACCTTCAGCTCCCTCTTTCTTCTTGTTCTCCTCACCGTCTGGGTTGGGACTGTTACTAGACGAGCCCTCCTGATCCTTCTTTACTAGGAGCGCTGGATCAATCTGAGTCTTCAACAGACCAAGGATCTGAGCCAGGTCGTTTCTATTTCTGCAATGGAAAATAATGGATTTTCCCCCACAAAATCGTGCAAGTGAATGTTATCTCTTATTGGCATTTGGCATCATTGTTTTAATCACAATTTAACAGCCATCCAGTACAGGAAGGAAAAAATCTTTTATGCATGTTATGAAGAAGTGGATTTAATTCCACTGAAAACTGATCACAGAATGCCTACCTTACTATACACTTCCAGGATGACCCATCAAGATCATCCTGTTCTTCCACATAGATCCTCACATTATGGTCTTGGTCTAGCTGAAACCAGTACATGAGGCCATCTTTGTCTTTGCCGATTGGCTGAAGACGCATTTTATCCGGGTCCTCTTCATTGATAGCGGTCTTAAACTTGACATTGTCATCAAACTGGCATTCACACAAGTACTGTTTGAAAAACAAAGCATTGTTAGGTTATACTGTGTAAAAACAGAAATGTGTTACAAACACAACAATTTTCATGGATGGATGTGAGGTCCCAATGCAACTTAATCCATTGGTTAGACATTAAACAGATTTTCCCATCTTACCTTCAATATTCCAGTCTTACACTCCACTGTCATCTCTCGATAACCCTTCTTTTCCAGCTCCCATGCCCATGTGGTGTTAAAATCCTGACAGATCTACAGCATCAGATCAGAATAAAGCCAACAAAAAATAAAACACTGATGAGACCAATATTGACTTAATACGGTCAATGGATTGTAAATAGCTCATAGCTATTTACATATTTATCACCGCTGAAATAATCCATAATTCACACAGCTGTTTAAATTTGATTGTTAAAAGCAGAATGTGTGACATATGACAAGTCATTCAATGCATAAATTCATTGTTAACACTGATTGACTTACCTTAATGAGATTCTTCTCCCATCTGTCTGCAGACACAGACTTGCCAATTTTCCTCAGCAACTTCACATGAAGGTCCACGAGGAGTTTGGGTACTGGGGACATAAAAGTATTTCAATATTTAAGCAAAATACACAGCACAATTACACAGCCATGTTTGACGCATGCATGTTTTTGTAAGTTATAGGGGAGTGGATCTCAAACTACTGTGTCCAGTTTGCGGAATAAAAATAACACCTAGCTAAATAATTACAAATTACACATTACAAAATGACAAAGAGCACCAGCATTGAATTAAGTGACTGATTAATCAATTGATAACCAGGCATTAACTGACTGTTTTTTAATATAGTAGTGTTTCTGTTGATTTAGTAAAATAAATTGACAGTAACACAGCAGTTTATGTAAGTGCCTGGTCCAAGCCAGCAACAGTAGGATCATGTTCATTAGTTCATTATTACTATTGTATTACACTGTACTATTAAATGTATGCACGTTAAATTGGCACTTAAAGCAACAACACAGTGTTATACATTACTGGACATTTATTATTACTGTTGTTCTTGTACCTGCCAAGTTTATGATCATGCTTCAATAAATCAATGTATTAATTTAAATATGTTTATGAGTGAAAGAATCTGTCTGTCTCTACTGTAAATGTACCATAACAGTGATAGTGTCTGTCAAAATACAATAACAACTACATGCATTACCACAACAAAACTAGTAATTTATTTTAATAACTCAAAGTTATACAGGTTAGAAGTGCGTGAGATTGAGTAAATGCTAACATAATTTAAGTTTAATATTACTCAATGCTGTCAACAAAACAACAACAAACTATTCAGAAGTTTATTTTTACACTGTTTAATCAAAAACCTGTAATCATTTATTACAGTTTTTTTGTAGTAACAATAACTACAACTGCAGCATATTAGGGAGAAACTATGGTTACCATGTACACATTTGTAAGGAGTATGGATGTAACAATTTTCGGAACAATTCGAGTCACTTCAGCTTGCATACCTAATACATTTATAATGCTGCAAAACCACCATAGATACAAATAAAAGGGCTTATTGACAACTTTAACTAAAGTTTAACACTCAAAATAATCCCATATTGTCATTTCTCCCTCCCAGCAGCGGGAGCAGGAAGTTTACACATTCTGCGCATGCGCGCTGCTCGCATCACACCAATTCATGCCAAATTATTATTTAACTATGAATAACATGAATATTTCATTCATCGCAACAAGTGCGTCGTTATATGTAAGTACAAGTGATTTCCCAATGCAAAAGGTCGCATATAAACGGAAATAAAGCAGCAATTTGTTTCTGTGTGCTGTGATGAGTAAATAAAGCGGAATAAAACCTCCCGTCCTTCAAAACGCCGAATTTAACAGCAGAAACGGCACATTAGAGACGCAAACAGCGACAAAAACAGCGACACTCGCTGCTGGATTACTGAGCAGTCCGTTTAAACGCATGTAAAGCGGCTAAAGAGCAACAATGGAGGAGCGGCTCACCCGCGCTGCTCTCCTGCAGACTGCGCTCCAGCATCGGGAACGACACCTCCGGCAGGTCCAGCAGAGCTCCATACCGCTCCAGAAACGAGCAGATCACGGCGAAGCTCGGGCATAATCCCGTGGAAGAACCGTCCGCTGCCTCCGAGGCAGACATTATTCCGAACCGAGCCGCTGGAGGACCACAACCTCCCCACAATGCACCGCGACTATGGCAGACACATGGCCCAGAAGCCCTTGCGCCAGAGACACCGAACTGATGTAAACAAACCAGCAGCAGCAGAGCGACAGAAAGCGGGAGAACTCGAGAGGAAAAGAAACAAAGGCCCATAAACCAAAACCTCAAATGGTACAATATTCCAGATAAGAAGCAAATACGAGACCAAAAAAAATATATATATATTCTGTGTCTCTGCCGTAAGCTCCACTTTGTATGGACTCTTTCTCTTTGAAAGTGAGAGAGAGAAGAATTGGAAGAAAGAGACAACAGTGAACGTAAAAGAAAGAGTGAGAGAAATCCAGACACTGGTGACATCTCTCCTGTTATTTGGAAACCCCACAAAAAAACTATATATTTTAAAACTGTTGTAGTGAATAAGTTCACTAACAAAATGAACTCATGTATCATGACAGTTCTCATTATGCATTCATAGGACAGGTGATTTAATGAAGCGTTAACAATATCATAGGTTACCAGCAGAGGGCGCTGTCAGTTAACTATATTTATGATACTTCGCGTGCGCACACACACATAAATTCATACAGGAGCAGAATTAATTTTTGTAAATCTTTTATAAATCCATTGAATGGACAATTTACACATTTTTAAAGATTACATTTATTTGTACGATTTACACTGAAATTCGTTCTACTTTTGTTTCATTAAGCCTAACTGTAAACAATATTGTAATTTTAATTGTAAAAGACTGTAAATAATGCTACAGTAAAAACCTGTTAAGTTCCCTTATTATATACAGTATATATTTTACAGTAAAATACTGTTAAATGTACACCTTTTAGAAGTATAAAAAACAGGAACCGGGAAGGAACGTTGGCAGGAGAAACCATGGAGGCACTGACGGTGGAAGGAACCAATGAGGAGCTGATGGTGGGAGGAAGTACGTGGCCGATGAGAACACAAAGCGACCCAGGAGACAGCCAGGAGGAAGGTGACCCATGGAGTGAAGCCAGAAGGACGACGGTCTCAGGTTGGGCCGAGGAGCCAGGGCGGAACTGATTGGTTGATGGGCTGAAGTGGAGCAGAGGGCTCAGAGGGGCGAGGCGGAGCCAGGGAATCTCCACACCACAGCAGAGCTGGAGACTGGAAGCCCCAAGGCGGATTCGGGTTGCATGGCGAAGCCTATAGGCTGAAGGAAGCCAGCGGAGGCGTGGCCAAAGGAATGGCTGGCTTTTGGTGGAGCAGGCAGGAGAGGAAGGCTGAGTGTGGACATCAATGCCATAGAACTGGTGCAAGGTGAGGAAACAGGCTTGGTGTTGGACTGGACCAGTTGCGACAAAGACAACTCTGTGCTGGACGGGACAAGTGGCGACGAAGACAACTCTGTGTTGAATGTAACCAGTGGCGATGAAGAAAAGTCTGTGCTGGACCAGAGGCAGAAGAGGTTTGTGGGCGGGAATTGGGGGGGAAGCTATTCCTCCACTTCTCAGTCGATCTGCCCCTCCTCTTCATTACACGGATGTAATGACCGCCTCACACACCTGGTCAGATGGGACCTCAGGCTTTTTCTCCGGGACGGACAAAGCTGCTGGCTCTGTAGCTCATTGGCTCAGGCACGGGGTCCGTATCGAGCATTTGCTGGGTCTCTCTGTCTGCGGTGGGCTCAGGCTCCTTATCCGCTGTGGGATCTGGGGCTGGAGTGGAGACGGATGCCAAATGGGGCTGGACGCTGGGGACGGAATCCTCTTCAACTTCGCCCACAGTAAAAGAGGATCCGTCTAAGTTGATATATTCCCCCAGGGTCCAACAGGAATCCCCCTTAGGCATTACATTACCATCCGAATGTTCTCATTCAGACCACTCATGAACCCCTCCATCAGTATCATGTCACATCTCTGGTGGGGTGATGGCAAACTGACAAACTTCCAAATAATCCTCCAGGTTTCTCCCATCTTGAAATAAAAAATAACAGTCCCTTTGGGCCAGTGAAAACGTTTCTGGTCCGGTACTCTGTCACGTAGTTCAAGGATAAAAAAGATAGGCAAAGTACTTTTACTGGTAAACTCTCAACGTTTGTGTGAATCATTACTTTTGGCTTAGTATTTTATTTGAGAATATATGTATATGGTCAGTACAATTTGAGGCCATACTTAAGGTAATCAGACAGGAGGACAGAAAGTGTCTGTGTGTAGAGTACATTCAGTCCTGGGGAGTTGCATTTAGTCCACACGCTTTTTGTTCAGTGCCCCACTGATGGTTAGGTTTAGGGGTGCTTCATGCTTATTTTTTTCTAAAAATCATACATTTCCATACGAGTCACATTGTATGAATTTATACGAAATCGCTCTCATAAAAAAGTTGTTTTCTTATGAGATCAGGTAGGTAGAAATAGTGTCTTTAGAAACACACTGACCCCTTGTGTCTGAATATGCTATTGATAATTTCATGCATATTATATTGTGCATTCATAAAGGAGCTGTATTGTATATATTCAGATTGTGAAGTTCTAGGAACAAAATACCAGCTATTAAAGTGGACCTATTTATGCGTTGTGTACTGAGGTGGTATTTTTCCTTTCGATGAAGTTTGGATAATGAGGAGGGCAGAGTGTGTTTAAAAAAGCCTATTGGCTGGAGCTAAAACCATTCCAGATGCTGTGTGCCATTTAGCCAGTATTACATAAGTTTATGAGCTTGACATGTAGGTTTGTAAGTCATTTAAATAATAAAAGCAAATTTACTGTCTTTTATTTATCAAGAATTGTGGACGGACTAAAATTGCAGCTATTCGGGTGAATTGCCACATCATAAAATCTGCTAAAAGTCATAACAGAGCGTACTAGAAAAGTTTATGATAGGCAAGCAATCTGAAAATTATAGAATAATCATGTGACATTTTGGTTGCTTTGAATGTCCACTGAAACATGGTCATATCTCCTTCTGTCGTAAAAACTTTAGTGTTCTTTTTTTCATTGCATATGAGGGAAACATGAAAAAAAGATATGATTTTATCTGTCTATTTTGCAGATAAGCCAGATCTCCCATTCAAAATTGCAGGCAATTGCTCATTTCTCTTCATCCCTGGTCATTCTTTTTCTTCATTCCTTTGACATGCAAAATGTTCCTTCCCATCCCAAACGCCCAATAGGATAACAGCTCCTAATAATTAACAGTAATGCATTAACCAAGAATGAGCAATGCATTTGTTACAGGATTTATTAGTATTTATTCATCTTTATTAACGTTAGTTAACTGTTCACTGTTAGTTCAGGCCCATTAAATAATATTAACATATAACTTTTGATTAGTAAACATTTAAAGTAACATAAATGAACAAATTCTCATTGTTAGTTCATGTTATCTAATGTAGTTAACTAATGTTGATGGAACCTTATTGTAAAGTGTTACCCACACCAGCACATACTAGCAGGAACTTGGACTTAGAGAAATACAGATTTGTTTTGTTATTCATGTTTTAATGACACTTAGAATTAATCATTTATTGCAAATATAAATATTTCCTTGTATTTGACTCATTAAGAAAGATACATACTGATATGAAATTTTCTGTGATTTTAAACGTCTCATGATTGATTTTTGCTAAAAAAAAAAAGAAGGTAAAAACGCTAAATGAAACCGTGGACAAGTAGAACAACAAACAATTCAGCAATGTATTTTGGACAACAGCTATATTGTACTGATTTGTTGCCATTCTGTGGAAGTAATTTTATATATTATATATAAATTAATTTGTTATTGCCTCTGCACATTAAACTAGGACAGGATAAAGTATTATTATTTTTAATTGCAACGTACATAATAGGAATTACGCCCTAAAAAGAAAGAAAAAAAATATTACCTGAAAAGATTCAGTTGTGGAAGGATAAAGGATCATTATGTAATATATATGTTTTGATAACACATAATTACTTGTTAAATTCAAAAAGCTAATGACATCTCAGTTCGACTGGAGTCATCTAAAAACGCCTTTAAAAAATGTAATCACCATAGTTATGTATAAAGAAGAGGGCACAAATGACTAGAGTGCCGCGAATTTCCATGTACTCTGCCAGCTGACACAGCAATACCCTGCAGAGAATGATGTGGCATGATGGGACAGCCATATTAAGAATGACGCGAGGAAAAGTAAACGATCCAGCAGTGAAGTCAGCAGTGACATTAATGTGCACCACCTGCTTCAGGATTATAAATGCATTTTTTAGGACCTTCAGGAGGTCAAGAAAATCACTAGAGTTACATGATTCATGTTCCAGTAATGTAAAAACATGCCTGAAATTTTCCTGTGCATTAAACCTTAATTGTGTTAACTGTCTAAACCTTTGTTCTTGTGATTAGCATGCTTACAATTTTACGAATGTCTTTGCATTCGATAACAAAACCAAGCGGCATTTAAAGGGATACTCCAGCCAAAAATGAAAATTCTGTCATCCTTTACTCACCCTCAAGTTATTGCAAACCTGTATGAGTTTCTTTCTTCTGCTGAACACAAAGGAAGATATTTTGAAGGACGATTGGAACTTTGCCACCATTGACTACCATAGTATTTTTTTTTTTTCTACTATGGAAGTCAATGGTGCCAAACAACTGTTTGGTTCCAATCCTTCTTCAAAATATCTTCCTTTGTGTTCAGCAGAAGAAAGAAACTCATACAGGTTTGCAACAACTTGATGGTGAGTAAATGATGACAGAATTTTCTTTTTTGGGTGGAGTATCCCTTTAAAGAAAAAACAATTTAATTGCTTGTGCATGAAACAATAAATATACTGTTCAAAATCAAGAAAATAAATGTATCTATTTGGATATTTTATGGTTGTCAAAGTTGTGAAATGGTTGTGGAAATCGATGGTTAAAGTCATTGCAAGTTCAATTAGTAGAAAAGATCTAGCTTGATGCCATATTTTATCTACCATTCTGACATTTAAAGTGTCCAAATACTTTTTGTGGGCCACTGATAATGGAGTTTTGAGGAGATACTTGCCTTTCCATAGTGTGACCTATGACTTTTGTTTCAATGCAGGGAGGACATTTATAGATGTGCCTGTTCCTTTCAGAGGAAATATGTATTAATACACAAGGCAGGTCTCAGTGGCAGCTGTCTGGTAGGCATGAATTAATGTCTGCGTCTGCGTCAGTCGTGGATGTATCCGCTTTCAAAAAGTGGGCGTTCTGAGTGTGTCTGGTAGGACACGGGGTTTGTTTACCTCTTTCAGAAGCAGAAAGATCACAGGGTACGTTGAAGAAACTGGTTCTAGCTGGATGCAGACAGCAGAGGTAGGACTTCAAGATTACAGACCAAACAATGCAGAAAAATGTGCAAGTGATTCAAGAGTATACAAACACACAAACCAATCTTGAAAATACAGAAGGTAATATTACAAGGTTGTTTAGCTGTGATCGGCCAGTGATCAAGGTTTACAAAGGTGCAAATCACATGCCTCTATAGCCAGTGATGCAAACCCATTCTAGGAGCTCATTTGTCACACATTTCTGGTGGGAATGCTGGTAGGTTGTGACAGTTCAGGCAGAAATATCATAACGCAGCACTTTGAATGTCCTGATCTCATGTACTCACACAAACAGGCATGTGATGGATATTTTGCCTTTATTTTTCCTCTGATCTTCCACCTACTGCAGCTTTAAGACGGCAGGTCAAGACAGCAAATATTTCTCACCATTTATTGAAACATGATAATGCCACTGTCACATCACTGCATTTACTTAGCAGCCAAATGATAATGAATGATTATCATGTTATCATAGACTATTTTAAGTTAAGTTTCAAAATCTTAGAGTAGTCTTTTGCTAACTTATTCCTTTCAGATCACCTAAATATATATATATACGTATATACATTTAAAAAAAAAAATCCAAAATTATTTAAAACATTCTTGGTCAAGTGGCCAAGAAACAATAATTATATAAATATATAAAATCTATGAACATATATAAGATATGATGGGGTTTTTTTTTGTAATGTGTAATGTCCTTAAAATATACTCTCTTTTTTATGCATTATGATCAGGTCTGGACCGGATCCGCATACGGACTACAGAGGTACCTATTTTACTGTCAGCAGATGCACACATTCTTTCCCTCCCTGAGACATGCACAGATTGGCTGTATAGGGTGGCGTTCCCGAACAGCTTGTACAACTTTAACAAGTTTGGGGCGGAGCAGCATCTTGGTACATATTGTTTTTCCTCTGGAATGGGTGTCAGGCATATTTACGTAAAGGCGTTGCTCTCTCTTTATCCGGCAAAGAAAAAATGGATGGAAAAACCATTGTGTTTTTAATAAACCGATGGCAACATTACTTGAAACACTGATCCCCTCTCTGTAAAGAGCAGAAATGAAAATGATCCCTAAGTTCTTAAGTCAAACTGGCAAGCCCCTCTCTGATAGGATGAACATATATCCATTGGCAATCTCAGCAGCCAATGAGATCGCACTCAGATTACAGTGCAAAATTCCCCCAGAGGTGTTTTGAGAAGTGGGCGAAAGGTGACAGCGCTGGTACAAGCAACATATGACCCATGAGGCCCATGAGACCCATGTCAACTATTTTTGTGAAAAACAATAAACAATCAAATTAATAATTTTAAATGGACATGCACAAGAAAATGTACCCAAAATGATATATTGCTTATGTGTTATTTATAAAAATAAAAAATGAATTAAAAAACATAAATTTATACCAATCTGCAATTCTTATAATTTAATAATATTATGTGCAATTTATATAATTTAATACATACACATATATACACACACTCACACACACACACACACACACACACACAAACACAGACACACATATATATATATTTATATATATATATATATATATATATGTCTTTTTTACTGATATGTGTGTACCTTTAATATGGAGAACAGACAACAACCCTATCGGTAAACTACTAAACTAGTAAACAAGTGTACACATTGTCCCACCACACAAAGTTAAAATTAGAGTCGTGTGATGAAAGGAATACATGGGACTGGCTGCAACCGGCACATGCGCCTATAAATTCAGAGTTTGACAGACCGTTTCCATCATACTCAGGTTGAAAACACACTCGCTGGATTAACCCCCGGATGGAAATAATTATTCTGCTTTCTGTCAGTACAATTTGGACTAACAATTTCATTTTACCGCAAGGTTGGTGAGCACACTATATTTTCTTCTATTTCACACAATATTGTATGCTAATTTATATGTTTCTGGGTACCCAGTGCTGAAGTAATGAGAGATATTGAGTTTACAGTCAGCATATATTTTCTATAACAACCAATCAACATATGATGGGTTTTGATCCTAAATGTTTCTCTGTAGTTTTGTGCTGCTGGAATGCTGCTTTGGGACATTGAGCCACATTTTTTTATGGCCAAAGGTGTTGAAACATTTAAAACAAACGACAAGAGAGTTATCCTTTTGGAAGAAACTTGATCGTGAATCAGTGGTCCGCTGAGGTAAATTGAAGCTTAAACGTTTATTTCGAATTCTTTAATCTGAATCGACATTCATTTGAGATGATGAATCTTAACCACTTTTGGTCTGCTTCTTATTCTCCCTCAGGTAGGGAAACACAAGTAGCTCTGTAAAAGAGAGTAAAGTTATCTTGCTGCTGTCAGAAGCACAGAAAAATGGTTGGAATAAAACCTACCGATCTTCCACCAACTGCCACTGTCAAGTTTTTTGGAGCCGGTACGGCAGCATGTTTTGCTGACCTGATCACTTTCCCTCTGGACACAGCAAAAGTTAGACTTCAGGTGAGGACTTATTAAAAAGCATTGCATAAAGGATATTTTTTTTATATACATTTAGGCCCAGTTTCATAAACAGGGCTTAGATTAAGTCGGAATTAGACCTTAGTTCAATTAGGTAATTTAAACATTTAAGTATTACTGATGTGCATCTTGAGACAAAACAATGCATATTTTAAGATATGTCAGTTGCTTTCAGTTAAGACAGCTCAAACATGCATTTTAGTCTGGGACTATAGGCTTAAGCCTTCATGTCTGTGAAACAGGGGTAAGAGTAATTGCCAGTAACAATTAAATAACAAACAAAAAATATCATTTTGATCCATCTGTCATGGCTTTCATCGTATTTCAGATCCAGGGAGAGTCTATAGCTACATCAGGATCAGCCGTGGTGAAATATCGTGGAGTATTTGGCACCATCACCACTATGGTGCGTACAGAGGGCGCAAGAAGTCTGTACAATGGCCTGGTGGCAGGACTGCAACGTCAGATGAGCTTCGCATCTGTTCGTATCGGTCTTTATGACTCAATGAAGCAATTCTACTCCAGAGGATCTGAGAGTGAGTATCAGACTGTTTGTTTAAATAGAGACAGAAATGATTATAGACAGACTGACACTCTGCTCTTTTCTTCTCAGATGCGAGCATTGTGACTCGCCTGCTGGCTGGCTGCACCACCGGGGCCATGGCTGTCACTTTTGCACAGCCCACAGATGTCGTAAAAGTGCGATTCCAGGCTCAAGTGCGTCAGTCTGATGGATTAAAAAGATACAACGGCACAATGGATGCATATCGGACTATCGCCCGCGATGAGGGTATTCGAGGGCTATGGAAAGGTGAGCAAAAGTTCACCCCAAAAAATGCTATCATCATTTACTCACCCTCGTTTCATTCCAAACCTGTTTGAATTTCTTGGGAACAAAGAAGTTATTTTGAAGAATGCTTCCGTTGTTTTTCTCCACACAATGTTAAGTTTATGGGGTCCAAACCAGTGTTGTTATTGTTACCTATAGCTAAAAATAAAACTAATACAAATGTGTAAGTGAAATAAAATAATAAAATATAAATATCAGATGAAAAACTTGCACTTAAAGGAGAACTCCGTCGCAAAATGAACCTTTGGTCTAATTACACATTGTTACCTAGTCAACCGTTATCTGAGATTTGTTTTCATGATTATCGAATGTAAATAGTTTTATCTCTAAAAACAGTTTAGCCTATAAAGCTAGTATAACGCTAGTATATTGGGCATAGATCAATGACAAATAAAAATCGCTTGTTAATACCACTAACAAGGCTCAAAATAGACCCACACTAACACGGTAGCATAATGAGGGTCCCTACCTTCAAACCGAAGCATTGAGAACTTTGTCAGTGTCCAGACAGTTTAATAAGAAGATATTTAATACATACAGTCAACTTCGCGTATACAGGCAGGAGCCATCTTTGAAATACAGTCTCTGCCAGTCGATCTACGAACGCCGATCCAAGTGCGCTGGTGAGATGTGAACGAGCTATAAGTTGTGATAAGGTGAGCGCGAACAGCAGGCTTGGATCGGCGTTCGTAGATCGACTGGTAGAGACTGTATTTCAAAGATGGCTCCTGCCTGTATACGCGAAGTTGACTGTATGTATTAAATATCTTCTTATTAAACTGTCTGGACACTGACAAAGTTCTCAATGCTTCGGTTTGAAGGTAGGGACCCTCATTATGCTACCGTGTTAGTGTGGGGCTATTTTGAGCCTTGTTAGTGGTATTAACAAGCGATTTTTATTTGTCATTGATCTATGCCCAATATACTAGCGTTATACTAGCTTTATAGGCTAAACTGTTTTTAGAGATAAAACTATTTACATTCGATAATCATGAAAACAAATCTCAGATAACGGTTGACTAGGTACCAATGTGTAATTAGACCAAAGGTTCATTTTGCGCCGGAGTTCTCCTTTAAAAAGTATTAAAATTACAAAAGCTAAAACTGAAATAAAAATAAATTAAAGCTAATTCAATTTAAAAAGTAATAAAAATGACAAAAGCACATAACAAACTTACAAAATCCAAATGAAAACTGAAGCCAATTCAAAGTATTAATAAATTCTTTTTGGTCCTGCAGAAGAAATAAAGTCAAACAGGCTTGAAACGACATCATTTTTCAATGCACTATCCCTTTAACTTCAGCTTTCACATGCCAGTCTAAGTGCATGTGTTCTCTAGTGGAGATAAACATGCATGTTTTTCTCTATTTTAGGCTGCATGCCAAACATCACAAGGAACATGATCGTTAACTGTGCAGAGCTGGTTACTTACGACATCATCAAGGAACTCATATTACAATACGACCTCATGACAGGTATGCTACCATATGTATATGCTTTCATTATGGTTATTTTTATGTACTTGTTGTCTAACATGTGTGCCCTGTTTAGATAACCTACCGTGCCACTTTACTGCTGCATTCGGCGCTGGCTTCTGCACAACGATTGTGGCGTCTCCAGTAGATGTGGTAAAGACCCGCTTCATGAACTCATCTACAGGCCAGTACCGCAGTGCACTTAACTGTGCCCTCACTATGCTAACCAAAGAGGGACCAAAAGCTTTCTATAAGGGGTAAGAAAAATCATGCTGTAAACCAATCATGATGTGTTATTTACACAGAACAATGCACACATTCTTATTTTCAGTACCATGAATGTGACATCCTCATCTTCCCCAACAGCTTCGTGCCATCCTTCCTGCGCCTGGGATCCTGGAACATTGTGATGTTCGTCTCCTACGAGCAAATCAAGAGATGTATGACTAAAATGCAGCACTCATGGGAGTCACCTTTCTGAATGGACATTGTCAGAATCTTCTGATTTTGATTGAACAAAAGCAGAGAACAGAGGGATTCACGGTTAAGTCTTATCACTGAAAAAAAAAATGCTGCAACTTTTTAAGGCCAAAGGTCAAGCTCATCAAAAATGAAAGATGAGTCACCAAAAATCATGAGATGCATGGCTGATAAAGCAAAATGTGCATAATTTGTCTTAGTTTTAGTGTCATGGTACACTGAGAGAGGTGGTATTAGAGTTCACTGTTTATGTATGTGCTTTTAAAATGTCATGAAAACGGGTCCATAGCTTTAATGAATGAATGAATATTTATACTATAAATTGTAAACTGTACATTATTGGAAAATAAAGTTTTTTTTATGATATATATTTATTTTGATAAAAGGTCTAAACTGTTTTAAGTATCAAACCAGGAACATACAACTCATTTAGATCACATGCATTTGACTCCCCTGAACTCAAGAGTCATTTAATCAGGTTCAATGATCAAATCAACAGAGAGCACATCACAAATGGCTTTCACATGACAAAGGATCAGAAAGTGTTTTCAAACTGCTTTTCCGAGCTCTCGTGCTGACCTATAAAAGACAGACAAACAAAATCTTCATTAGAACGGAGCTGTGAAGTTCACTTGAGGGAAAGAGGAAGTGCATTTGCCCAATTAACAATCAGAAGACAAATGCAAATCTGTGAAGTGGGTGACAAAAAAGGAAGACAAGGAAGTGTGACAGAAGAGAATAAGAGATGGCTGATGCTCTCTGAAGACTGCTGTGTGACCCTTGAATTGACCTGAGATCAGGCCTGATAGTAACACAATAATAAGCAACAGTGTGCAGTTAATGAAGCACGTGTCACTGCAGGTTTTAACCCATGTCTCAGGTGAACACAATTATTTTATTTTGCGTTGAAGTTGAACTTTCTCCATCATAGTTCCGCGATAACACACCTCCATGAAACTTAAGCAGCAGCTTTGTCTTCGATAATGGTGAGAGGGAGTTCAGTATGTAGTGAAGTATGTAGTTGAGATGCTTTTGGTTATAGGCTTGAGGAAAAACTCAGCTATGAGGATATTAAGACTTTACATGACACTGATAAATAATAAAAAACTAACTTGATATCAAATAATACCAATCTATGTGATGAAAAAAAGCAGATGTGTCTTGAAAAAAGGGAGAACTGAAAGTCCTCTATTATGGATAACATATGTGCAACTACATCACATAATGATTCAGAATGACTCAGCGTTTCATACAAATGGGGAGTCTGGGGCTAGTTGTCACACTTTTACTCTAAAATATTTTTCAGATAGATTTGTATAAATAGAATTGTTTTTGCAAGTCAATTTCATGTGTATAAGCACATACTGTAAAGTATTGGCATTGTCACTGAACTAAGTTTACAATTTCCGAAACACAAAACAATGAATGAAACACCAAAATCTATTACACTAACATTCGACACATTTAAACTAGAGCAAATCTATGGAGCAAATGCACAACGTTTAGCAGAATTTACCTGGTATTTAAAAACGTTGCTCATATTTCGTATGCTGATAAACTTCTTCAACTAACACATAGGTTTCTAGTTTTATAACCCAAATCGAAAACAATGAAAGATGAACGTTGGAAATAGGTGTTTATCAGTAAAGTCAGAAGAGGCGTTACTTATGCGCCGAATAACGCGTCACGTGTGTCACGTGACTTCCTCGAAGGAGTTTAAAAGGGTCGCTGCCATAGACAGTATAAGGGTCGCTGCGGCGTTCGGAACAGAGCAGAGCACCTGTGGTTTTTAACTGTTTGCTTTCCGAAGGAGTTATTTTTCTTCCCAGTAAACACTTTTATTCATAGATACTTTATATATTTTTGTTCAAGGTGAGTTTTGTGAACTTGCATACTACGAATAGACTTTCTCCTCTACTAGCGAAAGTTTTTTCTGTTTATTTGAAGTGATGCTGAGCTGTATGTAACATGGAGTTTTTGTCTTTCAGACTTTGGAGTATGTTTTTTATCTGTACGGGTTATAAACGTTTCTTTATGGAAGAACACGGCAATAAAATTCAAGTTGAAAGTAATTTCAACCAAAGAGATGCTTTTAGAGAATCTTGAAGTTCAGAAACTCATCCAAACCGGTAAGTTTTCCAAAAGCGTTTATTCTTTTGTTTTAACCAATATAGTTGATCTCGTTGATTTAATATCGCGTAACCATTATATAATCTCGCATTTTGTGCGTATTTGCAATTCCTTTGTTGAAGTTCCTTTGTGTGGTAGAAAGTCAACAAAACCCCCACGCAGATGCAAACAGGATGATGACGTCAGTTTATAGCTTAGCATGTCAGAAAGAACATGATGTTCCTGTTTGTGTCTGTTGACCGTTAGAGAGCAATGTCTTAAGCACAGGCGTTGTCCCACCAAATGGCTTTTATGGTTTTATGGCTTTAAAAAATCTAAAACTAAATTTAAAAAAAATTGTCCCTACGAAAATGGCTGAAGTTTGCATAAACCTTATTAAAAAGAGTGCATAATCATCATGTCTTCCTTCTCCAGGTTAGGGTGGAGTCCACCTATCTTGTGTTCACTTCATTGGTTTTCAACACATTCCATTTCATCTTTTACGTTCCCGACTTCCCGTGATTCTGACTTCAATTAAACATGGTTGGATTCAGAGCTAGTGATGTGCCTCCTACAGCCGCTGTGAAGTTTATTGGTGCGGGAACCGCAGCCTGCATTGCAGACCTTTTCACGTTTCCACTGGACACAGCAAAAGTTAGACTTCAGGTGAGTCTTTGTTGTGTGGAACTTGTTTAAATGATACAACTTTGCTTGAGTGACCGCTGAGCCAGCGGTTGAGCCTGGAGACTACAGATGCGTGTCACGACTCAATCCAGGTCAACTTGCAGCAACAAAAACAAACTAATTTCTCCTTTCAGGTGGATGGTTTAAAGTCACACCCATACTGACGTCAGCTCTATATTTCTTTTGACTCTTTTTACACTTTGCAACGTAAGCAGGTCCAGGCCTTGATGATTGTCCTTGCTGCCCCAGGATCACTATGGACCCTTTTAACCTGAAGATGCTGCTTCCCTCCCCTGTGATTCTGTAAAGTTTCTCCATCCACCTTTTGTTCTGTACAGATTCAAGGGGAGACCAAAGGTCCTGCGAACACAGGCCATGGGCCAGTGCAATATCGTGGAGTGTTTGGCACGATCAGCACCATGGTGCGTGTTGAGGGGCCACGCAGTCTCTACAACGGGTTGGTTGCGGGACTGCAGCGTCAGATGAGCTTTGCCTCTGTACGCATTGGCCTCTATGATTCAGTCAAGCAGTTCTACACCAAAGGCTCAGATCGTAAGTTCATTCCATGTGCTCTATGCTTGAATGCAGAGATAATTGGTTAGTGTTTTTTTTTTTTCATGCAAGACCTCTCATTAACCCCATTTCAATGCATTTTCCTTTATTAGACATCGGGATTGGCAGTAGGTTGATGGCCGGCTGTACGACTGGAGCCATGGCAGTGGCTTTGGCCCAACCCACAGATGTGGTGAAGGTACGGTTTCAGGCTCAGATCAGCGCCGGGGCCAATAAACGTTACCATGGCACTATGGCTGCATATCGGACCATTGCAAAGGAAGAAGGGTTTCGTGGTTTGTGGAAAGGTGAGCATGGGCCCACTTAAGTCAATGTTGTTGTGTGTTTTTGTTTGAGTGCAAGTTTATTAATTGCCTTTTTTTATAAATTATACATTTAAATTACTACAACACTTATTTTAATGCATAGTATATTATTATTTTACTAATAATGTATTAAAGTAACTTATTTTAATATATTTAAATTTTTATTTGTTAAATTTCATTCATTACATATTATACTTCTATACATTATTAATTCTATTATACTATTACCACTACTAATACTTTTTAAATCTATACATTATTTCAATGCATAGTTTTATATTACTACTAATATTAGTTTTACTAATAATATATATATTTTTTTGGTTAAGTTTGAGTAATATTTTATGTACTTAAAGTGCATAAACTAAATGTATTATGCAATTTATTAACTTATTCTCTCCTTTCTAATTTGTACTACCCTTTCTATCATTTTAAAGGAACTGGCCCAAACATCACCCGCAATGCCATTGTAAACTGCACTGAGCTGGTGACCTATGATCTCATCAAAGATGCACTTATAAAATCATTGCTGATGACTGGTAAGATGAGGCTGCAAAAAAGTATTGCAAACTTGAGTTAAACTATGACAGAAATATTTATAGCTGCTCTTCACAGATGATCTTCCTTGCCACTTCACATCTGCGTTTGGAGCTGGTTTCTGCACCACAGTTATTGCTTCTCCTGTTGATGTTGTGAAGACAAGATACATGAACTCCGCCCAGGGCCAGTACAGCAGTGCCCTCAACTGTGCTGTAGCCATGCTAGCTAAAGAGGGACCAAAGGCTTTTTACAAGGGGTCGGTTTTCTTGACCAACTACAGCTTTACTGTAATGATTGGAGGATGAATGTAGAATTGACATCTGTTTTTCTTTTTTAGATTCATGCCATCGTTTCTGAGGCTGGGCTCCTGGAATGTGGTTATGTTTGTCACCTATGAACAGCTGAAACGGGCCCTGATGGCAGCTCGCCATAACTGGGCCCCTCTTTAAGAGCATAATGCCGTTAGTTGAGCTTTGCTGATGTGGTTCTAACTTTCTCTTGACTTTAGATTTTCTGTGTGCATTGTTTACATGTCTATTAAACTTGATCTTTGGTTTTTACATGGTTCATCTGTCTTTCAGAATATGTGAAATAAAATTAGGCTATTAAAAAAAACACCTGTTTAAATCTGTTTAATCTTCAGTATCAACATTTCTAATGACTGACAAGACTTTAAGAAGTCTGTATTAGTTTTGATGAAAGGGCTTGTTTTAGAAGCTGTTTCTTTTCAGCCGAGAGCTTCTCTGGGAAATGTGTAACGAAGCGAATGATCAGGTCGCCTCTCTTGGATGGGCTGTTGGCTAGTGGCATTCCCTCCTGGGTCACAACCTTGGTGTATTGAGGGCTGTAGAACAAAGAAATTAAAATGAAACTATCTTAAATATGAAACCTTTGTTCAGAAGTTCTGCTGAGTAACATATAAACATGTTCATGTTAAAAAAGAGATGTTTTACTCACTGCACAATGTCATTAATTGGGATGTTGAGAAGCCTGCCATCTAGTGTCTCAACTTCTACTGATAACCCAGTCAAAGCCTGTAGAGTTACCATATATTCAAAGATATAAAAAGTTAGATTTATGAAACTTAAATTGACAATTCAATTTAAAAAATGACATTTAGAGTGGAACTAATACATTTTTAACATGTTGGTCCAATTGAAACCACATGTTCAGCATGAAAACTAGACAAAGATGGAAAGCCTCTCTGGTCATAATTAGAGTGTAAAAACATGTATATTTAAATCTGCTGAAATGCTATGCTAAAACAAATGTTTCTCACCTTCTCAAGAGAAATATTTGCCGTGTAGAACAGATCATCATTTTGGCGGACAAAGCGTGGGTGATGCTTTTGGCGTATGATGAACACAATATCTGCTGAGATGTTGTTTGGTCCCTGTGGAGAAAAAGATTCAATTCTGCGATGACCAAGATCTATTTACGACCACGACAAAACAAAATTGTGATAAAAACGTGTTCTGTCGTGCCTGGTCTCCCTCTTTTGGAAACGTGATCCGTGTCCCTTCGTTCCATCCTGCTTTTACAGTGAAGGTTAAAATTTTGTCTCTGATGCTGGATGTGTGTCCATCCTCATTCATGACCTGTATCAAACATGTCTCTTTGCTGAAATTAATTTCTCATGAGTCCATATGATTTTATCTTTACCCTTGTCTGCAGAACTTACCCTACGGGATATCTTAATTTTTTTAGTGCATCCATAATAAAGGTCCTCCAATGCAAGATGAAGGTCTCTCTCTATTGGTGGATCCTGTAACTTTTCTTTTTGCCCACGCAAGCTTTGAAAAGCTGTGTTGACCTCACTGCCTTCACCAGTGAAGAAATCTATGGAGGATGAGTAAGCAGATATTACTAATCAGAGCTTGGGTTCTTCAAAACACCATGGCATTATGAACATTGATTGAACCAGGTTGTCTCTCGAAATGTCAATTAAAATCATACAAATTAAAAATACTATAGAAATTACCTGCAAAAGGATTATCTCCTCCGAAAAACTTTCGGAATGTTTCATCTGCATTTCCATGGTAGACATATCCTGATGACCAGGCGCCATTCGCTCCCAGCTCAGATGGGATTCCTCCTTTTAAACCCTCCTCTCCAAACTTATCATAAGTGGCCTTTTTACAAGCTGCATTGCATGAGAAAGGCCATCACCAACTTACCAGGAAACAGCAAATTGAGGGCTGAACTGTGTACTGTGTGCTGTTTTCCTTACACAATGAGTGGCAGGAGGATATAGTATGAAATAGTGATAGCCTACCATGTAACTTTGATCAAGTATATATTTGAAAAATTAATAACATTTAGCCTACATGACACCTTAAAGCAGGGTTTTAAACTGGGGTGCTAGGGGGTCTGTGAAAAAGTTCAGAGAAAAAAAATGCAAATAAATTATTAAAACCAAATTATTATTATTATATTTATTTATAAATAAATTATATAATGGATATAATTACATTTACAGTTTTTGACATTACCATTTTATTCCGGGTTTTTAAAGACTGGTCTGTAATCATGAGATAAATTATGGTTACTTTGTATATTTTATTAGTTTCTCTCGGGTAGAACAAGATAATACAGTATATTAGGATTGGAATGTGAACATCATATTTAGGAGTTCTTGGCATCAAAATTGACATCAAAATCAAAAACGTTGAATAACGTTATGTCGAATATTCAAGTGCTGTTGCAAGGTGTTTTTTGTATTTTGTGGATGTATATGTATATGAGTTTGTCTAGTGAACTCACGGTCGCTCAGCACGTCAAACGCCTCCGCGAGCAATGTGAAGCGCTCGGCGGCGCGCGCGTGGCTGCTGCTGCGCGGATGATGCTTCAGCGCGAGCCGCCGATACCTGATTATACCGGAATAAAAACAATCCGCTGCTAGCAAATTATTCCTCAAAATGAACGTAAACCAAATTGTTGACTAGTTTATCTTCTTTTAATTGAATTTATATATATTTACAAAACTACTTATAAATTAAACAAAACGTAACTTACGCCTTCTTTATGTCAGCATCAGTGGCGTTGCGGTTTATTTCCAAAATAGTGTAATAGTCTCTGCCCATCGCCTAACTGTTTATCTAACTTTCCTAATTGATCTAATATTTACACTTTAAACGTATCAGGGCACAAATGCAAACCGGGATTTGGTCAGTAGGAATGAACATTAGTTTACTGTTGTCAAAGGAGGTTGTTATGGAAACAGAGAACGGAATTCTGGGTAATGCCGTCGTTCTTTAAACAGCTGCTGAATTATTTAATCCCAGAGATTAAAATATTCTGACACTGTCAACAACATTACCGCAGTCACATTGAGGATGAATTTCAACTCTCCTCATACTCCAGTGCATTCACATCAACTTTTAAAGACAGGTCAAGACAAAAATGACTATATGGAAAACAATCATGAGATAGTTTATTCATTACATACACACCATGTAGAAAATGTCTGTCATGGAAAAACACACTTTATTTCATTTGAAAAACATTTTTAAATAATACATTAATTATTAATTTTTGCAATAAGCCCCTCAAGCTCAGGTCTTGTTTTGAACCGGGCTTGATAATCTGCTTCCTTGTGCTGAAAAACAAACAAAAAAAACACACACGCACACACACAACAACACAAATGAAGCCCATAACAGGTGTTAGTAGTTTCATAAATGCAGCCAGACATTTAATATAAGAGCAGTATCAATGTCAATGATTATGAAGTGTAATTTTCTGACCTGCTTTACACAGAGTTGCACTCCCTCAGGCTGGTTCTTCATAAGAACTTCCGCAAGTATGGGAAAAAGTGTTGCCTTCATTTCACTTATCTAAATGCACATCACCAATACATCATTTATAGGCTACAGGACACAGGTATCATAATTACATGCAATCATAAAATTAGATAATTTATTCATACAACCAACCACATGTTGCATTCACTCTACCTGAACAACACGCTCATGGGTTTTCAGGACTTGATCTACATACATCTTTGTGCCTTGCTCCTGCATTACCATGACTTCTGTGCTTTTCGTAGGCAGGGCAAAGCTTTAAAACACAAATAAGAGAGAATTATTTTCACTGTTACCTTACAATAATTCATAGAATGTTAAATGCTGTATTGTTCATCATGACACATTTTATATTAAAAACAACATGATTTTGAGAATAGCCTGTCTTGGTTTGTGTGCAAAGTGATTTTAAAACATGACAGTATATATATATATATATATAATAAAATATATCTCTCTTTCCCACCAATCATCGACTTTGATGTCCAAGTGACTGCAGAGATTGTGGATGTACTGGGAATAATGTTCCACTAGAGTCATGTCATAACCGGAAACACACACATTAAGCACGCCAAACTCCGTGGCGGTCGCTGCTTTGATCTGCTTTGCCTGAATTTTGTCCTTCTTCTTCTTTGGCTGAATGAAAAAAATTGAGCATATTCTATTAACTGGCAGTGAAAACTTTTTATACTGATGATGTACAAAAAACTAGGTCTTACCGATGCTTTTGGAAGAAGATGTCTGTATCTTCCAATACCATGTGTGGGCATTGATCTATACTGTCTGTTAGTCAGCAAAACACCTGGTTAGACACATAAAAAAAACATTTGATTACTATCAGTTAACAATTATATTTGAACACTGGTGTATAATAAAACATTTTTTATTATGATTATTTTTTATGGTCTATGATGACTCTTTTCAAAAATATTTTCCATTTATCAATCAATTTATGAATCTAAATGATCCATTATATCTTTTGATGTCATATACTCATATTCATCTATTCTATTCAGACATTAAGTTCACCTCCGCTCTGAAAACGTACGTCTAAATTTTGTTGCCACTTCTCCAAAAGTTGAGACATTTTATCCCCTTCCGTCTGCAAAGTCTGAAATCCTGTCTTATATCAAATGTCGTATGAGTTTGTTTTCTTACTTGGAATTAATGTACAGCGAGTATTATCATAAGGACTAGTCATGATGAAAATGCTTATTTGGCTCTTTCAGCTTTTAGAGTGTTAAAACCACAACTACTCTTGCACCATGAGGCCAGAGCTGATTCTTAGAAAGTATATTTTTGACATGATTAATGTGTACCCATTCCTTATCTGATCTGAACATATATAAAATCTCAGACTGGTTTATTGTTACTTTGTTTTTACTACTAAAAGCTGATTGTTACTTACAAATGTATTTAACCATTCATTGTTTTAATTATTCATTTTATTCTTTACTTATTAATAAAATAATTTGTATCCATGACTGCATCAAACACACATACATAAATGAAAATTAAACATAGAACAACAGATTTATTGCTCTTACCCAAAGGCATCTGCGTAGTTAACACTTGACTTCTGTGACATTAAGAGAAAAGTCAATGATCAGTTTTAATAATATACCACTATATATATATAGACTATTTTTTTATATTTGCTGCCACTGGGTTACATCTTTTCCAAATACGGAGTATCATTTCATTTATACGCTGAGGACACCCAACTGTACTTCCCATTTAAACAAAATAATTCAAGCTCTTTGGAAGTCCTGCTTCCAAACTAAATAAATCTGAAGTAATACTCTTCGGACCAAGTGACTTCTATGACTCTGGTATTACGGACCTTGGTGAGTTAAATTCTCATGTTACTCCATCTGATCAAAATTAATTCCGTCGTTAAATCATGTTTCTTTCACTTACGACGTATTGCAAAAGTCAAATCTTTTCTCTCTCCAAAGAACTTCCAAAATAGTCATTCGTTCATCACCTCACGAGTCACGACTTGACTATTGCAATTCACTCTATTTTGGAGCTAACCAATCATCTATCGGGCGTCTTCAATCAGTTCAAAATGCTGCTGCCAGGCTGTTGACGGGTAGGCGAAAATTCAATCACATCACTCACTGGATGGATACCAGTCAAACGGAAAATTGGGTTCAAAGTTTTAGTTTTAAAATCGTTACACGGCTTAGCACCAGGGTTCTTATCCGATTTAATACATTGCATTCTCACAATCCTTCCAGGTCACTTAGGTCTAGCAACCTTGGATTGCTCTCTGTGCGTAGATCGAGATTGAAACATCGAGGAGACCGAGCTTTTGCAATTGCAGGCCCCAAACTATGGAGTAGCCTACCAGTAGAACGGTGTCATCACTTGCCACTTTTAAATCAAAGCTTAAAACACATTTTCTTAGTGTGGATCTTTAATGCATTTTTCAATTTTGAATTGCAATATATTTAATGTATTATTTAATTTCTTGTCTTAAATTTTTTAATTAAATTTTTTATAATACATTTTATAATTTTTATAATACATACATTTTTTTATTTTTTATTTAATGTATTATAAAATTGTTTAAATTTTTGTATCGATTGCAACTTTTGTTTTTGATTATATTGTCGTGTTCCGCACTTTGGTCAAAGATGGGTTGTTTTTAAATGTGCTTTGAGAATAAATAATGAAAATTTATATATATATATATGCATGTGTGTGTCACTTACTGGACCGATGATGCTGCACACACCAGCGCCCGTGTGTTCTGAAGAAGAAAAACCTGATGCAGAAGAATGACACAAACTAATGACACACACCAAAAAAACGAAGAAAAAAAATGTATGTTTGAAAAATACTGAAATCATTCATGTAAATGTACAGAACTCAGTTCTGCTCTTCCTCTACGACCTTGGCATGTCAACAACATACATTACTGCAAAAAACGGACGATTAAGATGTCATTCTCTAAATACTACACCTTATTCAGGAAATTGTTCATTGTTTCACGTTGATATATTAATCCAGTAATAAAGTTTTAAAACAAGCAGTCAAACGCGTAAAATATCAACCAGGTAACTAAGCGCATGCGCCCGCTCTTCTTCACGGATTCCAGCAGGATGAATTTACGCTCGTTCGGCACATTGCTGCCACCTGCTGGAGCAAACGCGTAACGCGTGGGACTAGTTTTCAGATTGATCATTTGTTTTGTCATGTCACATGCAGTTAAAATGTTAAAATCAGCATGATTTATTTAGTTTAGCACTCATAAGTTATCATTAGGTTTAGAAAACACTATAAAATATTAATTTGAAAATAATAAATATTAAAAAAATAAAAATTATTACTTTGAAAGACAGCATTCTCAAAACTGTTCTAATATCAAGGTTCTACACTAGCTATTGAAATAATCATAAATAACCACTGGCACAGAAAGTAAGCATTACTGTAATATACCCCCTTTTAAATATCATTGTATAAAGTATTAGAATATTTAATTCTGGAAGAGTCTCCCTGTTCACGGTTCAAGGGTTAACGGAATGTGACGTGGCGCTTGCAGAGCTCAATCTAACGTGTTTGGAGTCCCGCCTTGTTTCTACAGACAACATTTCGGATTCCGCTCGCTTGTTTATAGGAGCGCTTCTCTATTACATTTTCCAATAGTAAAAAATACGTTTAAAAAGATTTGTTCATATTTGAATATTGATGCGAATGAAGCCTGCTTAATTTATATTTAATTATGAAAAGACGTTGCAGCCTATGCAATACTCAAATGATCTAAATTATATATTAAATGATATTGAGATAATATTTGAAGACTTGTCCTAATTTAGTATACTACTATGTCATCATCAATTTGACAGAACCCTGTGACGCATGCTATTGTATTCTCTCTAACTCTATAGGCTGAGCTCAGCTGTCAATCACGTCTCTGTGAGTATCATGGTAGGTTGCGGCGCAGAACGGGGCCTGAATAGGCGGCTGAGAGTCTCTAACTGAACCAAATTACCGCTTTATTTTCTTGTTTAGAGCAATCTGAAAGTTTTAGCAACACATTAACACCCACAGTAGGCCCAGCGGAACCGGCAGCATGTCTGCAGCAGGAGATTTCGGCAACCCGCTCCGCAAATTCAAGCTGGTGTTTCTGGGAGAACAGAGCGGTGAGTTCCGAACCGAACTGATCATACTGGTCCTGTCTCTCTTTTCTTTATGTGTGTGTTTTTGAGTTTGTATGTTAGATAGATATCTAAATGGAAATGTATAAATACATGTATGTGTGCTGGAATATGTCTTAGTTATACCTTGTTATATGCTCACAAATCCAGTAAAACATGTCAAAGAACAACATGTATGATAGTGATTAACGTTACTATAAATGTAATCACATCAGCCAAAACGGTTTTTCTTGTAAGTTAATCTTTTAATATGAACAGTTTTGTGGGGGTTTGGTTTTGAGGGTTAAAGTCTTAGGAAATATCATCACCGCCTACAACATTCATGAGATGCCATCATTAATTTCGGCTGTCTTGTCTTGACCGGCATTTCATATTCATTTCTCAGTATATTTTTGTCTGTCTCCCGTGTAAACATGATATTCTCATGTTTGACTGTGTTTTGACTGTATCTTCTAGCTATTGAACACTCATATTTCTAAGCTTAGGAGAACTTGCATATGTCATAATATATAAACACCAGCATTGCATAAAGTCTCAGTATGAAGATCCATTCCTCTTTCCGACATATCTGGCCCTGACACAGGTCAATCTCAATCTCCAAAAAAAAAAAAATCACTGCTCCCAGAATTCAACTCCTGGTGCTTTGCAAGTTCTGTGTAAATCAGCAATCAGTATAAAGCATAAACAAGTGTCATGTGACATTATTTTGTAAACATTAGTAAGACTATACATGTGTACGATAGTTTGGCCTTTTCTTGGACTTCTAAAAAATTTGAGTAGGAAAATAAACATAGCAAATGTTCAAACTATTTGCATATATTTACATAGACATGCATGTCTATCTATGCATGTGTTCATTTCATTCACCGTTTTTAGATTCATATATTGCAATTGCCCTGCATGTTTCATCTGATCTGAATCAGAAATGTATGTGCACAGGTTTATGCATTCATGCACTTTAATGAAGACCTTTGTTTCAGTTAGTTTTATTTATTTTTTAAATTTATTTTAAAGTTATGCTTTTGGAATGACTTTGTGAAATCTAATGTTAGCATGTCAATGTCACCTGATAGATTTAATTGTGTAATTGGTTCCTTCTGCATTCAAGGAAAATGTATTGGCAATGCAAGTGATGGATAAATGCCCTTTGTGAAGTTGTGACCTTTATGCCAGCTTTTGTTCAGACAGAGATATGTAATATTTTGATAGTAACCATTTAATTTTTCATTTGGTTTTGCAGTGGGAAAGACATCACTGATTACCAGATTTATGTATGACAGTTTCGATAATACCTACCAGGTAAGTGAATCTTTTTCTGACTCATTGGCTAAGTTTAAACCGTGTTCTGATTTCTTTGGTTTCTATTTTGGATGTTTCTGATCAGTTGCATGGATAAGTGTTCTTTTCCTTAGTTTTGTTTTGTTGCTTTTTATTTTCAGGCGACAATAGGAATCGATTTCTTGTCGAAAACAATGTATCTTGAGGACAGAACAGTAAGTACATTTTTTTTCCTCTACCAATAAATGCACGTCTCTTTCAATGGTTTGAAGGAATGAAATGCATGAAAATATAAATGCTGTAAAATTGTTTTACCAGTGTTTAAATGACACAAACGTCTGGGATGCTTTTGATTAATAACTGAGGGATTTGATTGGATTTTTTAAAATAGCTTACATTGGTCAATACTCTTTATTGCTGTACAGTGTGTCGTTTTTAAAAACATTGCAGGTGAATTTATTGTAGTTAATATAATTATTTGAATGTAATTGCAATGTTTTTTATTGTTGTAAGAACCATATTGTTAAATTGTTCATTTTCTTTCCTATGGAAATTCTTGTTATGATATTTTAATGTCTACAACTCAGATTTTTCTCTCCATATTGTGCAGCCCTAATATTTCGATGTGCTTTGTTGAATGTTGATTCAAACGTTTAGTGAGATGATGTTGTCTGTAAGAGCCCAATATAAACCACCATGAGACAGTCCAGTGCCTCTCTCCACCTGGTGTGTCTATTGCTTCAGCCCCTTTCTCTCTCTCTTGCTCTCTCTCTCTAGTTATTTGCTCACATTTGTTGTTTGTTTCTTTCTGTGAAGAATTGTTCATCTTGATTGGATTTGAGTGGGAATGTTTCACTCTGAAGATCTGCAGTCCTGATAACATAACCCATACCATAACCCTAGAGCCATTTAATTCCATTTAATAATAAATTTCATCTTAATTTTTACATTTTTAGATTCCTTTTTTTCACCCTCAATTTTAATTTATAAATTTACTCTGATTTATTGGTTAAATGAAATGTAATCAAAAACGCATGTCTAATTAATTAAAAAAATCACGAAGCTTGAATTCAGCAACAATTAAAAGGTAGTACTTTGTTCAAATAGATTTTAGTTCACTTTTTCTGGATTCTATTTTAATGGTTTAATTAAATTGTATTAATCAAAAAGCATGTATATATCAATTGACTTTATAAAAATATAACAAATTGTGTTTTCTGTATTTATGATTTAATACAAATTTATTATCAAAAACATTGGTAATAAAATTAAGTCATAAAACATTAACAATTTATTTAATCTCTTACAAATGTTTAATAATTGTATTAATTTTAGTTTTAAATTAATCATTTTTTTATTATTATTAGTCTTTATGCGGTGTTATATTCACTGACACTAGTCCATATCGCAATTTGACAGCACTACTTTTGATACATTTGTGGTCAGAATTAATGGCACCCCTAGTAAATATGATCAAAAATGGCTGTAAAAAATAAATCTGCATTGTTTATGCTTTTGATCTTTCATTAATTTTTTTTTGCAAAAATCTAACCTTTCATTGAAGCAAAAGAACTGAAAGTGTGGGGGAAATCACATTATGAAATAAATGTTTTTCTCCAAAACATGTTGGCTACAAATATTGGCACCCTTTGATTAAATACTTTTTGCAATCTCCTTTTGCCAAAGATAACAGCTCTGAGTCTTCTCCTGTAATGCCTGATGAGTTTGGAGAACACCTGACAATAGATCAGAGATCATTCCTCCATACAGAATCTCTCCAGATCCTTCAGATTCACAAGTTCATGTTGGTGCTTCTCCTCTTCAGTTCAACCCACTCATTTTCTATAGGGTTCAGATCAGGGAACTGGCACAGCCATGGCAGAAGCTTCATTTTCTGCTTATTGACACATTTTTGTGTTGATGTTTGTTTTGGACCGTTGTCCTGAGGGAAGATCCAACCACGGCCCATTATAAGTTTTCCAGCAGAATCTTTTAATCTGTTGGTATTTGCTAGAATCCATAATACCATGTATCTGAACAAGATGTCCAGGACCTCCAGCAAAAAAATAGACCCACTAACACAGCAGTATATTTAACCGGAGACATGGGGTACTTTTTATCCCAGTTTGCACCAAACACATCTGGTGGTTTTGCTGCCAAAAAGCCCTTTTTTTGTTTCATCTGACCACAGAATCCGGTCCCTTTTGAAGTTCCAGTCGTGTCTGAAAACTGAATATGCTGGAGTTTGTTTTTGGACAAACGAGGAGGGTTTTTCTTGAAACCCTCCCAAACAACATGTGGTGATTTAGGGGTTGTTTGATATATATATTTTTAGGCTTTCTGACCCCCAAGACTCAATTAATCTCTGCAATTCTCCATCTGTGATCCTTGGAGAGTCTTTGGCCACTCAAACGTTCCTCCTCACCGTGCATTAAGACTATAGACACACGTCCTCTTCCTGGCAGATTCGTAACATATTTAGTTGATTGGAACTTCTTAATTATTGCCCTGATGGTCAAAATGGGGATTTTCAATTCTTGTTTCAATTTCAAACTTTCTATTTTGTGATGCTCAACAATCTTTTGATGCACATCAGAACTATATTCTTTGGTTTTACTCATTGTGATGGATGATTAAGGGAATTTTGCCGCCTTGTTTCACAGGACTTTAAATATGAGGAAACACAAAGTCATAGCTAGACAATTTCATGTTCATAGTCATGTTCCTAGTGTGCTAAAAAAAGGGTAAATATTAATGGGAATATACTTCAGCGATATTTTACTCGTAAAAAATTCTAGGGGTGCCAATAATTGTGGCCAACGTGTTTTGGAGAAAAACATTTATTTCATAATGTGCCCCCCCCCCCCCCCCCCCCCCCCCCCCCACTTTCAATTCTTTTACTTCGATGAAAGGTTAGATTTTTTCTAATATTTTTAATGAATGATCAAAAGGATAAACAATGCAGATTTATTTTTTACAGATATTTTTGCTCATATTTACCAGGGGTGCCATTAATTCTGACCACAACTGTATATTCATCCAAAACCGGTCAAATTCCATGACATTCCACGTTATACAGTAAATTCTATTTTGATAACTGGTTTTACTGATTCCGTCTGTGTTTTTCGCATTGTGTAAATCATAGGGCCCTATAAATCTACTACTAACGTGAGTCCTTCTAAAGACCTTAAGCCGTTCCCTAACCCAAATCCTGAGCTTGAGAAATCTTTTCGATCCACTTTGCTTTTTCTTATTTCTTAAATTTCATTCCACGCCTTTTTTTTAAACCTTTTTTCCCCCCTTTGAACTTTTAATTTCTCCTCTTTTTTTTCCTTTATTCCCCTCTTTTTCTTTTGTTTTTTTTCTCCATTCACACAGATCAGGCTGCAGCTTTGGGACACAGCAGGACAGGAGCGTTTCCGTAGCCTCATTCCCAGTTACATCAGAGACTCTGCTGCTGCTGTTGTAGTTTACGACATCACAAGTAGGTATCTGAGACCCGCTCCACGTCCAGTTCCCCTCCTCTTACCTCTTCCTCTTCCCCTTTCTCCCTCTCTCTCTCTCTCTCTCTCTCTCTCTCTCTCTCTCTCTCTCTCTCTCTCTCTCTCTCTCTCTCTCTGCTGGAACTCTGGTGCTAAAATATTTGGTCAGGTGCGGCTGCAGCTGTGGGACACAGCAGGACAGGAGCGCTTCCGCAGTCTGATTCCCAGCTACATCCGGGACTCTACGGTTGCCGTGGTAGTCTTTGACATCACAAGTGAGTGTGGATCCTCGGCAGGAGAACTTAAGGAAGAGGAAAGATGTCTGTCATCTCAACGCAGTCTATTTTTTTGTTTTGTTTCACATCCTTTGAGTTTTCTGTGATTTCATTCTTTTTGTCTTCTTTCTTATTTGTAACTTGTTTTTTGCTTTGCAATTGCAATTCTGTGCTTAAAAGTGGGTAGACACCTTTGTTTTGGACTACATGCATATCTTTGCAATTAAAGGATAACAGGCCATTGTTTTATTAGCAGCTAAAGTGTAGTGCACTTAAAGTTTTGGTAGTTGCGGCTAAAAGTTAATTTTACACCCTCTGGACTAAACATTAAGTTCCTACGAATAACATTCACATAAAAGAATGATACATTATTATTTACAACAGTACATTTTTATATTCGCAAGATATATTTATATTTTTCATTAAATCATTTTTTGTTTGTTCATATAATAAAATAATTGTAATTATTTATAGAAAAGAAAATATGCATTCATTCACCATTTTGCAGACTAAAATGTAGATGAAAGATGATTTGTCTTTTTTTCCCTGCAGACCGAGTTCCTGTGACGCATTCATGAGCACAGAGTCGCTTCCAGCTTTAGAACTTCCTTTCTTTCTTTCCTCTTATTTTATCCTTGTGTTTTTTTCTACCTGCCTGCAAGTTTTGTCTCCCTGTCTGTGATCCTGTGATTTCCCCCATAGACCCCTTAAGGCTCATCTTAAGTATTAACCCAGTGTCTCTGAAATCCCCTCGACAGATGTCAACTCGTTCCAGCAGACCACCAAATGGATCGATGATGTCCGAACAGAAAGGGGAAGTGATGTCATAATCATGCTGGTGGGAAACAAAACAGATCTAGCAGATAAACGGTTCGTTTAAATAGTTGCAACCTTTTAGGAACATTATGATGTAGTTTGTATAATTTTGTTTTATTTTGCACAAATACAGGTCCTTCTCAAAAAATTAGCATATTGTGATAAAGTTCATTATTTTCCATAATGTAATGATAAATTAAACTTTCATATATTTTAGATTCATTGCACACCAACTGAAATATTTCAGGTCTTTTATTGTTTTAATACTGATGATTTTGGCATACAGCTCATGAAAACCCAAAATTCCTGTCTCAAACAATTAGCATATTTCATCCGACCAATAAAAGAAGTGTTTTTAATACAAAAAAAAAAAGTCAACCTTCAAATAATTATGTTCAGTTATGCACTCAATAGTCAATACTTGGTCGGGAATCCTTTTGCAGAAATGACTGCTTCAATGTGGCATGGAGGCAATCAGCCTGTGGCACTGCTGAGGTGTTATGGAGGCCCAGGATGCTTCGATAGCGGCCTTAAAGGGGGGGTGAAACACTCAGTTTCACTCAATCTCATGTTAATCTTGAGTACCTATAGAGTAGTATTGCATCCTTCATATCTCCAAAAAGTCTTTAGTTTTATTATATTTATAAAAGAAAGATAGGCTGTACCGAGTCTTTCCGGAAAAACCCGAGCGGGTGGAGGCGAACCGTGTGGGCGGAGCTAAATAATCACGACACGAGCGCGCGAAGCTTTTGCGTTGAGAGCGTCTGGAAGCTGTGACATCCGAAAATAAACCATGGCTAACAATCAGATTCAGCCATACATTTTTGATCCAGAATCAGATCCCGAGGCTGAGATTGAAGAGCGCAGTGTCTTAGAACACAATGTCATGCGCGAGTTTTACAACATTAGTGTGTTGTAAACAGACAGACTCGTGGTTTATGAGGACATGATTTATTTTTACAATAAACAAACTGTCACAGCAGTGGCCAGCTAAACAAATGTATTTAAACACACACACACCATACATCGCATGCTCCATAGATACATTAACTGTATGTGATCATGTTTACTTGCTGTGCTTACACGCCGATAGTTAACAACTCACAGACATTTGAAGCAGTTTTACTCACCGCCTGCGGTTCCAACGCACGACCGTGAACCTTTATCGTTGGGACTGCTCCATCTTTAAGTATTAGGCGATCTGCAAATCCGGCGTTGAACTGGGCCTTGTTTATAAAACTATTACCGTCGAAATGAAGGGAACAAACAAAAACACTAGCACAACTCCGTTGCTGCTCTGGAAAAACAAAATTCATCCACAGGTCCCTTAACGCTGGCTTCTTTGGAAATGTGTGCAGTGTTGTCTTGCCCTGGCAACCAAAAACACACTTTTTTGGTGGCATTTTTTTTATTCCAGCGCTCTGATGGGCATAGGCGTACTCTCGCACGCACTAGGCTACAGATGCGCGCGCGCAGACAGACTAGGAGTGACTAGACTAGAAGTTCCCTTAAGACCCGTATAAGGAAATTCCGGCCACTCTGACGTCACACAGGCCCGTATTCGAAAAAAACTTTCCGAAACTTGTGACAAACCGGAAGGAGTATTTTTGGAACAGAATTACTCCATCAAACTTACAACTTCATTTTTGAAACTTTGTCCATGTTTAGCATGGGAATCCAACTCTTTAACAGTGTAAAAAACTCACTATGCATGAAACAGCATTTCACCCCCCCTTTAAGCTCATCCAGAGTGTTGGGTCTTGAGTCTCTCAACTTTCTCTTCACAATATCCCACAGATTCTCTATGGGTTTCAGGTCAGGAGAGCTGGCAGGCCAATTGAGCACAGTAATACCATGGTCAGTAAACCATTTACCAGTGGTTTTGGCAATGTGAGCAGGTGCCAGGTCGTGCTGAAAAATGAAATCTTCATCTCCATAAAGCTTTTCAGCAGATGGAAGCATGAAGTGCTCCAAAATCTCCTGATAGCTAGCTGCATTGACCCTGCCCTTGATAAAACACAGTGCCCCAACACCAGCAGCTGACATGGCACCCCAGACCATCACTGACTGTTGGTACTTGACACTGGACTTCAGGCATTTTGGCATTTCCTTCTCCCCAGTCTTCCTCCAGACTCTGGCACCTTGATTTCCGAATGACATGCAAAACTGAGCAACAGTCCAGTGCTGCTTCTCTGTAGCCCAGGTCAGGCGCTTCTGCCGCTGTTTCTGGTTCAAAAGAACCTGGGGAATGCGGCACCTGTAGCCCATTTCCTGCACACGCCTGTGCACGGTGGCTCTGGATGTTTCTACTCCAGACTCAGTCCACTGCTTCCGCAGGTCCCCCAAGGTCTGGAATCGGTCCTTCTCCACAATCTTCCTCAGGGTCCGGTCACCTCTTCTCTTGTGCAGCGTTTTTTGCCACACTTTTTTCTTCCCACAGACTTCCCACTGAGGTGCCTTGATACAGCACTCTGGGAACAGCCTATTTGTTCAGAAATTTCTTTCTGTCTTACCCTCTTGCTTGAGGGTGTCAATGATGACCTTCTGGACAGCAGTCAGGTTGGCAGTCTTACCCATGATTGCGGTTTTGAGTAATAAAACAGGCTGGGAGTTTTTAAAAGCCTCAGGAATCTTTTGCAGGTGTTTAGAGTTAATTAGTTGATTCAGATGATTAGGTTAATAGCTCGTTTAGAGACCCTTTTCATGATATGCTAATTTTTTGAGACAGGAATTTTGGGTTTTCATGAGCTGTATGCCAAAATCATCAGTATTAAAACAATAAAAGACCTGAAATATTTCAGTTGGTGTGCAATGAAATCTAAAATATATGAAAGTTTAATTTTTATCATTACATTATGGAAAATAATTAACTTTATCACAATATGCTAATTTTTTGAGAAGGACCTGTATATTAAGCAGCATAACGGTTTCCAACTGATATTATTATAAATATAAAAATAAATAAACAAACAAACCAGCATATTAGAATGATTTCTAAAGGATCATGTGTTTGGAAGGATCAAATAAATGCAGCCTTGGTGAGGATAAGTGACTTTCAAAAACATAAAGAAAATCATTCAGACCCCCCAAAATTGCACAAACTAAACCTTAATGCTTAATGGCTAAATATCTGTCAATTAGTCAGTCTGGCTGTTAAGTATTAAAGAAATCTATGGGCAAATAGTAATGATTCCATGTGTTTTTGTGCTCATTTCAGGCAAGTTTCTATCGAGGAAGGAGAAAGGAAAGCCAAAGAACTGAATGTAATGTTTATTGAAACTAGTGCTAAAGCCGGATACAACGTCAAACAGGTGAGTGTGACTGAGATTGGACTTGAACCAAAAGAAATACGTGCTTTAATGATTGAGAATCGAACTCTGAATCACATACTTAATTAAATGATATTTGCATGATTATTCAAAAAGAGCATTACTGAACATTTCTCTCATAGCAGTGTCTTCAGAAGCATCCAAATGATTAAATATCCAACTTTTCTGAATGCAAACCATCTCAAACACACCCACACACTGCCCGTTTTTCCTGATCTCGGTGTTGTGCTTGTCTCTTCCAGCTTTTCCGGCGTGTAGCAGCAGCTCTTCCTGGTATGGAGAGCACACAAGACAAGAGCAGAGAGGACAGTATCCTACACAAATATATGCATATTTATTTATGTTGCTTTAGTACTTTATTGTCCATCTGAATAAGTGTTGCTGTGTGCTGCACAAAAGCATCATGTTTTTCCTTAATTCCTTTTTCCTTCAGTGATCGACATAAAATTAGAAAAGCCGCCAGAGCAGCCGGTCAACGAAGGCGGATGTTCATGCTGAGGCTTCAGTCGACATTTCTGTGCCGTGTGTCTCTTATTGTCGTTCTTTCAAACGCTCTTAGTTGCACTCACAGCATCTCTCTGGATATTCTGCAGAAGCGGAGGAAGTAGAACACTACCCATCATCCTCGTTACCACTCACCCACTCAAATGACTTCGAAAGCACAACGTGGATGTGTATGATGTTGCTTTTCTATTAATTGTTTCCGTTAATCGTACACCTTTTGTGGTGTGTTTTTTTTTTCACTCTCAAAACGCTTTATGAAGTGTTGTTTGTTTTTGTCCATGTTTCGTTTTATGTGAAATAATACTTATATTACTGTAATCATGACATGAATAGGAGCAAGACAAGATAAATAAATGAAAAAACTATTAGGAGAAGGATATCCAGATTTGAATATGCGGTGATTCTCTAAATGTCGTTCTATAATAACGGTGAAGAGATGGAGGAAAGGTTTACAGTGTCTAGATTTCATCATATGTGGCTAAAGCGCTTTGAATCTGTGACACTTGATGTCTCTTCTTCAGAAGGAAGAAAGGAAAGTGTAAAAACAAATGTTTTTGGAGTTTTGTGAGGAACAAGTGGTGCTTTAGCTCTGTTGCTCCTCAAGCATTGTGCTTTTTTCTGCTTAGATGTCATTTTATTTGATTTTCTTCCATCTTATTTTGAGCATTAGAAAGCCAATAGCTTAGTCAAAGAGAGATACAGTTATTGTAAAGAAATATGTATATTAAGGGAAGTATCAGATCCGATTTAACAGATAATATGCAGCCGTTGCCTTCAATGGTTTGTTTTATTGGGCTTCCACTGGTTTGCTTTTTTGTTTTTTTTATTAGCATTGTAAAGTTTGATTTATTTTAATAATGACACGCTAGATGTGGTTTGTTTTCTTTTTGATTTGTTGAATCAACCTTGAACCCTAATATTTATTTGTAATGTCTTTTTGTTTGGTTTTTAAACACTGTTTGGTTTTTCATAATTCATAGACCGAGACGTTAAGATATTCTGGCTCAAAGCAGCTGCCACATTTGTTTTTAAATGTACAGTGATATTTTGTCCCCAGACTGATCTAAACGTTTGTAAGATTTACTGCATTTTGTGTATTTTTTGGGGGGTTGTTTTCTTTAAACTGTCTCATACATTTCGGATGGATTTTAACCAGTTTCTACTGGCAGTGCTGCTTGACGCCAATACTCATTATTTGCACTGCTAAAATTGATCAGCATCTTTGAGACATCCCTAATAAAATCTTTATATAGCAACAATATATATATATTTTTTGATTGATGGATAATGTATAACTCTGTTTGTAAATGAAGTTGGTAAATGTGCAGAGCAGAAAATTAAAAATAGTAGTAAAATGTGCTTTTATTTGGATCTGTGCAGGAATTGCACTTTGATTGCAAACAGAAAATTCCTGATGTTTTGTACTTATGTAGGTCATTGCAGCCTTTTTATTTATTTATAAGTGTGTTGCACAACAATATCAATTTGATAACTTTCTACATTTGCAAAGTAGTACATTAGTGCATATCATAGACTGTAAAAAGGTGCATACACAGGCCAGATGCAAATGTAAACTGCTTCCCTTATGCAGCCTCCGTCATTGAGGTATCTGTTCAGTGGTCGAAGAGTGATAATGCCATCCTTGTACACAGTCTTTGAAAATGCTCATTTTTGCGGTCATAGAGTGAACCTTTCCCTGATTGTTTAGTTTAACGGAAGTTATTCCTAAATTCGCGCAAAGCGTCATGGGGCGTAGGAAAAAGGTGGATAGAAAATTAAAAAAGGCAGTTATACAAGATTCTTATGTAGAGAGCAATCAACTGTCTGACGGTCACTCCCAAACCTCATGCTATATGGACATCATAAATTCAGGGTTCCAGTGGTTTATAGTTATTTATAAATACAAATAGGAGATCTTGTAGGCCTATCTTGACAGAATAACAGATAGCCTATATAAGTCATGGACAAAAATGAACAAGTTTGCAAAGCTCTACGTGTACATTATACACAAAGCAGAATCATAGCAGCAAGAAAATACAATCATTTCGTTATGTGCAGAATTAATCTATTGATAGCCTAGATGTTATAAATATCTGTTGACATTTCACCAATCAGAGAAAAATAAGTCTGTTCTGATCAATTTGTGCAGCTTGACTATTAAAGGTAGACTGTGTAACGTTTTTCTTTAAAAGGATAACTTTTTTCTTTAGGATAACCATATTCATCCGCACAGTCTTGCAGAGCCGAAGCACAACCAAAAATGTAGTTCTGCAAAAAGCATGCAGTTTTTTTTAACCGCTTAAATGGCCAAAAGTTGCATATAGTGTAGCCTACCTTTAAATAAAGCCTCTTTTACATTTTTCATTGACCTCTTGATGCCCACTGACTTTAAAACAGCTGCAGCTATTCTCATATTTACATATTTATATGCAGGAACAGGAGCATTTGCTATCGCTGAGCTTTATGGACGACTCTTCCAGTCTATTCTTTCATCCCGCTGGATTTGTGGATTTCCAGTGATCACCCTGCTATCCAACAGGCCCTCAGCAGAACCAGAAGGGCATCCATAGAAGTGAACGCATTGCTGCACCCGCAGCCATTCCTGCCAGGAGTCCCAAAGCAATCTGCTCTCCGAAATTGTCATCAGAGTTTCTGTGCACCCAGACATGCTGAGTTCCTACAAGGAGCACATCAGGTTTAGGAGTACGTCCATTGTTAAATGTTTCTGCGTTTATTGGAACTTAACTTGTCATTTAAAATAGTCTTAAATGTAAAACTTTATTTATTGCCTAAAAAAAAATGATAACACTTTACAATAAGGTTCTACTTGTTAACATACATTAGTTAAAATAAACTAACATTGAAAAATACCTCTAAAGCACTATTAATCTCAGTTAGCCTACTGTTGCTTTCAATATTTCCTAATACAGTATTAAAATATCAGTTGTATTTTTTATTAACTAACAAGGTTAGGAAAAGTTACTTTTAAAAGTAATGTAGCTATTACAATATTGTGTTACTCCCTTTAAAAAGTATTAATTGTGTTACTTTTTTTTCCACCCGACTGGTTTTTTAATAACAAAAAAGAAAGTTATTTTTTAGGCAAATGGCAAAAAGGCCCTTTCAGACCAAAAGTGAAATGAATAAGCCTTAGGCTGAAGAAAATGCAAATACACTTCTGTACTGTCAACATGGGGACAGGAAAGCTGTCAGTCTATAAAATTAATTTTATTTATTTACTTATTTTGTTAAATTTAAAGGTAATGCGTTACTTTACTCGTTACTTGAAAAGTAATCTGATTACGTAACTCACATTACTCACTTCTAAACACTGCTAAGTGATGCTAGAAAAGGATAATATACTGTAATGGATGTATTGCTCGTTGTTAGTTAAAATTAGCTGATGCATTAACTATGTTAACTATGGAACCTTATTGTAAAGTGTTAATAAAATATCTAAAATGAATAAGAAATATTTAATATTCTGCACAAAAAAAATATATTTTTCAATTCTATTTTTCAGTTATATTATCAGCTGATAATAAAAACATTCAATACAAATATTGTAATTAAATACTTAAATATTTTAAATAGTGGTCTCCAATGTCCAAAAATGACTTTTTCTGTCTTTTGAATTTTCCATGATTGTTCAGCACTTTGAGATATAAAGTATTTGTTAAGTGCTAATAAAGGAAATGAATGAATGAACAATATACTTACAATAATACTACTGATAATACCCATGTATTATATCAGTGTATAAAAAAAAAAAAAAGGCAATAACCCTATCTCTGTGCTTTCTGCCGAATAAGGGACGTGTTTATAATTACCTCCACAACCTGCACCTGGCATGATGTAAACTGCATTGTGACTGTCAATCGGAACGGTTTGGTAAGTATCGTCATAGGGATTGTATGTGAAAACCTGTGAGAGTGAAAAGAAATGTTAATAGAATAAATATTAAAGCAACAAAAAAAAAAACGAAAATCATCCTGCATGTAAAAAAATAACACTCACTGGATTTCTTCTCGCCTCCATGAGTGTGAGTTTCCAGGCCCTGAAAAGTGACCGAATGGACATAAATTAGAGGGCAAAACGGGTAGGGCTTCATTGGTTGTGGGAGGGGTTACGTACAAGTGTCAAAGGTCAAGACTTACAGTGCCTCATCTTCACTGTTGGCACACAGGATCAGCATAGCACCATCCCTCAGATAAACAACCAGCAGATTCTCTCTGGGGTGACCCTCAGGTGGACATACACCTGCTCACAAAGACACTGTTATAAGAGCAATAAAGTATTTTCATAACATGCACTTTCTACATGATAAGTTTCTTCATACCTGCACACTCCAGACCAGACTTCACATTCACACAGGTGCTCTTTAGATTCGCTTTGGTCTCATAGTCTCTTCTGGATTCAGATGTGTAAAAAACAAAGCTCCCATCTATCCACAGGTCACACCAGTTCAGCTTCCAGCGTTTGAGGATTGAAGCTGTGAACGTTTTGAACAAAATAATCATTTTTAAAAATGCAATATTATGGAGTATCTGTCTCTATTTCCATAGTCGCGTATAGCACAGACAAACTACAGCTTCATGCTATCTTTAATCTGTAAGGCTCTTTATTGGCATTGATGGTTCCATGAAGAACCTTTGACATTCATTAAAACCTTTCCATTCCACAAAAGGTTCTTAATAGTGGGAAAAGGTTCTTTAGTTTTTTTTTAATGTTCTTCACACTGAGGAAAAAAAAAAACACTGAAAGGTTATTTGGGGAATCAGAAATGGTTCTCCTATTGTTATACTGCAGCAAAAAACAACAACTTTTGGAACATTACTTTTTTAAGGGTGTAGGACTGGGACTCAACTCCAATAATAATTGATTCTTCGATTCAGAGCCATTGGGAATCGAGAGTCGACTCCAAGTTTCATTATTACTACACCATCCCGGATAGCCTTCAATGAACTAATCTGAATGAAATCAAAAGATTCAATTTGCTGTAATGAACTGAAATTGGCGCTAGCTATCTGCCTTTTGATTCAGTTTAGATTCGTTCATTGATTTATTTATTTGAACTTTTCTGTAGGTTACACCAGTAGGTGGCAACCAGTGAGCGTTTATTACGTGTATTGAGTAAGCCATTGAATCATTCGATCAACAGATTTGTTCTAAATTATTGTACAAAAAGCTGTTCACATTCAAAACACCATGACAGTACTAATACAGATTTAAAAGACTGCAACTAAATGATCATAAGTACCTGATTGTTCAAAGCGACTCTTGTGTATTTGATACAATAAATGAACATAATAAACATGCATAACAACATGCTTTATCAAGGCTTCAGTTAGCATTAGCAACTCAAACTTCTCAAAGATGTTATTAGACTATGTGCTAACAAAGAATAGACCTATAGTTATTTTTAATAGAGAATATAAAGGTAACTTAGTTATTTATATTAAGTTGTTATTTTAAATGTATGTAAGTTTTATGTTTTAAATGTATTACATTTCTTTTTATGTATCGTTTGGGGTTTCTCTAGGTGAGTATAACTAACAGCTACTGTACTGTTCTGTAACACTGACCGTAAGAGGATTATTACTGCAAACAGTGTCAGGCTCTGAGTTTCATAACAGTTTTCATAACCTTCTGGAGCAGTCGTTTTATTTAATTATATTAGTGCTGTTAATCACTAATCGCGATTAATCACATGTAAAATAAAGTTTGTTTATATAATGTATGTGTGTATATATATATATATATATATGTGTGTGTGTGTGTGTGTGTGTGTGTATACACACACACACACACACACACACATATACTGTACATATATATGTATGTGTGTGTGTGTGTGTGTGTGTGTGTGTGCGCGCATGTGTTTGTATAAACAAGCAGTATACACACACACACACACACACACACACACACACAAATATAATGTACACACACATGTATTATATAAAACTTATGTTAGATGCAATTAATCACAATCGATTTCACAGCACACACACATATGTATACTGTGTATATATATACATACTACAGTGATATATATTTTATATATAAATATTGAAATATTGCTTATCAGGAGAAATGTACAGACAAAAAAGCACCCAACAGAGCTGCCAAATTTGTGTTATATTTGTGCTGTTTAGTACATCCTAATATCTGGGTTTTTCCAATTTAGATCATTTAACTTTAATTTATATGAATTTAAAGGTTGGGAAACTGTCAAAAGAAACTGCACTTTGTTTTCTATTTTTGAAGACAAAATATTCACGCTAGGGTTGTTTTTTCCCCACATTATTATTGTAATTATTATTTTTTGCTAAAAACATATTTCTTAGAGGTGCACTGAGCAGATTACTTATACAATTTATTACTTAAATAAAGAAGACTTTATATAAAATACCCAAATGAACAATCTTCCACTTACACTGTCTCCAGAGCCAGCCAGATTTGAGCAGAGCCATTGATCAGTCAACTGCCACAAGAGCTATAGCGGTATTCCTAATGTTGTGGTGCTTGTTTGACGTGTCGGCAGAGTTTGTGCTTTTGTTTGTGAGCGATGACAGTGACTGTAAGACGTCTCAGCAGTCAGAGGGGGTTGTACTGCTGGAATAGTTTGATGACTCTTTCTCTAATCCTTAAACAGGCCAAAGTGAAGCTTCACTTAGCCAGTAATCTCAGATTACAGTGAGTTAGTACTGGTTGTCTGTGGAATATTCTCTCCCTTTCCTTTGTTACTCAATCTCTTCTTCATGTTTTTGTGTATTATATTAAGTCTTAATAGTTATTCTGTTAGCAGTGTAGCAAGGTTCACATACAATTTTAAACATGTTCACATTTAATGCAGGCTACTCAAGCACACTCGTCTTAATCTTAATTTTGGACTAACAGACTAACCTTAAACCTAAAATGCACCTTATTGTATTTTCAGATTTGATTTAATTTTCATCCTTACAGGCACAGCAAATCATGTTCATTGACATACCTTAATCTCGCCTTTAGCTAAATTTAGCAAACATTGAGTAATTGAAGTTGTCATATCAAGCCAATAATCTGTTTTTAAACCATCTAAACAACTGACCTATAAACAAATTCATCACTGAAGCTGTGAAATAGTCATCATTGCATAAGGGTGTCATTTTTTTATAAATCAGGGATTACACTCCCAGCCATGCTAATTTTACAGGCTTTTACAGTCAGATGTGTTAGGATTTTTACTCACTGCTTGAACAGCTATAACACATTTAGTAGCAGTGTACTTTTAGAAATGTATTTATCGAAAATTATGCACGATCATTTAATCTTAAAATAAATCATTAAAATAATTACACATAATATTTACTAGAGTTATTTTGATAATAACAACTATATTAATAATATTGTTATTATTGTTTATTTATTTATTTAAACTAAAAAGCACTATTATTTTATTTAGGATATTGAATTTGAGTTTGACATACGCCCACCACACCACTAGATGGCCTCATCTTACCAACAACATATGAAGCAGGGTCTCTCACACCCCTGTGATTACTTTATGATGATGAAAAATGACAATAGAGAAAATATTTATCATCATCACTGCAATTATATGTAGAATAAGAGCGGCACAGAAAGAGTCTGAGTCGGTAAACCTGTCCACATCTGGAATCTTTACACACTTATCAACACAGCCTCATATTCTAACGGAAACATAGCCTATATCACATCATATATCAACACACATTCATAAACACACAACAGCACATAAACAATTTCATGAACGCCTTCAGAACATGTTTCATTATTATGTTCGGTCACTGGAGGCCGCTGTTCTTCCTTCTGCTCCACTGACTGAAGTTCTCACAGAGTTTACTTCATTTCTCAGCTGTGTTTTTATGTGAGCGGTTCAACGGAGGGGTCTAGAAGCATTTCACTGCTCTTTTTTCTTCCTTTCTCACATTTAAATAGAATATTCGGCACTGCATTGCTCCGTCCCGCAGATGTGTTTGGTTTTCGAGGGTGAATTTCCAACTGTTTTGTCCTGTATATCCAGATCCAGACATGCAACCTCCTCCAAGAAAGGTGAGTCGAACTGTTCTTTAATTGATACGATTTTTTGTTGTCATGTCCGTATTAATGAACAAAATAGCAGATAGATAGATAGATAGATAGATAGATAGATAGATAGATAGATAGATAGATAGATAGATAGATAGATAGACAGATATAGATAGATAGATAGATAGACAGACAGATAGATAGATGGATAGACAGACAGACAGACATATATATATATATATATATATATATATATATATATATATATATATATATATATATATATATATATATATATATATATATATATAGATAGATAGATAGATAGATAGATAGATAGATAGACAGATAGTAGATAGATAGATAGACAGACAGATAGATAAGAAATATATCGATAGATAGACAGACGATAGATAGATAATAAATAGACAGATTGATAGATTGACAGACATATATATATAGATAGATAGATAGACAGACAGATATAGACAGACAGACATACACTCACCTAAAGGATTATTAGGAACACCATACTAATACTGTTTTTGACCCCCTTTCGCCTTCAGAACTGCCTTAATTCTACGTGGCATTGATTCAACAAGGTGCTGAAAGCATTCTTTAGAAATGTTGGCCCATATTGATAGGATAGCATCTTGCAGTTGATGGAGTTTTGTGGGATGCGCATCCAGGGCACGAAGCTCCCGTTCCATCACATCCCAAAGATGCTCTATTGGGTTGGGATCTGGTGACTGTGGGGGCCATTTTAGTACAGTGAACTCATTGTCATGTTCAAGAAACCAATTTGAAATGATTCGAGCTTTGTGACATGGTGCATTATCCTGCTGGAAGTAGCCATCAGAGGATGGGTACATGGTGGCCATAAAGGGATGGACATGGTCAGAAACAATGCTCAGGTAACCGTGGCATTTAAACGATGCCCAATTGGCACTAAGGGGCCTAAAGTGTGCCAAGAAAACATCCCCCTCACCATTACACCACCACCACCAGCCTGCACAGTGGTAACAAGGCATGATGGATCCATGTTATCAGTCTGTTTACGACTCTACCATCTGAATGTCTCAACAGAAATCGAGACTCATCAGACCAGGCAACATTTTTCCAGTCTTCAACTGTCCAATTTTGGTGAGCTCTTGCAACTTGTAGCCTCTTTTTCCTATTTGTAGTGGAGATGAGTGGTACCCGGTGGGGTCTTCTGCTGTTGTAGCCCATCCGCCTCAAGGTTGTGTGTGTTGTGGCTTCACAAATGCTTTGCTGCATACCTCGGTTGTAACGAGTGGTTATTTCAGTCAAAGTTGCTCTTCTATCAGCTTGAATCAGTCGCCCATTCTCCTCTGACCTCTAGCATCAACAAGGCATTTTCGCCCACAGGACTGCCGCATACTGGATGTTTTTCCCTTTTCACACCATTCTTTGTAAACCCTAGAAATGGTTGTGCGTGAAAATCCCAGTAACTGAGCAGATTGTGAAATACTCAGACTGGCACCAACAACCATGCAACGCTCAAAATTGCTTAAATCACCTTTCTTTCCCATTCTGACATTCAGTTTGGAGTTCAGGAGATTGTCTTGACCAGGACCACACCCCTAAATGCATTGAAGCTACTGCCATGTGATTGGTTGATTAGATAATTGCATTCTGCATTCATTAATGAGAAATTGAACAGGTGTTCCTAATAATCCTTTAGGTGAGTGTATAGATGGATAGACAGACAGACAGACAGACAGATATAGATAGATAGATAGACAGATAGATAGATAGATAGATAGATAGATAGATAGATAGATAGATAGATAGATAGATAGATAAGAAATAGATCGATAGATAGACAGACAGACAGATGATAGATAGATAATAAATAGATAGACAGATTGATAGATTGACAGACAGATATATAGATAGATAGATAGACAGACAGACATAAGAAATAGACAGATAGAGAGATAGATAGATGATAGACAGATAGATAGAGAGATAGATGATAGACAGACATATAGTAGATTTTCAGACAGACAGATTATAGATAGACAGACAGATAGATAGATAGATAGATAGATAGATAGATAGATAGAAACACATGATGTTTATGTTTACGCTGTCTCCATTGACTCGAGGATGCCAGACACATATTAGTGTGATCTGTGTCAGAGTTGCTTCTCCAGAGGTTGTCATTGTGTGTTGCAGGTAAAAGTCACACAAGAGGTGAAACACACTCACACTGAGCAGCTGAACAGACTCCAGCTCAAACACCAGACAGACTTGGACTTCCTGGAGGATCTGAGGTGACTTTTGATTAACCTCTTACATTGCTATGTAAATGTCTATCAGTCCATTTTCTGTCTATTTGTTGGTATGTTTGTGCTGAACTGTTTGACTGTGTGTGTGTGTGTGTGTGTGTGTGTGTGTGTCATCCTCAGGACTTACAGCCAGAAGAAAGCACTAATAGAGAAAGATTACTCACAGGTGAGTTGTGGCCACCATGTTCAATTACATGAGTTCATAATTTATATTACATTTAGTTTTGATAATGTATGGCTATTTGTGTTCTGAGATAAAAAACAAACAAAAACATTATAAAATCTAATTCAGCTAAGATTTTTTGGAAAAAAAATGTGTGCCTCTGATGTAAACTAGCACTGACGTTTTATGTGTGAATTTGTTTTTGTAGAGAAGCACATTTCGTGACTCAGTGGAAAAACCTGTGGTTGTTAACGATTTGCAGGTGGTCGTGTTTTTACCAGTTGCGTTCTGGTTCGAATCTGCTTTTCTTGTCTCTTTCTGTTACATTGCTGAGAAGATCTACATGACATCAGTTATGGGACACTGCATTATGATCTCTGATTTCTGCTGATCTCAACTTTATCTCACTTTATGAGTATGATTTCATATATTTTGGATGTACATCAGGATGTAATTTTTTTCCTTTTATTCCCTAAAACCACAAAAAATTTTAAAAAAGTTTTGACTTCCTATATACAAATTATACAACTTACAGTACAATTCACAACTTTGGGGTCAGTAATATTTTAATAGTTTAATTCACCAAGGAAGTATTAAATTGATTGAAAGTGACAATAAATATATGTATAATGTTAAAAAATATTTATTTTTCAAATAAACGTTTTTCATTTTAACTTTCTATTTATCATATAATCCTGAAAAAAATGAATCACTGTTTCCACAATAAATATTAAGCAGCACAACTGTTTTCAACATTGATAATAATAATAAATGTTTCTTGAGAACCAAATCATCATATTAGAATGATATCTAAAGGATCATATGACACTGAAGACTGGAGTATTGATTCTGAAAATATATGCAAATACATACGTTTTTTTTAGATTGTAATACTATTTCACAGTTTTTACCTAATTTTTATCTAATAAATGCAGTCTTAGTCAGCATAAGTTGAGTTCTTTCAAAAACATAAAAAAATATTACCAACCCTAAACTTTTAAACTGTAGTGTATAGTGCATAAATAGATTTACACATGAAGTGTTTATATTTACAGCCTGACATGTTGATCATCTTCATCATGATACAATAAGATCTGTGTGATCATTTGGTGAATGGGTGCCCAGCTGTCTGAATGACGCTGTGTGTGTGTGCGTGCGCCTGTGTGTGTGTGCGTGAGAGATTCTTTACTGTTGGTTCTGAAGCTTGTGCACCTGCAGGGCTGCTGCGTGCTGATTGGCTCATGAACACAGGAATCTCTCTCTTCCTCAGGGTCTCTTCCTGAGTGGACTCATCAGAGCTGGCAGCTCACAGGATTAGGTTGACAGTGCCAGCTTGTGGTCTGAGGGCCAGGAAGCAAATCCTCTGTGTTTTAAGGGGATGCTGGTCACTCTCTGGCCTTCGTAGAACTTGTTATGGTTCAGTCATTTCAGTTTGCTGAAGTTTAGCTATATTCTGTTGGAATTATCATCAGTAGTGGTGAAGTAATGAAAGGACCCTTGGTAGACAAATACTGACCTTTTTAAAAAACTGCTGTTTTTGTTTTGTTTTTTTTGTGCTGATATTTTGCCATCTTTTTGTGACTTTTGGAGATCAGTCCAATACAGTGACATTTGCGTGACTTGAGGATGGGAAGTGAGTGGTAATTTCTCCTTTCTTCTGTTTCACAAGCAGCCAGTTATTCACTCACTTGTAAACCCACACATGGGCACAGTTTGCACCGCTGTCTGGCATTTAAGTATCAAGCAGACAGGCAGAAATGCCCATGTGGGTTTCGCTTTTACAGATTGTCCTCCATGTTTTCCACATTTGCGCTGATCTGGAGTGACAGGATAAATTAATGTTTCTCCTTTAAGGCGTCTGATTTATTTTGTGGTGACTTTTGAAGTTGAGTTTTTTAAATTCTATTTAAAGGTTCTGAATCTAAACTTTCATAAACATTTAATACAATTATGTTAAAGCATAGTTTTCTTGTTTGTTTAAAAGGCACTTAAAGGGATAGTTCATCCAAAAATGAAAAGTTTGTCATTTTTGTCATCATGTAATGATTTTGTCATTACATACAGGTTTGGAACCACTTGAGGGCGAGTAAATGATGGCAAAATTGTAATTTTTCGGTGAACTACCCCTTAAATATTCAGTAATCTTATCAACTTGACTGCACTGACACTACACTGAGAACAAAACTTCCAATCAATTCCCGATGGAGAAAATCAAGTCCCGGCCCACATCTTTTCTTGTTCGAGAAGCCGTTTCACTCGAATATACGTCACAATAGGAAAGAAAAGACTATCGCAACTTCTATTTCATGCCGACTTTAAGCTTGTTTCATAATTTGATGAACTTTGATTGAACTATAATTGAACTAAAAACTGAATCAACACTGAACTGACTTGATCTGAGTTATTATACTATTATCTTCTGTAGAGCGGCTTTTTAGTTGAATTGAGTTCGCTTCATGACTAATGCACTTTGTAACATTGACACTGTCATTGAACTAAATTGAATCGACACTGAACTAACCTGTGATTAAAAAAAATGACACTGTTGTCTTTTTTAGAGGTGCTTTACTGCTGAAATTGTATTTGTTCATAATTGAAGAACTTTGCAACATTAATACTGTTATTTTCTTGTCCATTACAGTGAAGCTGCCTTGAAAGAATCAGTATTGCATATTAAAGCGCTATATAAATAAATGTTACTTGACTTTTAGGCTCTGCAAAAGCTTGCTTCGCAGTACTTGAAGCGAGAGTGGAATGGAGCCCCATCAGAGGAGCTGAGAGACTCCGGGTAAAAGGAGAGATCTTTTCAATCAGACTGATTGTCAATTGATTAATCTTCATCATTAAACAGATGTCTGTGAATATGCGTACAGAAATGTTTGGGCCGTATGGAGGTCTTACTTGGAGGGTGTGACGAAAGTGAGCCAGTCTCGTATCAACGGATGTGAGAACTATAGGAGCCAGATCGCAGATCCCGTGAAGACGTTCAGAGCGCAGAAGGACCTGCAGCTGAAGAGGGTAAACACATTAACAGATACACTGCACTAAAGCGGCAGAGTGGCCGTTTTTGAAAGTGTTTATTCGTCTGTCCTCTCAGTGCTGCGAACATCTGGCGAGAGCTCAGGCCGATCTGCAGGTCACCATCAGAGACCTGGAAAAGAGCAGGAAGGCCTACCAGGAGGCGGAACAAACAGCGCAGACCGTGAGAGAGAAAGCTGATATGGAGGCCAAGTACGTTCGCTGACCTGTCACATGTGAAGGAAGAGACATCAGCTGTCTACAGAACCGGGCATAGGGTTATCATGTTTTTCAGTTTTAAATGAAGATTCATCATTTTTTTGCTGTTTTTCCTCACCCTCGCTTCTTTTCCTCTGGTATTTTCCCTTCTTCCTGTTGGCTCATGCAACACAAGGTCAAAGCTCAGCCTGTTTCAGTCACGCTCCAGTTTGAAGAGGGCAAGTGTGAAGGTAATCTAGGGATTAGCACAGTATATCAGTCCCATACTGCTTAGTGGTGGTCTATATTGGATATTTAATAGTGCATGCTCTTTTGTCCTATTTTTACATATGGATTACATTTGCCATCATCTAACACTCAATTAAAGTTATGTAAAATGTTCTAATAAATCATCGTGACTGAGAGTCAAGTGTACATAGGAACATTTCATGTTGATTTCAGCTGAAAGCAAAGAAGAACGAATGGAAGTGCAAAGCCACGCAAGCAAGGAATGATTACTTGCTCACACTGTCAGCCACTAACGCTCATCAGGACCGCTATTATGAGACAGATCTGATCAGCTGCATCACGGTGAGGATGGATGTTGCTCAGTTTTTGGCCTAATCATTTTTTATTTAGAATAATCTTTTGTGTGTTTTGTTAATTTAAATATATATATACAGTGGGGAGAACAAGTAGTTGATACACTGGTGATTTTACAAAGCATGTAGAAGTATGTAATTTTTATCATAGGTACTCTTCAACTGTGAGTGACGGAATCTAAAACAAAAATCCAGAAAATCACATTTTATGATTTTTAAGTAATTCATTTGCATTTTATTGCATGACATAAGCAGGGATGGAAATTAGCACCCGCCACCAGCCAAATGCGGGTGATTTTGTGTTGTGGCGGGTAAACTCGCTTCACCTACCGGCCACCGTGGCGGGTAAATAAAAATAGCATACTGTTTCACCCGGACGGCGGACACTTTTAGAGGAGGCACACCTTCAAACAAAAATGTGGCGTTACATCGCAGGCGTAGAGGTCTGCAGAGAAAACATCATGGTGCGCTCACACCAGACGAGAATAGAGCGTCTGGCGCGAGTGATTTCATCAATGCAAAGTTACGCGCGTAAAAAATTCCTACGGCCCGAATGAGGTGTAGAGCGCGCCGTGGTAGATGCGAATACGCCTCATTCGCGCGGCAAGTTCAAGCGTCAGACGCGTTCCTCGCGCATGATTTTATTGAGTGTTTTTGTGCATTCACGCGTTTGACGCGAATTCGCGTCTGCCGCCCGAGTTGAAAAATCTGAACTTTGGCGTCAATTCGCGCCGCGTTAACCAATCAGGAGCCTAGCTGCTGTCACGTGGTGAAGTAGCTGGATGCTTCAATAAATTATTTTGTACTAAATGCCTGATGTGGCTCTAATGCACAACAAAGCAAATATTTTATCACATAAAACTTGATTTCAATATATGAGACATATTCATTTTGTATTGAATGCTATTTATTCCATTTCATATCTGGATTATATTAAATATTATTCTAATGTAAAGGCAACCAACATACTATAGCTCATAAATCCGTGTCTGGAGAGTGTTGTGTGAGAGAGAAAAAAAATCACAGGACAGGTTAATTACTTTTGGAGGCTGGCTCAAATTATCATCAAAACAAAAATAAATGACAGATTAGGTGGATGAGGCCGAGGGTGAGAGAAAGAGAAAATGTCAGTATTTCATTGAGACTTGAGATTAAATAAACTGCTTAAGTATTCTTGTAGTATTAATTTTCACATGCAGTTACACATTGTCGGTTAAAAACAAGAAAGTGGCTGGTAAAAACATTGAGTGGCTGGTAGATTTTGAAATCCACCAGCCACAGTGGCCGGTGGACAAAAAAGTTAATTTCCATCCCTGGACATAAGTATTTGATACATCAGAAAAGCAGACCTTAATATTTGGTACATAAACCTTTGTTTTCAATCACAGAGTTCATACGTTTCCTGTAGTTCTTGACCAGGTTTGCACACACTGCAGGAGGGATTTTGGCCCACTCCTCCATACAGACCTCCAGATCCTTCAGGTTTCGGGGCTGTCGCTGGGCAGTACGGACTTTCAGCTCCCTCCAAAGATTTTATATTGGGTTCAGGTCTGGAGACTGGCCAGGCCACTCCAGGACCTTGAGATGCTTCTTACGGAGCCACTCCTTAGTTGCCCTGGCTGTGTGTTTCGGGTCGTTGTCATGCTGGAAGACCCAGCCACGACTCATCTTCAATGCTCTTACTGAGGGAAGGAGGTTGTTGGCCAAGATCTCGCGATACATGGCCCCATCCATCCTCCCCTCAATACGGTGCAGTGGTCCTGTCCCCTTTGCAGAAAAGCACCCCCAAAGAATGATGTTTCCACCTCCATGCTTCACGGTTGGGATGGTGTTTTTGGGGTTGTACTCATCCTCCTTCCTCCTCCAAACACGGCGAGTGGAGTTTAGACCAAAAAGCTCTATTTTTGTCTCATCAGACCACATGACCTTCTCCCATTCCTCCTCTGGATCATCCAGATGGTCATTGGCAAACTTCAGACGGGCCTGGCTTGAGCAGGGGGACCTTGCGTGCGCTGCAGGATTTTAATCGGTGTAGACAGTGTAGTGTGTTACTAATAGTTTTCTTTGAGACTGTGGTCCCAGCTCTCTTCAGGTCATTGACCAGGTCCTGCCGTGTAGTTCTGGGCTGATCCCTCACCTTCCTCATGATCATTGATGCCCCACAAGGTGAGATCTTGCTTGGAGCCCCAGACAGAGGGAGATTGACCGTCATCTTAAACTTCTTCCATTTTCTAATGATTGCGCCAACTGTTGTTGCCTTCTCACCAAGCTGCTTGCCTATTGTCCTGTAGCCCATCCCAGCCTTGTGCAGGTCTACAATTTTATCTGATGTCCTTACACAGCTCTCTGGTCTTGGCCATTGTGGAGAGGTTGGAGTCTGTTTGATTGAGAGTGTGGACAGGTGTCTTTTATACAGGTAACGGGTTCAAACAGGTCCAGTTAATACAGGTAATGAGTGGAGAACAGGAGGGCTTCTTAAAAAGAAACTAACAGGTCTGTGAGAGCCGGAATTCTTACTGGTTAGTAGGTGATGAAATACTTATGTCATGCAATAAAATGCAAATAAATTACTTAAAAATCATACAATGTGATTTTCTGGATTTTTGTTTTAGATTCAGTCACTCACAGTTGAAGAGTACCTATGATAAAATTTTCTCTGACAGATTTTCTACATGCTTTGTAAGTGGGAAAACCTGCAAAATCACCAGTGTATCAAATACTTGTTCTCCCCACTGTATATACATATATATATGGCTTTACAACCTGCTGAATGCGGGTGGATTTCAGCAGTGGCGTGTAACGCAGTCACTCCTAATAGCCACTTTGGGGGGTTGAATTTTATAATTCTTATAATTCGCTATATACATCACAACCTAAAATTCAGTTGAAAGTAAAACTATTGTTCCTTGTTTTTGAGTCCAGATTCTAGATGGCAGTTTCTGCGATCACGTACAGAGTTTTCTCATTTCACTGTGTCAGACGGAGCTTGAGACGTCTCAAAGCATTCAGGACACTTTCCAGTGCCTGCTGGAGACGTCCAGTGGGGTGAGTTACACACACACACACACACATTTGAGTATATACTGGTACTGAAAAGCACACATGAACCACAGTGGCCGAATGTAGAGCAGGTAATATGATCTGCCACTGGAGGTTTATTGGATCAAATCCCAGCTCAAGCATTTAAAGTTGACCTTAAAGAGAAAAATATACCTGCTTTACAGAGTTTGCAGTGGTTAATGAGATCTTTATGTTATGTTATGTTAGAATGGAATGGCTTTTTTTAAAGATGTATTGATGTTTCAATTTTGGCTGCAACATTAAGCATGTTGAGATTAGAAATACAGAAATTGTTAATTATTATAAATATGTAATTTGAAGAAAATCAGCTCATTTTCAACAGTGTGACTGCCTTCGGTATGTGTCATTAGGTCTTTTGTGGTCTTGTGTTGTTGTAATTCGATGATTCTCACAGTGTTTCCATTCAGTTTTGAGAGTCAGGTTTAATGTCTCTAGCTAGCATCAGGTTACAGCAAAACACACACACACACACACACACACACACACTGATCATGAATGACCTGTTCTAGTCTGTTGTTCCTCCTCTGTTAACTGTGATATTCTTGTTAATGTGACATTCTGACTTTAGTCTACATTGGTTTACATTAGTTTAATTGTCCCTGTGTGTAGGTGACACAGGATATCCACCAACAGATTTTCATTCAGGACAACCCAGTGTTTCAGAAAGCCGCCCCCTTCCAGTACCAGCCCTGTGAAAATGATTCGGTATGTTGCATTCAACTAAATAATATGCGAAAGATATGTTTTTCGATGTTTATCTGACACTCACTTAAAGTTAATAATTAAAAACACTTATAATTTAATAACACTGTTAAATGTTATTCAAAATAAATATATTAATTTGTAATATTGTACATTACAAAGAGGAAAAGTGCTCTAATGAAGGCCGAATGTGTTCCTCCATGACTGCGCAGCTGTTTTTCAGATGTGCAACAGCGCCCCCTGCTGCCCGCATGTCATCTCGCCCTTCTCCACCCCAGCATAGTGGTCCGTTTGTTCGCTAACCCTCTTTTTGTTTGCAAGTCTAACAAGCATTAGTCTGTTCCTAAAGAAAACATTAGAGATGCAGCCCTGAGCGCTGGTGGGGCGGAAAGATCAGGGAAAACTGGGCGTCAGTGCAGGCAGGAAGCAGCATGGTCTGTGAAAAGAGGGCATTGAGAAGTGAACCTGCCCTACCTCTTGCACCCCTAACAAACACCTCCCATTCCCCCGTTCGTAATATTAAAAAAAATAAATGAAAAATAAGTACAAATGCATTTATTTTATTTACATAAAAAATAATGGGAATTATTTAGAAATTGTTTTATCCTGTTCAGTGGATTTATAAATATGAGCATTTGCATGCTGTAGTGTAGATCCACGTATGCGTGCATTTTGTCAAGAAGCTGTCGTGATATTTCGTTTCTGGTGAACAGGAGCTGCTCTGTAAAGCAGCATCTGGAAGGATCATTCTTCAAGAGCTTACATCACTTGAACATTTAGTCTGTCAATATTTACACAGTCTCGTTATGCAAAGATTTGTTCATCTGATTTTGGAGATTGATGTTCTTCCAAGTTATGCTGTGACTTTAGTGTACACGCGTGCACTGAGAAGTTATCAGGGTTTCATGTGCAGAAAACACTCTCTCTTTTTCTCTCTTCAGGTCAGGGAACTGTTGAAGGAGAGTGGCACGGCTGAAGAACACAGTCTGAATAAGGAAGCACGGAAATGGGCCACACGTGTGGCCAGAGAACACAAGAACATCATTCTCACGCAACGGGTGAGGGGGCACTGAAACAATATGATTTTGATTTGTGATATTAAAAATAAATTTATTTATTTCTATTTTTTGTATTTTTGTATTTATATATTTATTTCTATAATTTATGGTTACTTGTTTCTTTTTTCATTTATATATTTAGGGTTGCACTAAAAAGTGTCAGATATTAAAATAAAGATAAAACATTATTAATATATTTTATGAAAATAAATTAATAAAGTAAATTATTCGTTCATCTAATCTAAAATATTTTGTCTAAATGGCCAATATTAAAATAAATACAAACGAGTAAAAGATTTTTTTTTAGGGCTGTCAAACAATTAATCACGATTAATCGCATCCAAAATAAAAGTTTGTGTTTACATAATATATGTGTGTGTACTGTGTATAATTATTTTTAATACATAAATACCCACACATGCATGTGTATTTAAGAAATATTTGCATGTATATACTGTATATAGACTGAATGTAGCCTATATATAATGTATATTTTATATAAATATAAACATTTTATATATAAATAACATATTTTTCTGAAATATATACGTGTGTGCATTTATATACAAAATAATTATACACAGTACACACACATATATTATGTAAACACAAACTTTTATTTTGGATGCGATTAATTGCGATTAATCTTTTGACAGCCCTAATTTTTTTATTTAAAATTAATACAATTAATTATGCTAAAATCTGTCTAAATTTTGTCTAAATAAAAATAAAACAATAACTAAACGTACTAAGATATAAAATAAAAAAATAACATAAAATCTATTTAGTCTAAATAAGTCAAAAATAACAACAATGTTCAATCAAATATTATAAAATAATAATATAAAAACGGTTTTGTCTAAATAAAAAGCAATAAAAACTAAATTGAATTTTTAATAATAATTAAATTTTGTTTCAATAAATTTAAAATAAAAACAATATCAATGGTGCTGCAAGTGAATTTAGGCATTACAACATTGCAACAATGTACAGTAAGATTTTTTTTTTTTTAGACACTATCGGAGTATGAAGAGTCGCACCAACAGGACCAGAATAACAATGAGCTGGAACTGAAAATGGACGATGCAAGAGAATCCATTCGGAAATCAGAGGTGAAGAGTTGGTTTGTTTGTGTTTGTACAGTATAACTCCAGATCTTTAGTTGTCTGTCACCTCTGGGAGAAACACAGTTTAAAGGGGAACTTAGCAACTCTAGTCATTTCTTCGCTGATTTTCACTTTTGTTGTCGCATGTTTTCTCATCGAGCTCCCCCTACAGCTGTGCGGCGTATATTTCACAACACTGTCATAAAAAAACTCACTTGCGGCACCTTCCTCCCGCTTTCTACCGCTGCTCATGTGCGTTTGTTATTATCGGAGCCGGCCAACTTTATCGTGTGGAGCTATGTCTACCGAGGTGGTAATACATCATACACAATATAATAGAATTATGTCGAATTGCCATAAAGCAGTTCGTGTTTCTCGCACGTTCTCGCTTCTCACGAGACTTCCTATTTCCAACTTACCGGGACGTTAGTCCCCATATTGGACAAGGTTGGTTTTCCGCCTGGAGACACTGGGGGGAGTGGGGAAAGTCACCATTCTCTCCAGAACAGGTTATTGAACCATTCAAATGATTTCTAAACGGTTTTTATTAAGTTGAAATAGTTGCCAACTGCCCCTTTAAAATGAAAATATTGGCTCAATGCCGTCACACTCCCTCTGCTGGTCGCTACTCGTTATTTTGGTTATTAAAAGAAGCTGCACATTTGGTCAATGGTATGAAACAGTACCATTTATTGTATCAAGAGTTATTGTAATAGTTGTGCATAAATAATATGTAATAGAACAGGAAGTGGGTAGATAATGAGTCCACTCTTCCTGTAGACGGTGAAACAGAAGGCAGAGGTGCGTCTGAACCTCCTCAGAGACGTGGGTGTTGCTGTAGACGTCTGGCTGAAGAGTGCCATGAACCAAGTGTTGGAGGAACTGGAGAACGAGAGATGGGCGGCCCTCAATGCCCACGATGCTTCATTCTCTGTAAGTCTCGATCGCTCGCAGTCAAAGCCCGATTCACATAGACCCTATAACCTATTATAATCATCCTTTACAACATATGTCTTCAGCACTCTGCAGATTTGGACAGAGAGGATGATGAGGACATAGAGACGTTGGACGACAGCAGTTCCAGTCCCTCCAGCACTCACAGGAACTACCCACTCACCTGCTCTGTGCTGTACTCGTATCAGGTACATACCTTGTCTGGTCTAGCCTGACATTCACCAGGATTTCAGGGTTCTATTCATGCATTTGTGATGTCATTTCCTGTGCTTTACTTCCACAGGCATGCCAGCCTGATGAGCTCACCATCCAGGAACAGGAAATACTGGAGCTTATTGATGATGGAGACATGGAGGACTGGGTCAAGGTACACGCACACCCACTCAACTACATCAGTTTTTTTTTTTTTTTTTTTTTTTCAATACACATGATTCCCTTGCCTTGCCCTTCCCTAGAATATAAAGGCATATATTTTTTAGTTATTAATTATATATTGTCGTATATACAGACTCATTTATACTGTGTGAGGAAAAATATAATTTATTTAATTATTTACAAAATTATTATAAATATTATACATTATCTTTCAATAAGATTTGTTTTTAATTAACACATTCAGTAAAGATGCATTAAATTAATCAAAAGTGACAGTAAAGACATTTATAATGTTGTATATAATAATAAATGTTTCTTGAGCACCAAATCAGGATATTAGAATGATTTCTGAAGGATCATGTGACGCTGAAGACTGGAGTAATGATGCTGAAAATGTAGCTTTGCATCACAGGAATAAATTACATTTTAAAATGTATTAAAATAGAAAGAAATTTTTTAATTTAACAATATTTGTAAATGTAACTGTATTTTGATCAAATAATTGCAGCCTTTGTTACATTTGTGTAGTATTGTGTGTATATAATAATTATAAATATAATCAGTAACTTATAAGTTTTATTAATTTTGAGAATTTGCTAAATAAAATGTTACAAGCTATTTTAAATTATTTACATATTTCTAAACTTATATTTAGATTAACATTTTAACTTTATAGAAATATATTTACAAACTATATACATATTTTGATTTTATTTCATTATGTTAAAGCTGCAGTCCGTAGTTTTTCCTCTTTGTCGCCATCTCTGTATAAGTTGTATGCAATTGCAGTTATTCGCGGAATTATCAACTTTACGTGAGTTGTAGTTCGACACCCTCGACATGGCACAGCGCGGATGAACACAGTGTTTGAGGAGAGTGTGCAGCTGTCAGTCACCGCGCCGATGTGGATACTGGCATTCAGAATCACAGATTATTCTTTTTGGAAGTATGACCAACATAAGAATTTTCACCGGAAAATATCATTTGAACTAGTAAGAAACATCCGCTTTTGTTCTGGTTCTGACATTGCAGTAAATCGCGCTGATTAAATCTAACAATCGCTTATAAGTTATCATATCACGCAAAACCGTGCAAATTATACTTTGTTCTCAAATTGTTAATGTTAACAACGTCAGCATTGCGTGACTACATGCAATTCCGATATGTAACGTTTTCCTTGTTTTCGCATGGGTCCGGTTGCAGTCTCTTTTTTCTGTAGCCACTCCGAAGTCCGAACGAAGTCTTTTGCATTTTACAGCGGGTGAATCTGTTGTCACTGGTGATTGTCGTTTGAACCTTTCTGGATCCGCCATCAAATTGATAAGTTTAATTATATCAAGTGCTGTGAGAAAAGGCTATAAATCTCCACCTCTAACATCCTCACACGCAATATAGCCTACTAGCCGAGACTCCTTCTTTATGTGTACAGATGTGATGTAATGACACAAAGACATGCTCGAATCTCCTGCGGAAATCCACCAGTACCACTGGAATTAAAAACATTATTACAAGCTTACCGCTTTGAATCGAGCTACGGCAAGCAGATCGTTTTGAACACTGACTGGTTATGTATTTTCTCAAATATGTATTTTTGGATAATTTTTAACCCCAAAAAAACTACGGACTGCAGCTTTAAATAAATTGTTTATTATTTTTTTATGTCTCAAATTTTCCACAGGCATTCCTAGCATCCCCTTGTGGCCCTTAGTTTTAAAACACATGAACTAAATGCCACTTTAATAATTATGTTGGCATTTATTGGACATGTTTTTTTATTTTATTTTTAGGCAAGGAACCAAACAGGACTGGTGGGATACGTGCCGGAGAAATACCTGCAGCTTCCGACCTCCAACTCTCTACTGAGCATGATCCAGTCTCTCTCCAGCATTGACGCCCAATCACACACCTCCAGCACTTCTGCAGAACAAGAGCCAGAAATCGAGACACTCACCCAGAGCAGCCCGAACAGTCCCGCCAGCGGTGAGACCACCCTCTCATTATATCTGGCATAATACAAGTATAGTATTAATATTAAACCTTGCTAGTAGACCATTTTAACAAACATTTTCTGCCCTCTTGCTCTTTTGCACAGCCATAAATCTAGCCAGGGCTCTGTATGCCTATGAGGCTCAGACAGAGGACGAGTTGTCCTTCCCCGAGGGAGCTGTTATTTGCATTCTCAGCAAACACAACCAGGAAGATGATGGGTTCTGGGAGGGCGAGTTCAACGGCGCAGTGGGCGTCTTTCCCGCAGTATTAGTGGAGGATCTATGCGGACCGGAGGGTGCACAAACACACAAGAGCATGAACGTGCAGGTTTATACAAATACTACTGGGAAACACAGGCCTCATTGAAAAAGTTTCTGTTCATGTTTATAGTAAGGCCATGTTGATTTTTTTTTGTAATAGCTGTTTCTTACCACCAGGTGTCTCTGTCAGTTCTGGATCAAGCGACTTGTCCACCGGCTGCGTCTTCATCCTGTAGCAGTCCAGAGTCCATCTCACTTCCACCTTTGACCGGCACACTCCCTTTAAATGGCTATCAAACCCCAGAACCCCCCAAAATCTCGAGCCACAGTAAGACACAGAGCACCCCGGCAGACCCTAAAGCCTTATAGCAAACCTTCACACATGACTGTTGACGTTTTAGTGACGTTCAATCTCACATTATTTATCTTAAAAATGTTGAATAAAAAAAACAACATTATTTTAATTTATTAAATTAGCGACTGGCATATAAGCATTATATATATGTATTATATATATATATATATACACAGGTCCTTCTAAAAAAATTAGCATATTGTGATAAAGTTCATTATTTTCCATAATGTAATGATAAAAATTAAACTTTCATATATTTTAGATTCATTGCACACCAACTGAAATATTTCAGGTCTTTTATTGATTTAATACTGATGATTTTGGCATACAGCTCATGAAAACCCAAAATTCCTGTCTCAAAAAATTAGCATATTTCATCCGACCAATAAAATAAGTGTTTTTAATACAAAAAAAAAAGTCAACCTTCAAATAATTATGTTCAGTTGTGCACTCAATAGTCAATACTTGGTCGGGAATCCTTTTGCAGAAATGACTGCTTCAATGCGGCGTGGCATGGAGGCAATCAGCCTGTGGCACTGCTGAGGTGTTATGGAGGCCCAGGATGCTTCGATAGCGGCCTTAAGCTCATCCAGAGTGTTGGGTCTTGAGTCTCTCAACTTTCTCTTCACAATATCCCACAGATTCTCTATGGGGTTCAAGTCAGGAGAGTTGGCAGGCCAATTGAGCACAGTAATACCATGGTCAGTAAACCATTTACCAGTGGTTTTGGCACTGTGAGTAGGTGCCAGGTCGTGCTGAAAAATGAAATCTTCATCTCCATAAAGCCTTTCAGCAGATGGAAGCATGAAGTGCTCCAAAATCTCCTGATAGCTAGCTGCATTGACCCTGCCCTTGATAAAACACAGTGGACCAACACCAGCAGCTGACATGGCACCCCAGACCATCACTGACTGTGGGTACTTGACACTGGACTTCAGGCATTTTGGCATTTCCTTCTCCCCAGTCTTCCTCCAGACTCTGGCACCTTGATTTCCGAATGACATGCAAAACTGAGCAACAGTCCAGTGCTGCTTCTCTGTAGCCCAGGTCAGGCGCTTCTGCCGCTGTTTCTGGTTCAAAAGAACCTGGGGAATGCGGCACCTGTAGCCCATTTCCTGCACACGCCTGTGCACGGTGGCTCTGGATGTTTCTACTCCAGACTCAGTCCACTGCTTCCGCAGGTCCCCCAAGGTCTGGAATCGGTCCTTCTCCACAATCTTCCTCAGGCTCAGGTCACCTCTTCTCGTTGTGCAGCGTTTTTTGCCACACTTTTTCCTTCCCACAGACTTCCCACTGAGGTGCCTTGATACAGCACTCTGGGAACAGCCTATTTGTTCAGAAATTTCTTTCTGTCTTACCCTCTTGCTTGAGGGTGTCAATGATGGCCTTCTGGACAGCAGTCAGGTCGGCAGTCTTACCCATGATTGCGGTTTTGAGTAATGAAACAGGCTGGGAGTTTTTAAAAGCCTCAGGAATCTTTTGCAGGTGTTTAGAGTTAATTAGTTGATTCAGATGATTAGGTTAATAGCTCGTTTAGAGACCCTTTTCATGATATGCTAATTTTTTGAGACAGGAATTTTGGGTTTTCATGAGCTGTATGCCAAAATCATCAGTATTAAAACAATAAAAGACCTGAAATATTTCAGTTGGTGTGCAATGAATCTAAAATATATGAAAGTTTAAAGGAGCTGTATGTAAGATTGTGGCCAAAATTGGTACTGCAATCACTTTCAAATTACTGTAGAGCTGTGTATCCCCTCCCCCTCCCCCCTAACTCGAGGTTGCCAGATAGGCTGCAGGATCCAGCAGGAACGTGACGAGCTGCAGCTGTGGTAACTAGAGCAGAGCTGGCAACCCGGATGCCGAAACACTACTGACTTCGTGATTGGTAGATAGGTGGAGGGTGGGGCTTCAGGCCAAAACACAAGATGACAACATCAACATCAGTTGAGGGCTGCAACTTCACTTTTTAAATGACAATATCGTGGCCGTACTACTGTTGTCAGTGATATAAGTATTTGAAATGAACATGATTTCTTAATGTCTAGAGACACATCAGGGCCATTTTATGATTAATTGAAATACATTTCTTACATACAGCTCCTTTAATTTTTATCATTACATTATGGAAAATAATTAACTTTATCACAATATGCTAATTTTTTGAGAAGGACCTGTATATAAAATAGTTTTTTTTTATAGAAAAACGAAAAAATATATATTACTGAATGAAATTTTTGTAAGTAGGCCTACCAGTGTTATTTTAATATTATTTATATAATATTATAGTATAATATTATATAAATGCTATAATATTAGGGTTAGGGTTATTTTATTAAGACATTAATTTTTGCAATTTATGTTCTTTTGTATTTTTTGTTTGGTTTCTTTTTGTTTGTTTTAGTCATTTTAGTACTCAAACTTTTATTTATTTCAGTTAGCTGCCAAGGTCACTTTTTTTTAAATTAAATAATTAGAAATGTGTTTTTTTTAAGTTTTTCTTCTAATATTTATGTTTTATTTTATTTCTGCTTTATTTCAAGTAACACTTTTTTTAAAAATAAGTTATGATAAAATGATTTCTAAAAAGTTTGTTTTAGTTAACAGTAGCAAAACTGAGGCCCAGGATTATTATTATTATTATATTAAAATCATTAAAAAAAATAGTTTCTTGAAATAAAATACACATTAACTGATGTAAAATAAAATATAAAAACTTAAACTTACTTTATTTCGGCTAGTTGCTAAAGCAACATTTCCCATGTTCATTTTAGTTTAATTTGATGTACTAAAGTAACTAAAACTGAAATAAAAATCAATAATAACTATACAGATATTTAAAAACTCTAATAAAAACAAAACACTCATTTACACACTCAATTACTAAACCTTTTACTAAAATTTAAAAAGGAAATATACAAATAAAATGTTCATAAAAACTATAACAGTATCTCAGTGATACTAAAACAAGACTGCTGAGGCCATTGTTCTGTTAATAGATTTATGCCTTTGGGAAATATCCGAATCCCAGTCATCTGTGTGGTCTCCTTCACAGGCCACGCCCACACCCCACCACCCAGATCCCCAGGAGAGGGCGGGTCAGGCACCCTGAGACCTGTGAGATCTGCACCCCTAAAGCTACATGCCAGTGATGGGCGCTTATGTGTGAAATCTGATGGGTATTTTTGTTATCTGCAGGTACGAGCTGCTCCTCCTCCACCCAAACAGCAGGCACAGGGTCAGGTGCAGAAGAGAGAAGAGGTAGAGATCACACTGGTGTGAGCACATTTTACAAGATTGACGTTACCATGCTTGAATGCACCATGTGAATTCGATGTCGTGCAGGGTGGACATTCAGGAACTTTTTAATGAAGATATGGATGCACAAGCTGACCATTATTTAATGTGGTCCCACGCTTTCTTCAGTTTTTTAGGGCAATTTCAAACACACGAGGCTTTACTAGAGCTACAAAGAGACTTTAAAGGGAAAAGTGGCAATTATACTGTTGAATTTATGTGTATGATTCCGTCCATAAACATATTTAGGGCTAAATACTTTTAGGGGCATATTACAGTTTTAGCTTAAACTTTGTCAGTATTTTACTTGTCTGGTCTGTCAGCCATTATTTGAATGAATATTAAGATATTTTTAGCTATTGTAAATTCCAGGAAGATAAACAACCTGAGCACTTTAGGTGTAGTTTATAATGCATTGCAGTATTTTGTTTTATTTTAGTTGTCATTGTTTTTCTTTATAAGAGACATGTGGAGATGCTGTGAGACTTATGCATTTCAGTTTCGGTGCATTCAAGTTTATGGAGGGATTATTGGGACAGATTGAAAACTAAAAGTCTAAAACTAAAAGTCTTAAACGAAAACCAAAAGTCTAAGTTTGAAACTAAAAGTCTAAGTCGAAAACTAAAAGTCTAAGTCAAAAATGAATTTGGTATTTAGGATTGGGCATTTGGTATTTAGGATTGGGCATTTGGTATTTAGGATTGGGCATTTGGTATTTAGGATAGGGCATTTGGTATTTAGGATTGGGCATTTGGTCATTTAGCCATTTAGGATTTAGGATTGGGCATTTAGGGATTTAGGATTGGGCATTTAATCATTTAGCCATTTAGGATTGGGCATTTGAGGATTGAGGATTGAGGAGTGTATGCAAATAAGGAGGCGTGGCCCAAATACTGGAGGCTGGGTTTGAAATGGCTGGTGCAGATGCACCTTATGGACAGCAGAGGGAGCTCCAGTCAGTCCAGTGCTAAGGAGCACACTGTAATGAAACCAAACAGAGCGAGTGAGCAGGTCTGGAGCGAGGACTGTACTTTATAATGTGATAACTTCAACTTAATGACAGCGTTGTATAGGGGTACTGGAACGGTACATGTATTCCTATTGAACCGAACCGGTAGCCTACGGGCGTCACGGTTCGGTGCACGAATTTACATGGAGAATACACGGTATAAAAATAAATAAAACTCTAAATAGCGATACATTTCGCTCTATTCGCGTTTGGTGTGAACGCAGCATAATAAACAGGCTGCGACGTCAAGGTTGCAATGTTGGAGTGTGTGCTGCAAGGTTCAAACTGCAAAGTGTGTATATTTGTGTACACTCGCAATAAAATACAACATTGTGCTTTTGTCACACTCTAAAATCTTGTCAAACTGTAACCTACAACTGTCACCCAACCAAAATCACACACACAAACACACACTCTCTCTCTCTCTCTCTCTCTCTCTCTCTCTCTCTCTCTCTCTCTCTCTCTCTCTCTCTCTCTCTCTCTCACACACACACACACACACACACACCTAGTTCGTTCGCGCCCACGCCTCCCCCTCTCTCTCTCGCGCGCACACACACACTCCACAATTGCAATCTTGATATCGCAGCCTGTTTATTATGCTGCGTTCACACCAAACGCGAATAGAGCGAAATGTATCGCTATTTAGAGTTTTATTTATTTTTATACCGTGTATTCTCCGTGTAAATTCGTGCACCGAACCGTGACGCCCGTAGGCTACCGGTTCGGTTCAATAGGAATACATGTACCGTTCCAGTACCCCTATACAACGCTGTCATTAAGTTGAAGTTATCACATTATAAAGTACAGTCCTCGCTCCAGACCTGCTCACTCGCTCTGTTTGGTTTCATTACAGTGTGCTCCTTAGCACTGGACTGACTGGAGCTCCCTCTGCTGTCCATAAGGTGCATCTGCACCTGCCATTTCAAACCCAGCCTCCAGTATTTGGGCCACGCCTCCTTATTTGCATACACTCCTCAATCCTCAAATGCCCAATCCTAAATGGCTAAATGATTAAATGCCCAATCCTAAATCCCTAAATGCCCAATCCTAAATCCTAAATGGCTAAATGACCAAATGCCCAATCCTAAATACCAAATGCCCTATCCTAAATACCAAATGCCCAATCCTAAATACCAAATTTATTTTCGACTTAGACTTTAGTTTTCGACTTAGACTTTTAGTTTCAAACTTAGACTTTTGGTTTTTTCGTTTAAGACTTTTAGTTTTAGACTTTTAGTTTTCAATCTGACCCAATAATCCCTCCATACAAGTTAAAAGAGATAGTTCACCCAAAAATGAAACTTTTGGCGTCATTTATTAACTATCAGCTTCTTCCAAACCTGTTTGACTATTTCTTCTGTGGAATTCAAAAGGGAAAACAAATAGTAATCACGTGTTCATTCATAGGCTATAGCTAATTGCGTGGGAAAGCGTCGCCGACATTTTCTAAACATTTTGTAATGTGTAAATGATGACAGACTTTTTTTCTGCGGCAGACTCTTCATTTAGTAAAAAATCTGGCCTTTACAAATATAATTTCTCATAGTTTTCGTGTCTTTTTTACCTCATGTCTCTCATGATTGTTCTCAGTTCTAGTCCGATTTCATGATGAATGTTCAAAGACTGCTATGGTAAGATAAAAAGCGAAAGTGAAAAACATTTCAATCAACATTGTAAAATTGTAATTATTCGGTTTCTGTAACACCGTTCACTAAACACCTTGTACAGTAACATTATGTGCCCGCCCACAAATGAAGCGGGAAGATAATCTGATGGTAACGTTACGTTCAGCGCGTTTCAGTATAGCCACTATCAGAGCCATATAGAGAGAAATATTTATAGGTCATCCGTTTTTCTCCACACAAACAACTTTTTTACCTGGACAAGTGAATGACAAATTTGCTTGTCCAAAGGGTTTCTGTCAGTGCAGTGGGAATCTCAGTAGCTAGTGGCTATAGTGACTTCCCACGACAAGTCATTAGTCTTATTTTTGGACCTTCCGGCTCGCCATATTAAACCACCCTACAAAGTAATTTGTTCTTTCCAGGTGTTGTGCCAAATTATTACCCCCCTAGCATTGGTAGGTTTAGGATTAGTTGTGGGGGAGGGGTTAGGATTGGGGTTAGGATTGGGGGAGGGGAGGGGTTAGGATTGGGGGAGGGGAGGGGTTAGGATTAGGGGCGGGGTTGGGATTAGGGAATCAGGTACCGACTTCAACGAGGGGGGTAATAATTTGGGAGGGGGTCGAAATTAGGCACAACAGGTGTAGTATCTTTTTCGGTTTAATTTTTTTGCAACCATGAAATAACATTCCCAGAATGTTGCAGGGTAGTTATTTTTAAATTTAGTTTATGGGTAGTTATCCATAAAATAAAGTTGGCAGAACGTTGCAGAGTAGTTATTTTTAAATAACCTAAAAAGAATAACTACAGAACGTTCCCTAATGGTTATTTTTAGGTTATTTTGTAACCATAAAAAAAAACTTTCCCAGAACGTTGAAGGGTTGTTATTTTAAATAACAACTTATACAGAATGTTGCCTTATGGTTACTATTTTTATAACCATGTAAACTAACCCTTCCAATTAAAACGTTGCAGATATTTTTGTGTAATGACCTATACAGAGCTCTGAAATTAGTTTAATATAGCATTTAAAGGAGCTGTATGTAAGAAATTTATTTCAATTAATCATAAATTTCCCCTGATATGTCACTAGACATTAAGAAATCATGTTCATTTCAAATACTTATATCACTGACAACAGTAGTCCGGCCAGGATATTGTCATTTAAAAAGTGAAGTTGCAGCCCTCAACTGATGTTGATGTTGTCATGTTGTGTTTTGGTCTGATGCTCCACCCTCCACCATCTACCAATCACGAAGTCAGTAGTGTTGCGGCATCCTGGTTGCCAGATCTGCTCTAGTTACCACAGCCACAGCTACAAACGTGTCGGAATCGGATCCTGCAGCATATCTGGCAACCTCGAGTCAGTAATTTGAAAGTGATTGCAGTACCTGTTTTGGCCACAATCTTACATACGGCTCCTTTAATAAAATGTAGAAATTAGATCAATCAAAACACGTTTAAGATCTTTTCTCAAACAAGTCACACATTTTGAGAGATACAATTTCTTCGATCAGGGGTTTTCAATCTTTCAGATGCCACAGACTCAAAATATGAGATTAGTGTCATGAGACTTGAGAGACCCCCATTCTAAAGTTTAATACAGTACTGTACTACTATAGTACTGTTCTATTTCTGTTTGATGTATTATTTAAATCTATTTATTTATTTATTCACTTATTTAGTGATGTATAGCACTTTTAGATGCCACAGATCCCAAATATTCCCTTGCGAGGGACGGGCTTCCTAAAATTCAAAATGCAGCTAAAGACCCAATTTATATCGTATAAAAAGTTCATATTTATTCATTGTAGTTTAATCTTATTTTTACATTTGTTTTTCTGTAAACATTTTTCATGGACTTTTTTCATGGTGGTCTCTGGACCTCAGTTTGAAAACCCCTTTCTTGCTGCCATACGCAACAAAAGGTTCAAGTTTGACTCAATTTACTTTCATTCTGTTGGGTATTATCACATGCGTTAAGAAAAATATACTATATTGTTCATGTTTGTTTGATTTTGATTTTTATAATAGCCTAAAAATCATATACCCTAGCATACAGCATTTAATGTCAACATATAAAACACTGTAAACCTTGTAAACAATTGTGCGTTCATAAACACGAAAATGCCACAATCAGTTTCGTCACTTCATACACGTCTTTTTTTCTCACACCAGAAATAAAACAGTTTCTCCGGCTTTATGAAAGGCCGCTCAGCCGTTCACTGACTTCCCAAAGCTTTTTGGCCACCGCGTCGTCTTTGGCTTTGGCACTGACTTCCTCCACAGCGCAGCATGAGAAATAACGTCCACTGAAATGCTCAATTCCTTCCTGAACGGCACAATGAAGAGTTGTTTGGGCTCCGGTGTTTGGGTCCAGGAACAGCAGTCTAGCCACTGGCTCAATGAAGACTTTCTGCCAGAGACTCACATGGCGGGAGAGCTCGGTCTTTACAACACCTACAGAAGGGAGCATGCAATATTAAGCGTTTGTTTAACCCAGTCCCAGTGGTTCTCAAACTTTTTTGGTCATGCTACCCTTTAAACCTTTAAGAGAAAAAAAAAGTATGCAGAAAACTTTTCATGCGTCCGTTCATTCACACGACAACGTCGTTTTGGGTGCAATTTTTTTTAAACGATACCAATTTTGTCTTTGTGTAAACTAAAAAAACGAATGAAAAAAAAGAAATCTATGGGAAAAAAACGGTGACGTCATTATGTGTTCAGTCTATGAAGGCGTAGAGTTTCTTTACAAAGTGACATCGCCAACTACTGGCCTGGCAGCAGAATACAGCATTTTTAGTTTAGTTTTCACAAATCTGTGTGAGCGGGGATCGTTTTAACAACGTTGTCGTCTGTATGTGAAAAACGCAAAAGAAAAACTTTTAAGTTTTTAGTACATTGTTGTCGTGTAAACTTACCCTAAATCTACATGTGATTCAATTTCGGACTTCTCAGTTGCAATATGTATTCAATAAAATCAGTACTTTAGTAGTCATTTATTGCATTTCTAAAAAAATTGCCTACAGACTTTTAAAGTGTGCTGCAATGGGATTGAGTCCCGCCGGGTCCCTCGGGACCCAACGCAAATCTCGCGGGAGCGGGCGGTTTGAACTTTGCTGCGGGCGGGAATGGGCGGACAAATAAAACCCCTGCGGGATTGGGAGGTAGCCTAACGACATGATGGAGATGTCAATGATGTGGAAAAGAACCTTAAACGAGGTATTTACAGCACAAAACCTGAGCAAGGCAAGTCTGACATTTACTATTCATCTTCCTGATCAGTGCGTCAGAATACATGCAGGCCAGGGAAACGAAACCAACAACCCCATGAATCTCTTTAACAATAGCAATACAAATACGCGTTTTTTTCCTGCGGGACGGGAGAAGACACAAAGTCAGTGCATCTCTATTATTGTGCGGGAATAAATTCTCCGAGTTTTGCGGGTGCGGGCGGGAGTGGACATACATATTGCGGGAGCGGGCGGGAGTGTAACACATACGTTGCGGGAGCGGGCGGTAATGGTCAAAAATTCGGCGGGCGCGGGCGGGACCGGGATGAAGAAAACAGTCCCGCGCAGGACTCTATATCAAACTATTAAAGGCCAACGGAAATATGTGATTTTGCATTTGAGTGTCTCCAGTTGGTGGTAAACGCACTTAGATATTATGTACAAATAAGTGCGTATGCACGATTAGTGAACAAGACTCTCGCTGTATTTGAATATGCCTACTTGCATACTATATATTATGCAAAAAACAGTACGACAAAACAGTATGACGAATTCAAAGTATTAGAAAAACCGGCGAAAAGTACCCGGGTGACCTACTGCTTCCATTCAATGGACATTCCATGGCTGTGTCCGAAATCGCCCCCTATACCCTTAAATAGGGCACTATTTGAGGGGACAGACAGATTTGTAATGGTGTGCGAAACCATAGTGAACTCATTCAATCCTGCAATGCACTGCAATAACTAGTGTACAACTGATGTACGCTCAACGGCTAAAGAATACCCATAATGCACTGTGAGGGTCGTGCCGAATGAATTCCCGCAGGCGCCCGCAGCTGAATCATCCATCCATCCATTTTCCAAACCGCAGATCCAATGTGGCCACAGCGTAATATCATACAGGTATAAATTCCTTTTTACTTGATTTATTAAATTGTTTACCGGTAATTAAGGTTTGTTTTATTTAAATTGTTTAAATAAGGCTGCCAGTTTGCAAGTTTCAAATGACTCTTAAACAGCAAGCACAAACTATGCAAAAGCGGCAGCCCTGAAGTTCCGACACACTCAAGTGTCCGAATTCACTCACTCGTTTTCATTCACTCCTTCAAGTGGACTATATTAGTGGAGTGATGTGGGGAATAGTGAATGAGGGCATAGGGGGCGATTTCGAACACAGCCCATGAAACCAAGTGAAATGACACAACTGACTCTGGTAGGTTATGTGCCAGTAACAACATGGCAGATGCAATACGTCATTCCAAACCTGTGTGACTTCTCAGTGGAACGCAAAAAGTGGAATTCACATGATGTACAAAGAAATGTAAAAATTCATGCAGGTTTTGAACAACAGGAAGGTGGGTAAATAAGGCCAGAACATTAATTTGACCAAACTATACATATCAAGTATGATTTTTACCTGGATGAACACTGTAGCAGGTGACGTTTGTGCCCTTCATTCTCTTGGCCAGTTCGTGAGTGAACAGGACGTTGCAGAGTTTGCTGTTGCAGTATGCCTGGAAGAACTGCCAACTGTATCTCCCTGACCCCAGGTCTTTGGTGGCGATAAGAGAATCAAAATCAATCTTGCCCCAGCGATGGGCCATGGAGGATAGAGTGATGACCCTAGCAGCAGGACTCTCCTTCAGACGGTCCAGCAGAAGACATGTGAGCAGGAAATGTCCAAGATGGTTGACTCCAAACTCTATGCCAAAACCATCCTCAGTTAGACCATCTGCAACCAGACCTGAACAGAAAAAGCCTTTGATTGCAATGCCATGTTTCCCCTAATATTCAGATAAGTGGTCAATCAAGATGGCCAAACTTTTACCTTTGGTTCCCCCAATCTTGAACATTTTGAACATATTGAAACTTGGCTTAACGTTACCTGCATTATTGATGAGCACATCCAGTCTCGACTCAGATTTGAGGAAGGTCTCGGCAAAAGCTCGCACAGATTTGAGGCTTCCAAGATCAAGCTTCATGTACAGTATATCATTGCTTCCTGTGTCCTGAACAACAAATATGGGTTAATAAAACACTCAAAACTCTTGAATCAGTGGTCTTAAGTGATGGTCCTCACCTTCTTGATGTCATTTATAGCTGCCTCAGCTTTCTTCTGGTTTCTGCAGGCTAGAATTACTCTTGCTCCACGACCAGCCAGATCCAGAGCTGTGGCTTTACCGATACCTGTATTCCCGCCTGAAACAAACCGAATAGCTCTCTCATTACCGAAACCAAAACATATTCCAGGTTCACAGCAAAAATATTATAATAGTTTTTGTTTTGTTTTCTATTACAAATTGCGAGATTATTTTTATTACCGTAGCCTACAGATTTTTTTAATTGTATTTATTGTTTTAACTAACGTTCAGCATAAACTCACTTATTTGTACTGGAACACAAGACAAAAATAGGCTACTATAGCACGAAAATATTTTTTCCAGGGTTTCAGATCACATATAAAAGAGAAAGCCAACGTAAAGACGACAAAAACGCATTTAACGCGGCATTTTCCTCAGGTTTACCACAATATGAGAACATTGATCACAAACCTCACCTGTAATAATGGCCGTTTTCCCCGTCATATCAGCGGTTCCTTTACATTTGGACTTCTTAAACAACGTCTCCACCAAGAAGAAATAAAGACCTGCGACGAGAGCAGCGGCGATGATGAGATGAAACATGATTGTGACCTGCAAGATTCTGCAGGCTGTTATGTACTCCGCCAGGGCCAGAGCCTGATAAACCGGTCCGGGCTTTCTCTTCATCCCCCCGCCATGGCGTTCACCGGACCGGTTTGCGTGTGCTCAAGCAAACAATACAGTAAAATGCCACAAGATTTGAATGCCAGGCTGTGTTATCCCTATATCTCATGTTTTGTTAACGACTGGATACGTTCATTTTTAAACAACAGATCAGTAAAGCTGCCTTTACATTTACAAAATTTCTTAGGTTTTATATGAGCTGTTTTATTGTCTTTACTCCGGTATGACAAAGCCGCACAGGATTTATGTAGTGGTAACTTTATCACATAAAATACAAGTGATATTGGGATATTGTACAAACAATTTGTAAAACAATCAAAGGACATATTTATTAGAGGAATTAAACAGCCCTTCTGTTGCGTTCAGAGCATGTTATGAACCACAAGTCTTCTACACAGGCTTTTTATAAGCTTTATCCAATACAGTTGAGTCGACCACAGGTGCCACTAGACTGTGCAAGTGCAAATCTATACAGATGCAAATGCAATAAAGCTGATGCTCTCATGCTAAACCAACGAGACTCTCGCTGACTTCCCAAAGCTTTTTGGCAGCTGCATCATCTCTGGCTTTAGCAGGAACATTCTGCACTGCACAGCTAGAGAAGTAGCGTCCACTCAGGGGCTCAAGGCCCTCTTGAAGTGCACAGTGAAGAGACGTCTGAGCTCCAGAATCCACATCCGAAAAGAAAAGCAGCAAAATTGGTGCCAAGAACAGCCGCCACCATAGATTGCTGTGACGACCGATGTCGGTTTTAATTGCCCCTATAATAAATAAATCAGCGTTAACTGCATATGACCTATGATACTTTATCAAGAGCTGCTTTTTAGAGAATAAAGAACATCTACTGACCTGGATGAAGACTGTAGCAGGTGACATTTGTGCCTTTGAGTCTCTTGGCCAGCTCGTGTGTAAAGAGGATATTGCAGAGTTTGCTGTGACTGTACAACTTCAGTAAGGCCAATGCTGAATTTCCTAAACCCAAATCTTTATGAGTGTTGATGCAGTTGAAATCAATTTTCCCCCACCAATGGGCCATTGAAGACACAGTCACAACTCTGCTGGGGCCGCACTCTTTTAACCGTTCCAACAGCAGGACGGTTAACAGGAAGTGACCGAGGTGATTGACGCCAAAGATCCTTCCAAAGCCATCCTCAGTCTTGCCAGCAATTACAAGTCCTACAAACACAGACAAAAAAATAAGGCTTTTTAAACCAGATGCAAATTTTGAATTAGTTGAAAATTCAAGAAAGTAATTGTAACAATGCATAAAATAAAATTGCATATATTTGAGAGCTACCTGCATTGTTGATAAGAATGTCTAATCTGGATTCTTTCTTGAGAAGGTTTTCAGCAAAAGACCTCACAGACTTCAGACTGGCCAGATCCAAGTGCATATACACCACCTCTTTGTTTCCTGTTTCCTGTGTTCCAAATCATTGCACAACAATACAGCATTAAATGATGGCAATGAAATGTTAATTCAGCAAACTTATATAACAATCACAGATTTAATAATAATAATAATAACACGTTTTATTTATAAAGCGCCTTTCCAAGCTTTCCAAGGAAGAGAATTCCAGAGTTTCGGAGCCACAGCATAAGTCATGAATACAGGACATAGCGAGGGGGTGAATAATAGTGCAGAAGTTCAGATAAATAGTCCATGAAGACATTTAAAAGTTAGTTAACAAGAGAATTTTATACTGAATGCAGACAGGAACAGGTAACCAATATAGATTATAGAGCAAAGGGGTAATGCAATCAGATTTCTTGACTCTGGCACCAGAATTCTGAACTTATTGTAGTCTAGTGATTGTTTTACCAGGCAGCCCAATTAAGAAGCGAGTTACAGTAGACGAGACGAGAGGTTATCAAAACATGAATTAGAGTTTCAGTATCTTTAGTGCTGAGAGCAGGTCGCAGTCGGGCAATATTGCGAAGGTGGTAGAATGCAATCTTGGTAATAGAACTTATATGAGATTGAAATGTAAGAGACGAATCAAACCCAGATTTACACCCAGATTTTTAACAATATGAGATTGAATTAATGTGGCCCCATCAATAGATAAACTCAGTTCAGACTTAAAGGGATGGTGGACCAAAAACAATAACCTCAGTTTTATCATTATTAAATTTTAGTTAGTTGCTATGTAACCAGATATGTAAATTAGCTGAGATCATGACTATGGATAATGTGACCAAGAGGTAACAAATAAATATTGAACAGAAGTGGTCCAAGAACAGAGCCTTGAGGGACACCTTGAGGGAGAGAACACAGAGAAGATTTTAAGTTATGGACAGTAATAAAAAATTGTCAGTGAGATGAGATATGATATAAACCAAGATAAAGCACTTCCCGTGATGCCGATAGCTGATAGCCGAGAGGTAAGTATGTGATGAGATACAGTGTCAAAAGCTGCTGTTAAGTCAAGCATGACGAGAACAGTAAGACAACCAGAATCAGCAGATATTAGGAGGTCATTAGTAATTTTTACCAATGCTGTTTCAGTGCTGTGGCCTGATCGAAAGCCACATTGATAGGGATCAAGAAGATTGTTAGCATAGAGATGAGCTTGTAACCGCGAGGCAACTACTTTTTCAAGCAGCTTAGAAAGGAAAGGAAGATTAGATATAGGTCTGAAATTATTCATAGCAGAAGAATCAAGCCCTGGTTTCTTTAAAAAAAAATTAAGAAGTGAGGTAGGTAGGTGCTGGATCTAACTGACAAGTAGATGAGCTAGTTTGAGCAATTAGGCCACTAACAGAGGATGGGCTGGTAAGAGTAAAGCTAGAGAGGATGTGCTTTATGGGCTGAGGTGAGGACCAGTTAGAGGAAACGTCTGATGAGTTTGATGGAAATGTTTCATAAATAGATTTTATTTTATTTTCAAAAAAGTGGTGGAAACAGTTGCAGAGGTCAATTGAGCCAGTAATACGATGCGTTGAAGGGTTAATATAAGTTTGTTAACAGATGAAAATAATGTCTTAGGTCTACCTTTAGCAGTGTTTATTACGGAGGAGTGGTATGCTGTACGTGTGGCATTGAGATCAGACTTGTATTTCAGTTGGTGAGCACAGAAATCGTGATAATGCTCGAGACGTCTTCCAATTTGTTTAAGCAGTCGGAGCTCAGGTGTATACCAGGGTGATGCATGAGATGAAGGTACCAGCTTAGTTATCATAGGGCGTGATTGTCCAAGGCTTCAGAGATAGCAGAGTTGTAAGTTGAGAGAACAGCAGAAGGACAAGAGAAATCAGAGTAAGAAGACAGAATATGCAGTCTGAGAATGACAGAGAAACAGATTTAACATTGCGATAATTAATAGTAGTAGAAGAGGTTCAGGAAGAGGGAAATCAAATCTAACTGTTATCAGCTTATGATCAGAAATACCAGTTTGTGAGCCAGAGACATTATTAATTCCTGAAGTGCAAACCAGATCAAGTGTGTGACCACGGCAGTAAGTAGGAAAGTTGACATGTTGTACAAGACTGAAATTATCCTAAGTTAATATAAGGTCACTGGCATTAGAACAGACAAATGGATATTGAAATCACAGAGCAGGATAACATAAAAGGATACAGCATAGGCCAGAGTGAGTAGTTCATTGAGTTTAGAGAAAAAAATCTGAGACTTGAGGACGATATAGTATGATCAGCAGAGAGGTGTGACCAAGCACTTTAAAAGCCATGTATTCAAAAGATGTCACATGAAATTCAGTCATGGCAATTTTCATAGCATCGCGAAAGACATCTGCTAGACCACCACCCCTATAGAGACGTGGCTTAGATAAATAAACAAAACAGCATTTATTACACTACTGATATTACTGGATTTTTATTTATTGTTTTTTAATAAAAGTACCATTTTATAATTTTGTTAAATATGTTTTCAAAGCACTTACGTGCAGGGGGTGTTGATCATTTTTATGCAATTACATTAGGCAATCATAACAATGGGTGTTAACTGCCTGGGTCAGAATGAAGACTGGTAATCCTTTTTGTGCATGTTTTTTTTTTTAAACGTAATAAAAACTGTATTAACATAATAAGTCAACCTTAGGAACATATGAAGACCTCAGATGCAAAAGTCCGTCTAAAGTTTCTTTAATATTAATATTTTTATCAGGCTTCTATGTATAGGTTTCTACCCAAGTATCAGCATTTCTGAATGGGCTGAGGCTGGGATTTAGTGAGTTTGAAGTGAAAGTATTTGATGAACGTATTATGTGGGGAGAGCATTCACTCAATATTATCTCATTTTTGACAGAGGAGGCTTTTAGAGGTTTTTGCATCGGAGGTCTTCATATATATAAATTAAATGGAAGAATCTTTTAAAAAATAAATATACTTCTGGAACCAAGACCGCTGAAAAGGTGTCCTCTATTTGTTGGTAATTGGTCCAGAACGATCGATTAAGTTTTTTTTTTTTATTCCTCATTGTATATTTTCAATTAAATAACTGTTACAGTATCTTATTATGAATAAACGGGCATTTTATATGGTGCTCTCTAGAAACTGCAACTCAAGCATTATATAAACGACGTTGTCACGTGCTTCCAGTTTCTTCACTCAGCACTGGTCAGATCATAATTTTTTTTCATATAATATTTGAATCATTATTTTATTATTCTAGTGCTGCGGGTTTGGATCTGCATATAAAATACCAATTAATAGATTTTTATTTTATTTTTAAATTAACATTTTGCATACAAATGTCAAATGAAACACAAGTCCTGAGATTTAAACGCAGCTCAGTAGTGAACCACCCTAAGTCCCTAATGGAACTTTTATTTTTTATCTTTGTAGAAACGGTCCTTATACCACAGTTACAAACAGTTGACATATAATGGGTCCCTCTCACTCTCTGGATGTCTGTGACAGCAGCCTGAGCTCTGCTTTCATCCCTGCAGGCTAGAATCACACGAGCTCCTCTTCTCGCCAGATCCAGCGCGGTGGCTTTGCCGATACCCGTGTTTGCTCCTGGAATTAAACCAGCTCAAATGTCAATCATATCTGTTCAGTTGCTTATCATGTACAGTGTGAACCATAGGTGTGAACCGTCAGTGCACTAGCTCAGCTTTCTGCGTTGTGTAACACGACTAAAATGTGTTTACGAAAAGCGTAAAATCTACAAAATCTATTTTAAAACGACTAATGGTTTAAATGGTCAAGCGTAACTGTTTAAGGACAATAAACAAACGCCCTAAAACCGAAACACGTACCAGTCACGACCACCGTCTTCCCGTGCAGTTTGGCTGTACTTTTACATTTTGGCAGTTGCAACAGCGTCACGCACAGCAGCAGGTAAAACCCCACGAGTCCTCCGCAAATAAGCAGAACGGTAAACATGTTCAAAAGAACAGAGCAATAACGGCTATATAGTTGCTTATGAAAGAGCTCGGTTTCCTCTAGCCTGAACAGGAAGACGTGCTGCTGAAGCCAATCCCCATTATCCCGCCCTCTTGCCCACATTAGTAATAATAACACTACTGTTCTGATGCTCTTTACTTCACACTGAAATTCGCATCTGAAAACTGAAGCTATTTTGTAACACTGTCTGAGGAAAAATGTGAGTTCCTTGCCCATGCAAAACTCACTACCACACTGCTATACAGTTGCCAAGTGGCTTCTGTAGCTAGGATTTTGAGAGAGAACCATGTCTTAAAAAATGTAATGTAATAGAAACTAAATATTTTCCATGTTTTCCACATTTATTATATTATTATTACACAGTATAAATTGGGTCTTTTTAAATGAAAATATATACAGTAGCTGCCTATTATATTTTAGAATGGGGGTCCCTCTCACAAGGATGGTCATATTTGGGTGTCCATGGCATCTAAAAGATTAAAAAACCCTTGTTTAAATCACTCTATTGTAAAATTATCAGATTCACGTTTTATCATACACTAGATGAAAATGTCTGGTTACTTAGAGAAAAATTGCACATCTTTTCTTAAACCAATCATATGATTTGCGTCATTCACATACAGGTTAGGCACTTGAATACTTTGCATTGGAGATTTTTCAAAACCCTTTAGTCTAAATACTTTGCATTGGAGATATTTCAAAAAACCTTTAGTCTAAATAAGCAACAGTAATGCTAACTTTAGAAAACTACTAATCTTACAGAAGAGTGAATGCATTAGTAAGCATGACACATGAACACAAGCTGGTGGATTTCTAAAGCATGTTATTTAAAATCTGCTTTGTATTTACATAGTTTGACACAAGAACCTGGTGAAAACTAATTACAGATCACATGAAACAGACACAAAGGACTGAACAGCAACCAAATGGTGCACGACCGAAATAATCCAAACTGGAGCACTTTAGCACACCGAATCGTGTGGATCTCTGGCTATTCACATGAATACATACACATTATGTACATGAGTCTCTCGTGTCAGGCTAAAGGAACACCAGGTCTGACTGCGCTCCAGAGGACATACATAAATAAAAGCATCCGTTTTTACGGGAAATAAAAGAAAATCCATGTTTGTATAAAAAGTATTGTTACTGGCACAAAATAGAACATGTTTTTTTATTTCTTTACATGTGAAAACAGCTCATTGGTTCTTAGAGCTTTGAGGATGATCAAAGTTTCCCTTTAAAAATGCAAGTCTTGCATTGAGACAAAATGTGCAACCTGCCTAAAGTCTTGAAGAAATTAGAAAAAAAACTCACCTCATGCAAATGTATAAACAATTAAATAATTAGGAAACCATTCAAACTGTACAGGTCGGTGCTTGAGGGGTTACGTGACAAGGTTGTGTTGGAGCGAAGGAGGCGTGGCCTTGCTCAGGTGCTCCCCCTGTTGGCCAGGTGTGGGAGTGAGGCTGCAGGTGGTGAGCTCCTCTTTAAGCGGCTTGTTGGCGAACTCTGTGATGCTAAATATAAACTGCAGGCAGCCCAGTTTGACGTGGCTTCCGTGATGGAGGAGTGCAGTGCCTTCCCATCCCGCACCATTGCCTCCGATCAAACTGGAGCCGCTGTTTTTACAGTTACAGGGAGTGATGGGAGCATCGTGGGACTGGCAGCTCATAACTCTGCCCTCGGTTGCAGAGGCCACGGCCATTGCAGACGACTCCTGCTCCTTTTTCCTGCAGCGTCCTGCAAACACACTCGAGTTAATACTGATGCTTACTACATTTTTTTTTTTTTAAGTTGGCATGAAATGGAAATTCACTACTTTATTTTATTAAGGCATTGTTTCATTTTTTCTGGTGAAATGCCAGACTTCTCTAATCAGTTATCTAAACCAAGCTCGCATTCAGCTAAGAAATAAGTCCCCGTCCTACATTTTTTTCTTTTCCAATAGTTTGTTTCACTCGGATGTCCATCAAAATAGGGAAGAAAAGACCTGTCATATGTTCAGTTTCCCCGTGACTGGAAGAAATAACTCACGGATAATGTTCTGCACTTTGGTGAGCAGGTTGCTGGATGGGCTCTGGCTCGTCTTCTCAGAGAAGTCACAGGAATATAATACGTTGTCAACGGTTGTCCCATGTTCGCTGTAGTTCAGCAGTTCATACTGCTTTGTATTCTGGAGGAGGAGAGAACAAATTTAATCACTCAAGAGATGAAACCTTTGTCCTTATGTTAATTGTTTAAAATAGCATACCTCATCATAAAATATACAGGCATGTTTCCCTGAAACGTAGTTACAATGCCCGTAGTTTGTAAGGCACACATCCATATCAGCACCTGCAATGAGAAAAGACAGTTGTACGGAACACTGTAGGATGATGCATTTCCTGCAGTCACAGGATGATAATCACCTGTCCCGATGTACAGACTCCTGTAGCACATACTGACAGCCGTTCCCTTTCCCGAAACCGAACAGAACGAAGCTCTCGCCTGTACCTCCTTGCTTTGGGCTGTGAACGGAAACATCAAGAGTTCATGCGCATCTAAAGGAAACAAAAACTTCAATAAGAGCATAATGAATACAATCTCATACCTTCACTGTGTTTCTTGTGAGCGGGTGACACGGATGAAGGAGAACTGCTCTGAACAGGAGAGGTTTTTAACTCAAAGAGCTGCTGAATCCGCTGCCAAGCCAAAAGCTTGATAAACTTCTCGTCCAATGAGCCGAGCTCAACTTCTGCAATACAAAAAAGATTTCAGAATGATTACAAAATGCTGCTGTCTTTTGAATTTGGGTCCTTTTCTATTCTATGATCATTTTCTCGCTGAATAAATAATCAGTTTTTTGCTGTTGATGTGAAAGCTGCACGATTAATGGAAATAAAACTGAAATCACAATACAGTTTAGTGACAATACTATTTAATTAAATATATGTGCCATGCGTTTCAAAGTGAAGTGTGGCTTGTTCTTTTACTTTACAAATACTACAACAGTAATTATTTTCTTTAATATTTCGATTTAGTAGTAATAATACTTTATTTATATTGATATTTAATAACACATTTTTTCCAAATTGAACAAGCTTACAGACAACACTGGAGCCTTAAAAAAAATTATCTGGGGAAAAATTTCACAATTACATTTTTCCCCACATCATGATGTAGTCTATCAGAAGTTAAATTCAACGTTTTGTTATAATAATGCTTAATTTAGAAGTGTAAGGGATTTCAAATTCTTAAAGTTACAGTATCTGCTTAATCTAACCTAAAGACCAAAATTGAAAGTTCCTCAAGAATCAACAGTCCTCTTTTAAACACACAAACCCACCTCCGCTGTTCGGCATGATGTCCTTTATTCGTCCGGACAGCTCTGACATGTTAGGTTCTGTGCAAGAAAAGACGTCCCCCCTGCCTGCCATCAAAGAGTCCAAGCCGACCTTTCCATCTGAGAAGAGAACGCAGCCATTCAATATTTTAAAGGGTTGCAACAAGCCTATTACAAGGTAATAATAAAGCACATAACTACACAAGTAAACATTTGCCACAGGACCGGGATGTAGATCTCTGACCTTTTGATGCGGTGTCTGAGGTGATTTTCTGCGGTTTAACAACATGTACTCCTGTAGATACAGTAGAGGCTGAGAGTTTTGCTGCTGCTGTGTCTGAAGCTAATGGAGTTTTTTTATGGTCAGATGATGGAGTGCTGTGCTCAGATTTGACACAAGCAGGAGCAGAGACTTCTGTGCCACTACAGGGCTTTAAACTGGCAACCTCTTTCTTGATAATGGCTCCAGAGTTTGTAGGTTTGGGTGGAGCGGGTATGGGTAAACTATGCGTTTCATGGTCAGCTGTCTTTTCTTGGGTTCTAACAGGACACGGTGTTCCATTGGACTGAACCAATCGTTCGACAGGGCCATTTGTGGTCTTACAGTTCTGACACATTCCATCAGTACATGAACGACAGGAAACTTTTGGCGCTACGCTCTGGCTGCCCTGTGAGGCGGCACTCTGGCAGGAATCTCTGAGTTTCAGATCAGTCTTTTCTGTGTGCTCTGAATCCCAAGGAGATGTTTGTCTGTTCCATAAATGCCTCATAATGCTGCACTGCAGCGAGATGACGTCTTTGAGCCACTACACCAAAGCATAAACAGAATAAGATCACTGGTTCAGAAACAATACTGAATACAAAAGCAGCAGCAAACAGTGAGCGCCTAATACACACCTGACACTGTTCATCTTCACTGGCTAAGTGCTGCGGGACATAAGCTTCTGTAAGGCCGGTGCAGATAAGCTCCCCTTCACGGATCCCTGCCGGGGCCATCAGAGAGGGAGGGTTCTGATACTGTGACTTTATGGCATCTGGAACCTGCGAAAACCAATAGAGATCTCGAATGAGTTTCAACAACATCTCTAGTGTCTATCACTGGTGTCATACAGTGAGTTTAAAGACTGATCACCTTCAGAGTCTTTTTGCTTTGAGCATAAGCTGACCGCCGTATAGGGGTGTGTTGCCGATGTATCCTCTGCAGGAAGTCAAGTTTGATGGCATGCTGGGATATGCGGTCCTGAAACTGGTCAAATAACTGGCAACGGTTGCTGAGGGTCAAGGTTCTCTGGCTCAGCTGTGAGGAAAGAAAGAGAATGAATGAGTGGCATGTTGGTAACGGTGTTTATTCAATTTAGGATATGGAAATGCCTAAATTTAAAAGCTATTACAAGTTTTGATTTTTGTTTTATGCAAGCTTCCTTACAACCAGGTTCTGGATGTGGTTGGGACACATCCATCTGCCTGTAGGGAAGGCAGTGAGAGGCGGATCCAAACAGTCCATGTGAAACAAGAGAGGGCAAAAGTCACACTGGATCAGTGGAGCCATTCGGCAGCTCCTGTGAGAAAAAGAAGGAATAAAAGACTATTTATTTATGTCTCCAATGTCAATACAGTGTGATCAGGTGGGATTTACACTACTGCTCAAAGGTTTGGGGTCAGTAATTTTATTTTTAAGAAATCA